AAATTTATTTGGCCATAATACACTCTAACTCACTGGCTTCATTTGTTCCTCAGCTTCCACGGCTTCTTTCTTTTTACAAAGATTTTTAAAATTTTTTTCCTTTTTCTCCCCAAAGCCCCCCAGTACATAGTTGTATACTCTTCGTGTGGGTCCTTCTAGTTGTGGCATGTGGGATGCTGCCTCAGCATGGTTTGATGAGCAGTGCCATGTCCGCGCCCAGGATTCGAACCAACGAAACACTGGGCCGCCTGCAGCGGAGCGCGCGAACTTAACCACTCAGCCACAGGGCCAGCCGCAGCTTCCACTGCTTCTTACATCAGAGCATTAAGCATAATGGGTATTAGTTCGAAAAAGAAAAGCTTTACTATAGTAGAGAAGTATCTTTCTAGTTTGTGTTTTAGAGATTATATTAAGAATAGATTTTAAACGTTGCCGAAACGTTTTCTTACATCTATTGAAATGATCACATGGTTTTTAGTACTTGACATTCCTGTGATATAGGGTAGGAATAACTTTACTATGGTTGGACAATTTTTTCATTCTTGTGGCGAAAACCATATTCCACTGGACCGTCATGTACTGTTGAATTTGTTTTTATCTATTGCTGTTAATTATTTTATGTTTGCTACATGGATATTCCAAAGTGAAGTAGTGTTCGAATACAGTGAAAAAAAGCACATTTAGAGGCAGACATATCTGAGTTTTAATTCAAATGCCAATACTTATAAATCTGTGACCACAGGCATTTTCCCTTCTCATTTGTATTACGTATTATTTTTGTAGATTTTTAACCATGTGAGTATGGAAAATTTCATATCTTGATATTTTCCTCACTTTTGATTTTTATGCTTTTTTTGGTGAGGAAGAATGATCCTGAGCTAACATTTGTTGCCAATCATCCTCTTTTTTTTTTTTCTCCCCAAAGCCCCAGTACATAGTTGTATATCCTAGTTGTAAGTCCTTCTAGTTCTTCGATGTGGGATGCTGCCACAACATGACTTGATGAGTGGTGTGTAGGTCTATGCCCTGGATCCGAACTGGGGAACCCCAGACACCGAAGCAGAGCAGGTGAACTTAACCACTCGGCCACCAGGCCAGCCCTGATGTTTTCCTCATTAAACTTACACCGCATGCATTTTCCATGTTATTGCATTATCTTTGAGGGTTGTACAACATGTGATTCAGAAATGTGCTCAAGGTAGCATAGTTTAGACTTCCTTATTGTTGGGCCTTTCATTCATGTCCACATTTTCACAGATAACAATAATGCTATGATGAACTTTATTATGCCTAAAACTTGCTTTATATTAACTCAAAGCATACAAAACTACTTTTAAAGATACATATTGTTGAAGTGCTTTCTAAAATTATTACACCAATTAACATTTTCACTGACAATGTATCAGATTTCCTATTTCATCCCACATTTGCCAGCATTGTTTATTAACGTTAAGAATAAGTCACTGCTAGGGGCCAGCCTGATGGCTCAGTGGTTAAGTTCACACGCTCTGCTTTGGCGGCCCGGGGTTCACTGGTTTGGATCCCAGGTGCAGACCTACACACTGTTTATCAAGTCAGGCTGTGGCAGGCATCCCACATATGAAAAAATAGAGGAAGATGGGCACAGATGTTAGCTCAGGGCCAGTCTTCCTCAGCAAAAAGAGGAGATGCAAATGTTAGCTCAGAGCTAAGCTTCCTCAAAAAAAAAAAAAAAGTCACTGCTAATCTGATAAATAAAATGGTTTCTCACTTTTGTTTGAATTTGCATACTGTATTTGGGAGGTTGAACACTTTCTCACACACATAAGAATTTGTTGCATTTCTTTGGTGAGTTGTCTGTGTTCTTGAATTCCATAATTTATTTTCAATTTATATAATAAAGACATTATAATAAAAACATTATTCCTTGGTCTGACATAAAAATGTGTCTTTATACTTTGATTATGATTTTTTTTTTTTTTTTTGGTGAGGAAGATTGGCCCTGAGCTAATATCTGTTGCCAATCTTCCTCTTTTTGCTTGAGGAAGATTGTCACTGAGCTATCATCTGTGCCCGTCTTCCTCTATTTTGTATGTGGCACACTGCCACAGCATGGCCTGATTAGTGGTGTGTAGGTCCATGCCTGGGCTCCAAACCCGCAAACCCCGGGCTGCCTAAGCAAAGCATGCAAACTTAACTACTACACCACCGGGCTGGCCCCTGATTACGATTTTTTGAATGACACCCAGAACTTTCTATTTACTTATGCTACCAAATCTGCCCATCATTTCCACTATGATTTTTCTATAACTTGTAGGTTTAAAAGGTTTCTTTAAACCTTCAAATTCTTGAAAAAAATTAAGTCTAAAAACCATTTTCACGCTTTTAATATGGATTTTTAACTTCTCAATCCACCTAGAATTCATTTTCATGCAATGAGAATACAAATCAAAAGAATTTCAAATTTTTACAAATTGTCTAATTCCAGTCACTGAATACTTCTGTCTCTCACTTTCTAACATTTTTTAACAAAAATTCCACTGATTATTGATCACTTATGAGTTTTTAACTAGAATATTTGAATTTCTATGTATAGAGTAGCATACTGATGCTTTTGTGATTCTTGATTCAGCATTTAATTATTCTAGCTTTTTACTATGATTTTTTAGTAAAGATGGTGCTTTTCATTATTTTTCTTTAAAATATTTTAATTTTTAATTTTTTTCCCCCCATTGGGACATATTATATAATAGATTTTCTTTTTCTTCTTCTTCTTTTTTTTTTTGGTGAGAAAGATTGGCCCTGAGCTAACATCTTTTGTCAATCTTCCTCTTTTTTTTCCCCCCCAAAGCTCCAATGTTGTTGTATATCCTAGTTGTAAGTCATTCCAGTTCTTCTCTGTGGGATGCTGCTGCAGCATTGCCTAATGAGAGGTGTGTGGGTCCACACCCAGGATCTGAACCTGCGAGCCCCGGGCCACTGAAGCAGAGTGTATGAACTTAATCACTCAGCCACGGGGCTGGACCCTCCATTTTTTTTTTCTTAATGAACATTAGAACAAATAACTTGGTCATGCTCCAAAAAAAAAAATCCAATATGGCAAGTATGATTGAAATTACATTACACCTACAGTTTTATTTGGGAAAAATCAACATCTTTAAGACATGTTGTTCTCTCATCCAGGAAATGGCATGATTCTTATTATTTGAGCATTTATAAATGTTTATAGATATAATTTTATAGTGTTCTTGCTTGAGACCCTGCACATTTCTTATTTATATAATAGATACATACATGTACATAAATACATATATATGTATAAGTATATATATATACGTATATATACTGATATTGTGAATACGATATATATATTACTGATATTGTGACTAAGTTATTGTATATTATATTATCTTGGTATATTATAAAGTAGTTAAATATATAATACAAATATAGTAATTATTATATATATTACTGATATTGTGAATAGGATCTTTTCCACTGTGTGTTCTGTTTATAAATGACATCCAGGAAAGCTCTTTATTTTTGATATTTATCCTGTAACCATCCAGTTTACTGGACTCAGTGTTTCTAATGGATTTTCCCACCTTTGGGTTTTCATCTTACAAGGGATATCATCGAATCTTCTGCCAAAACGAAAACTGTGACTCTTAATTTTCTCATATTTCTATCTTTTATTTATTTTACAAATTTCTGTATTATTGCTTTGTCTAGAACTCACAGAATAACGTTCAAGATCAATGGGGGTAGTCTTTTTACTTTGTTTTTAATTTTAAAAGGAAGCATTTAATGGTTCACTGTAGGACTAGTTATGGTTTGTTTGAAACAGATATACTTTAGTATACTGATAAAAACATTTACTTCTTTTTTTAGAAATTTAAGATTTCACTGTGAATATATCTAGTACTGAAATTTTAAAAATAACACTTTCAACTACATGTAGTATTATTACTCTGTGACTCATATTTGTAGATAAGTAGGCTCTCATATCATTTGCAAATCTCACTCATACGGAGCTTTACTCCCTTGTACTGTCTGTATAACACAACGAATGTGACTTAGTATGGAATATAGGTCTTTTAGTCTATTCAAAGTAACCCAACACAAATTCTACTTAGTAGGTACACTCAGAACTGAATTTTGTTTTCAATTGCAGTAGCTTTCCATAGCTTAAACTTTCTGGTACCATCTTTCCTTTTATTACTCGGATTTCGAGATTCACTTTGTAGTTTTATGATTACAAATGACAAAGACCAACATAGTTTGGAAGTTGATGGGCTATAAATAAACTAAATAAAAGGCGTACTCATAAGCATGTAAGGTTGGTCCAAAAGGGTGAATATCAGAGGAAGAGGAATCAATGGCTGTGGAAAGGGCAGGACAGTGAAGAGAACCATAGGACAATCAAGATCTTTTTCATTGTCCCTGCATTTCTTCATAGTGTTACAAGGCACCCTATGCCCTATGTGGGAGTAGTTCTCCTAGAGGAGAAAGATGAGTTGATTGTGATTTTCCCATTTTAAACAAAATCTAGTGTTTGGCTTTATTTTCCAGAAGTCTGGGGAAGTTTTTATCCTGGGAGAAGTATAGTGACGGAGTTAGGTGATGCAGTGGGGACTGAAGGGCAGCTTAGCTCCGGCTTGGGCAGCCTCAATTCTTTTTCGCAGCTGGGCCCAGAAGCACAGTTCTGGGGAACTTTTCCCATTTGTCTTTTTCCTTCCCTTTCCTTGTCCTCCTATTCATATCTCTCTCCCAAACCAGTGAGTTGTAGACCCAGAAATGGGCTCTCTGTTAATCTTCCCATTCTCGCATTTCTTATTCCAGCTGTGAGAAGGAAGGGGCACACTTTATTCTGTGAACCATAGTCATTATGCTTTCCCCCCCATCCACTTGAGCTGATGCCTAAGGCTTTCCAAATATTGGGAAAGGAATTAGCCAGGCTGCCCTCAGCACCAGGATAGCATTCTGTGTGGAGGGTGGTAGGTCCAATAGTTACTCTCTGATTAAATAAAAGGAAACCTTTATTGTTACACATACTGCAAAGAAGATGGAACTAGAATGAAGGGGTCTTCTTCACTGTAACTTCTTGGTGTACTCCATGTGATCCTGTATTGCTCCAGTAGCATAGATGAAAGATCATTAATCCTCTTCATTACTCCCTGGTCACGTCGCAAAACGGCACTGTCCAGCAAAATATTATTTAGTAGCAAAATATATTTTAATTGAAAAATCATTTTAAGTAACTGAATAAAAATGGGTACAGGGAACTTTCCCAACAGACAGCAGAGTATGTACATTTTGTGAGAGTGGAGCAGCATCTATTTAATATATTTTTATATAGAAAATACAGGCATATTTAAAAATGGAAACATGTAAGAAAGTATGTCCCAAGGAATAACAAAATATAACACAAAATCGAAAGGTAAACCCAAAATAACAAGTTTACTAAAGAAAACAAGACCCAGCACCGTGTTGGAATTTCTTTGCGTAAGTTCCAGGATGCCCAGGACTACCAGGAAGAGATGATCCTGTTTTTGGGAGAGCTGGTTGGTTGTGCAGTGCTTAAAACCCAGTCCTCCTTTTCCTGGAACAAAAAAACAAAGAGATTCAACAGAAAAGACTGAATTGAAGAGTTAACAGCTCTTTGGGGCTGATTCAAACAGGATTGAAAGTCCCACACATCTGGGAATTATCTGTGACTTATTTGCACAAATGGGAGTCATTCTTGAGAGAACTAAGAGGCATGGTGAACAGGTACTAACTTAGGAAAAGATCTGAGAATCAGCAGACCTGAGTTGCAGTCCCGGCTCTGTCTTTAGTTTCCTGTCTGACAATCCTCTCATCTGTAAAATGAGGAGTCTGGACTTCTTGAACCTGAAGGTCTCTTAACAGCGTTAACAGTCTCTGTTTTTCACTTATGGCATTTGTTGAAGATCAGTTTTCTGAAGATGCTCATAGATGAGAGGAAACACCATCTCTTTCTTAAGGACTGAACTGTCAGGAATACTACCAGGTCAGTCTTATTCATCGGTAGAGAAGGTTACAGGTAGAGGGATTTACTGCATGCCACAAGGTATTTCTCCACCAGTTATCACTGATGCCTGAAAATTGCTCTATCAACAAGTATTTATTGAGTATCAACTTTCGTGCCTGTACTAAGTACGGGGGATACAATCTTTAAAGCACTCAATCTCGTGGGAGTGAAGGAAATAAAAAATTATTCGTAAACACTTCTTGTTTCGATTTCTCAGACAAGCCCACCCCCACTTCAGGGAATTATCCTCCACTTTTCCTTCTTCTGGGAATTACCAGCCTCCTCTCCCCTGTGCCCAAAGGTAACGTAAAGGTTTTGACAAAATGACCCTTCATGTTGGTACAACATAACCCAACCTAGGACCACACTTGACTGATCCATGGTGGGCCCTTGAATCAATCTAGGCTAGTCAGTTCCTCTCCTGGAGTGGATCAGCACACTCTTGGTGGATACTGTAGTGCGACCTGTAAAAGGTGGGAGCTGTAAGGAGTTCTGTTCTATGTGAGCTGAACAGCAGAGAAAACCACTCTGCAGCAAGAGAGAGGATGGAGCACATGCTGGAGAGAGGAGGTGAGATGTGAGGGGGAGAGGCTTCAGGTGGCTTTCAAGTCCTCAGTTTGGCCCTCCTGATGCTCAGTTACCCCATATCTTTGGGTTCCATGCAAGGTCGCTCTATTGTGATAAGAAACTCCTTTCTTTGCTTAAGGTAGTTAGAGATGCAATAAGAGAGTCCTAATTAATACAAGTCTCCTGGAAAAATTGATCACAGTATAAGGAGTAGGGGGCCGGCCCAGTCCTCTGGGTTGAAAGTGACCTTTCCTTGAATGTGGGATATGCCTCTCAGCTTAACTTGCCGTAATTTTTTTGATTCCTTTATCAAAATTTTGCATAAAAACATTGACATTCTGTTTTCTTTATTAATAGACAGTATTTTCACATAAGCTAATAACTACCCTTCCCCTGGTGAAGAAAGAGCTCCTACCGTATATTAGGGAACCACACAAGCTTTGGGTCTCCTTTTCTTATCTCTAAGATGAAGGAATTGAAATACAAAGACTAAAATTATAAGAATGTTATAAATACTTCCCGTGCCTTTTTGAGTCATTGTCATTCTTATTCCCTTATCTTTTCTTTCTCACTCTCTCTCTTTTCTTTTCCTTTTTCTCTTTTTTCCCAGAAATCCATTCCAGTCTGAATCTCATTTTCTTAAATACTTTCAACTCTGCTCTTAGGTAAAACTATCATCTTTACCTTAAATGCTTCCAAATATACTTGCATAATCCAAATTTGCTCCTTGGTGTTCAGTTTATTTTTTTAATCTCTGCAGAGATGGCAAATACTTGAGGTGACAAGAGGACATTCACTGGCACAAGACAGATTTTTTTGTTAATTGAGTTTGCATTTAAATAGATTGTTTGTCTTTGCAAGTTGACTTTGACATTCTAATCAAAATGAATGAAAGGAAATGGAAAAATAAGAGTTGTTTTCTGTTAACTGAATTTCCTACTTTTTAACGTGAATATGGAAGTATCCATTTGTTTTTAGTGATTCCTATAAGATGGAAGTAAATGTACATAATCAAATCTAAGTGATGTAATACACTGATGTATATTGAAAATCTTAAAATGGAGCTGGTAATATTCCAACATTGCAATATTTGTGAGGATAATGTTTTAATATTCGAAATATTTTATCATGGTACAATGCAATACGCCTGACATTTCCTGAGGTTTAAAGAAGTTTAAATCTTGAGAAAGAAGAACAAAGCTGGAGGCACCACACTCCCTGATTTCAAACGATATTACAAAGCTATGGTAATCAAAACAGTATGGTATTGGCATAAAAACAAACACAAAGATCAATGAAACAGAATAGAGAGCCCAGAAATAAGCCCATACATATATGGTCAATTAATTTATGACAAAGGACTCCAGAATATACATTAGGGAAAGGATAGTATCTTCAATACATGGTGCTGGGAAAACTGGACAGCCATGAACAAAAAAATGAAACTGGACCACTATCTTACACTATACACAAAAATTAACTCAAAAGAGAGTAAAGACTTGAATATAAGACCTGAAACCACAAAACTCTTGGAAGAAAACAAACGCGATAAGGTCCTTGACATCAGTCTTGACGATGATTTTTTGGATTTGACACCAAAAGCAAAGGAAATAAAAGCAAAAATCAACAAGGGGGCCAGGTCAAACTAAAAACCTCCTGCACAGCAAATGAAACCATCAACAAAATGAAAAGATAACCTATGAAATGGGAGAAAATATTTGCAAGTCATATAACTGATAAGGGGTTAATATCGAGAACATACAAAGAACTCATACAACTTAATAGCAAAAAACAATCTGATTAAAAAATGAGCAGAGGGGCGCCGGCCTGGTGGTGCAACGATTAAGTGCAAATGTTCTGCTTCGGCAGCCCGGGGTTCGCCGGTTCGGATCCTGGGTGCGGACACGGCACCACTTGGCATGCCATGCTGTGGCAGGCATCCCACATATAAAGTAGAGGAAGATGGGCACAGATGTTAGCTCAGGGCCAGTCTTCCTCAGCAAAAAGAGGAGGATTGGCAGCAGTTAGCTCAGGGCTAATCTTCCTCAAAAAAAAAAAAAAATGAGCAGAGGATCTGAATAGACATTTTTCCAAAGAAGACATAGAGATGGCCAACAGACACAAGAAAAGATGCTCAACATCACCAATCATCAGAGAAATGCAAATCAAAACCTCAGTTAGATATCACCTCACACCTGTTAGAATGGCTATTTTTCAAAATGACAAGAAGTGACAAGAAGTAACAAGAGTTGGTGAGGATGTGGGAAAAAAGGAACCCTTGTGCACCGTTGGTGGGAATGTAAATTGGTGTAGGCACTAAGGAATACAGTATGGAGGTTCCTCAAACAATTAAAAATAGAACTACCATATAATATAGCAATTCTACTTCTGAGTATTTACCCAAAGAAAATGAAGATACTAACTCAAAAAGATATATGCATCCCATGATCATTGCAGCATTGTTTGCAATAGTCAAGTTGGAAACAACCTATGTATCCATCCACGAATGAATGAATAAAGAAAATATGGTATATATATAATGGAATATTATTCAGTCATGAAAAGGAATGAAATCTCGCCATTTGTGACAATATGGATGGACCTTGAGGGCATTATGCCAAGTAAAATAAGCCAGATAGAGAAAGACAAATACCGTATAATCTCACTTATATGTGAGAAAATCTAAAAAAAAAACCCCCCAAACCCCCAAAAACCAAACCCATAGATACAGAGGACAGATTGGTGGTTGCCAGAGGTGTTGAGTAGGGGGTGGGCGAAATGGGTGAAAGGAATCAAAAGGTACAAACTTCCTTTTATAAAATACATAAGTCATGGGAATGTAATGTACAGCATGGTGACTATAGTTAATAAGACTGTATTACGTATTTCAAAGTTGCTAAGAGAGTAAATCTGAAAAATTCTCATGACAAGGAAAACAAATTTTGTGACGATGTATGATGATGGATGTTAACTAGACTTATTGTGGTGATCATTTTGCAACACATATATACAAATATTGAATCATTATGTTGTACACCTGAAGCTAATATAATTTTGTGCGTTGATTATACCTTGATTTAAAAAAAAAATTTAAATTATTTCAAAAATATTTTCCTTTTGACTTATTTTTGTGATAATCTTTTCTCAACTATGATATTTGTCTGGTTAGAAATTAGAAACTAATTGACAAAGATATTTCTACATAAATTTTCTTGAAGTCAATGAAATAATGAATGTATAGACATTAAAAGATGTGAAACAAAATTTTTTACTTTAAGTATTTCTTATCAATTTCAATATTATTTTTTATGGTAATAAGGAATGCAAATGAACATCAATAAAATGTATTGACTTTATTATTTATTTTACATCCTTGCATATGAAGGATGCAATCTTCCATTCAAGAAGGCAGTTAACTTGTTTAATAAACCTTTTTTCTTTTTTCTTTTTGTGGCAATATATGGAAGGCTTCGTGACTTTGCGTGTCATCCTTGCTAATCTTTCCTATATTGTTCTAATTTTAGTGTATGTGCTGCTGAAGTAAGCACAAGATTATATATTTTTGAGATATCATTGTTTTATTTGTCAATCCTTAACTAATATTTCTTTGTGTTGGCTTGAGTTCAGATTTAGAGAGTATATCTCAAAATGGATATTTATGGATACAAAATGCTTACACTCAAACTAGAGATACCATCTCACTCTTGGGACAACTGAGCTAGAATTTCAATTTCTGTATGCTATAAATGAACATCAGTTTTTGGTTGACTTACCTGGAACAGTCATGTCCTGTCCAAGATGAGAGACAATGGCATCGGTTTGGTCTTACACATTTTCCACCATTTAAGCAGGGAGACTGGCAAACAGCTAGGATGGAAAATTCATACATTTACTTAATTAATATTTAGCAATTCTGAAGATGTCCACGAAGGCATGTAGAATAAGATTTGACTCCGCTTTCTGCTCCAGCCACCACCATTTCTCATAGACTGTTTGCATTATGCATTTCTGCCACTTAGCTTGACCTCTTGTTGCTATGTAGCACGACCTTCCTTTTCCCATCCAAGCTAGTCAAATTTCAGATTTAAGTCCCCAGATTAAGTGCTACCTACATATTGAAATCTTTGCTGATAACTCCAAGTCCACTGATTTTTCTCTTCTTTAATCTTTTTGTTTGTGCAACTAATTTGACACATTCTGTTTTGAACTGTAAATTTTTAATATGCTCAATTAGATTGTAAATCTCTTGAGGGAAATAGCACTGAACTCTATGAATGATTGAGCCATTACATCAGACATCAGCTCTTACAATAATAAGTCAGGCACACAGATTGTCTAAAATAACAGATGATCCAAAAGGCTTTGTGTTTGCTGGGAAACACATTTCATGGCTTTTACCAGCTTTAACTGGGATTACAGAACCTAGAGTAGAGTTAAAAATTAACCACAGATGAAACCCTGAGGGAACACCCAAAGATTTACTATATAGACATCTTTCTCACAATCCAGTCTCACGACCAAATTCTTCACGTACAAGAATCTACTTATTAAAAAACCTAAGGATGCTGGAAACAGATGAATTTCTAACACCAGCAAGTTCAACATATCAAAGAGAAAGAAGAACTCCCTGTAGGAAGAAAATAAAATGTCTGTTGAGAGGAAGCTGAAAATGAGAAACATTGCAGTCTCATTATTTCAGCCTCATTATAGCTCAGAAAGGTAGGCTTCCCCAGATGAAAAGCTCATCTTTGGTGAGTTATAAATAAATGTCACTTCTTTAATCACTCATTCATAAAATATGCGGAAAGTGCCAGCAAGTACCAGGCACTTGATAAGCACTGGGTGGGAAGATAGGAGACAAGAAGTAAAACGCCAGTTTCTGCCCTTGTGGAGCTCGCTTGGAGAGTTAAGATTAAGTAAGTAAGCCACAGAATGCATGTATTTACACTATGACAAAAAGAAAATTATGAAACAAGCCAGGATTAAAAATAGCCAAAATAAATCCCAATAATCTAAAATCAACTCTCCATAGATTCTCCTTGCTAATATAAAAAAACATGATTCTTTTTCAGGAGCATGATGATGATCTTTTCAGGTGCCTGACCATACTAACAACCTAATCATTATTTTTGCTTCCCTGTCTAAAAGCTTAACAGCCTCCTCCTTTCCTATAATATGGGTGCCCCCATGAGTCCCATTCTGGGTCACCTTCTCATACTATGTGTCTTCTTCACAGCCTTATTGTTTTCCCATGAATGTTTTCCGCTGATGATTTACATATCTTCACCTTCAATCTGGATGTATCTTCCGAGAACTTAAAGCATCAATCAACTGCCTATCCGACCTCTCCCTTGTAGGTTCCACAAGCCCCTCAGTCTCAGCATGTCCATACTTAACTCCTTACCCATACCTTCAAACCTGCTCCTCTTGGGTTCTCTATCTCAGTAAATGCAGTACTTTCTACCCAGGGGCCCAAACTGGAAATACCAGTCTTGACTCTTCTCAGACCTTTACTCCCACAATACATCTATAACCGAGTAGTGTTGATTCACCTCCTGAACTTCTCTCAAATCCGTCTTGTTTGGTTATCGTTTCTCCAGACTTCATTGCCTCTTGCCATTTCTGCTTCAATAACTTCCTAACTAATCTCCCTATCGTAAATCTTGCTTTCTGCCATCTTCCATGCTGCTGCCAAAATCATGTTTCTCAAAGAAAATTTGATCACATGATTTTCCTGCTTAAAACTCTTCAATGGCTTCTGTTGCTCACGAGACATAATCCAGCATCTTGAACTTGGTTTGTGATGCAGTTCCTAATCTGGCTCTGCTCATCTTTACAGCTTCATTTCCAGTCACCGCCCTACATTTTCTCTATGGATGTCCTCAGCTATACTTTGCTGAACACATTTGTGTTATACTTTCATGCTGTTGGCTAGAATGATCTCAGAGTGACTCTTCTTGCTATTCCTCTGATTCTGTGCTTGTGAAGCCTTTTCTGAATGTCTACACTTGACTAGTTTATCCATATGGCTCTAAATAATTGTGTGATGTCTATAGAAATGGAATGTTAGAAAACAGATTATTGTGGTATAGAGCAAGTTTGGAGATAAAAGGAAACTTACGCTGGGTCTTGGAGGTTGGGTGAGGTTTGAATAGGCAGAGGAAAGAGGAAGACCATGAGAAAAGGCTGAGAGGTGGGAGGGAGAGGGGCTGCAATGAGGAAGCCATCACTGCAGGGGACAGTGTGCGACTGGTAGGATGGGAAGTAAGGTTTATCAGGTGTGCCGAAGCCAGTCTATGCAGCACCTTGGAAGTCAGAAGAATTTGGGCTAGACATGGAGACAACAGGCAACCATTTTAGGTTCTTAAGGCAAAGACATACCAAAAGTAGTATGTAATGATGTTATTTTGGAAATGGAGATGGGAAGGTCAAGTAGTAGATGCTGGCAATGACTCAAAGAAGAGATCTTTGACGAACTAGTGACACTGAGATAGAGGAGGATGCAAGAGATACTGTGCAGGAAGGAACAAAAAGAGTGCTGATCTGACAATCTCAGGCGAAGGAGAGGGAGAGTCAAGGATGTCTGCATCTAGAAGAATGTTGCCACCACCTGCAAAAATAAGATGCCTGGAAAAGGGCAAGGCTGGTTTGCAGGTGAGTGCAATTTGGCATGCGTGAGAAATGTAGGTAAATATCAAAGTTAATTTGTTATAAAGAAATGCTATATAGATTGCTTTAAGAGTTTCATATAAAAGCTTCAAATTTAGGCTCTGGTACATTTACCTTTTCTACATTCATGGATGGCCCACTTTTGGTTTTAGGTAGGGTGACTGCATGTCGGATTTTGCCTGTGACAGGACCTTTCACTCCCATTTCCCTGGTTTACTTACGAATAGTGTCCCTTTCACTCTCAAAAAGGTCCTAGTTTGGAAGCTAAATTATATGGTCACCCCAGCCTTAGAGCTCATGACAAGCTCTGGTGTCCGCAATTCTGTTCTATTTTAAATTTTACCACACTGGAAAGGTGGTATAAATATTGTTTATAGGAACGATGGTGGAGTGTTGGAGTTCATACTAAATAAATATAGCAAGTTCTATTCTTTTAAGAGTTGCCTAAAAATTAGGGCATTACAAAGGTAAAAATCTGTCATTTTTTAACTGATCAATTTATTAGACGTTTACTGAAAAACCTATCATACGCAGGCACTATGTTAGCTACTGGGGATAAAAATATCACAAAGAAACATCCTTGCCCTCAAGTGGCACATAATCTGGTGAGGGTGGGGATAGATTGATAATCAAGCAATTAAACAGATATCAAAGTATAGTGGGATAAATGCTACATTTGATATCTCAAAGGGTCGCTATCAGCAAGGGTTGCTAATGGGACATGTTTGTCACCAATCAATCAACAACAGTTTGTTACTGTTGTCCAAGATAAGGAACCATCTCTTTGAAGAGTTTTCTCACTTTAACCTAAATTGTATTTATTTAGAGCCTTGTTCTTTCTAAATAGTCACCACGAATTTTATAATTTAGCTTCGTAGAGTTTAAAATGAATATTCTTCTGAACCGCTGCATGATGTTTTCTCTACATTCTGCAAAATAGAACAGAAGACATGCAGAAGGCTGACAACTGCATCAACTTTGATGCTCTTCTTTGGCACATGACCCTGAAAGGTGCCTTTGAGGCAGCCATACAGGTCAGTGTTGAGATGACCATTCAAGGGACCACCTGGAGAAATTCTTGAGACACTTTGGTAACATTTTGTTTCACTGCCACCTCTGAATCTGAGTTACACTCATCAATGTCCTCTAGGGCTTCATTGAGCCAAGTCACTAAGAAAACAAACCATGAGAGGAGGCCTACCTGTGTGACAGCGAGACCCCGTCCAACCAGGTGGGCAGTCACACTGATAAGGGGCCACACAGCGACCGCCATTCAGACAGGGAAGAATGCATATTGCTAGAAAGGAGATTGAAAAGGATTCGATCAAAATACATACACACTCAGTTCACGTGTTCTAAGAACATTTTTCAAGAGGAGTAAAACCTTGTGTGACCCACTAGATAACCTTCCTGCATGTGTTCTGTTTATTAATGAGCATCACTGGAAAAACACAATCAGGAAAGTAAGCCTGGACCCTCAGGCTGATGTAATGGTCCTAATGCCAAATGCACTCTTCCGGGAAGGACACACCGTAATCAATGTCTGTTAAGTGCTTTGCTTTCTCTTCACAAAATAAGCAGAATGTCCCCCATTTATTATTGTTTCAAATCTCCATTACAAATTACATAAAATGCTCTAAGAGGGTTTGGCTGCCTCAAGGCTCTCTTCTTGCCTTGAATTAAATGTGAGAATGGGAGTCGGATGGGCTATCCTGTAGGCTCGTGTTGGCAACGCATTAGTATTAATGGGACAACTTACCCTTCATTTCCTTGGAGCTGAGGCCTGATGGTGTCTGAATCAGGCCTCCCCTATGACCTTGATGGCAATCATTCCTCCTACTAGAATCTCTGAGATCTTTAAAGAAGCATAGTGTGTTTAAAAGGAGTGAGATTGTCTTTTGGCTTGCTACTCAAAGTGCAGTTCTCGACCCAAAAGCATTGTTGTCATCTAGGAGTTGGCTAGAAATATAGACTCTCAGGTCCCAACCCAGATCTACTGAATCAACATTTGCATTTAGCAACATCTCCCAGATGGTCTGTACGCACACGAAAGCTTGGGAAGCCTTGGTCTAACACAGGAGGGCAGGCATATGCTCAGCCAGCTAAGCCAGGCCTGTTGTCGGGGTCCCCGAGTCTTCACACTCTCAGCATTAGAGCAGGACGAAAATGGGAGCCCAAGTGGGAAGGAATAATTAGGGAGAAGAGGAAGGAAAAATGCAATTTTTCTTCTTTCTTAATCACTGTGAGAATGCTTGCTTTGGTAATAGCAGCCTAAATTTATTTCCATCTTATATTTTCCTTTCTAGATTAGTTGAAGCAGAGTCATGAGCCACATAACAACATTTTGGTCAATGAGGACCTGCATATACGATGGTATATGCCCATATACTGTCCCATAAGTCCCATAAGATTAGTACCATATAGCCTAGGTGTGTAATAGGCTATATCGTCTAGGTTTGTGTAAGTACACTCTATGATGTTTGCACAACAAAGAAATCACCAAATGATGCATTTCTCAGAATGCATTCCTGTCGTTAAGTGATGCATGACTGTAGTTAGACTTTAAAAAGTTTGAGAATCTCTTATAAAATGTCTGGCCTTAGAAAAAACTGATATAGACCAATGGCCATCACATTAATGATTCGATGTGGTTTACATACACCACTCCCAACGAAACATGAAATCATTCTATTCTCATAAATATTTTTTAAGATATTGAAACAAAGTGTAGCTGAGACATTTAAAAAGAATTTAAAACATTTATTTATTTAGTTACTTTCTCCTGAAGTTCAAATTCAAACGTACTTTTGTGAGAATCAAAATTCTATATTAATTTACCAAGCGTTGTGTCGATATAGGAGGGACAACTTTCCTTATTTTCCTAATTGGAAGAACTACACTTAATGAAAAAGAGTGAATGGTGGGCTGTAAATATTACCTGTAAAGTACAATGTTATGTAATGCCATGAATTTATACCAACTGCAGCAGTGAGTGGCGTAGTACATAAATGGACTGGAGATAAGGGAAGATGAAGGCTGGGAAATCCTCTATTACAAGCTCCTTCCTAAGAAAAGTCTTGGAAATTTTTGCCAGGAGGTATGTGAAGATGGCTTTGGATGGATCTTGATAACTGTATTTTCAAGGTCACTGATATTCTAGATCTTCTGCAACTAATTGACATATTCAGATGGGCCCTAGGTGCTCTGTCTGGTCTGCTACAGTAGCTAAGCAAATGAATTCCTGCCGCCAGTAAAGCCAGTTCCTAGTAACTCCCCTGAGTTGGCAGCTTCCAGGCAAATGATAGGACTCAAAGTAAGATTTAGGACAGACTCACGTTCTTCACAGAGGCGCCCCATCCAGCCGTCTGGACAAGAACAAGCATTTGGGCGTTGGCAGACACCTCCATTCTGACATGGGAATCGACAGACAGCTGGAAAAGAAGCAGGAGGGGTCGTAAATCTAGGGAATTTGCGAAGGGTGGCTGTCAGAAAATAGGGTTGCTCATTTACATTTCATAATATTTCCTTGTGTCAAGCTTTAAGGAGGGGAAACAAAACTGAATCTCAAGATTCAGTTGGGGATGAACCTGAGGGGCTCAGGAGAGGCATAAACAAGCTTGGGTAGTTCTAAGAACGTGGCTATGGAAGTTTTAGTAATTTGGGGATTCAGGGCAGGAGGGGACAAGACAGTTGATATAAAGATGGTCTCTTTTGATCTACACCAGGGGAAATGTCCCTTCCAGAAGATTTGAAAATGCCCTTCCAAAGGTGGCCTTTGATGGCTGGTAGCTCTTGGGTGCTGCCACTGCGCCTCAGTATGTTAAAACAAACAAGTGTAGAAACAAGCAAACACACAGCCCTCAATGGACTTCTGACTTGGAGTGAAACCTGGGCTATTCCTTAAGGATGCCGCCTCCTCAGCAGCCCTCTCAAGATGGGGTTGCACATTCTCTAACATCCCATGTTTGGCGATCTCATTTCTCCTAGTTGCTTCTAGACAATTAATCTCCTTTCTCCTGCAATCACCCTTGCCTCTTTTGAGGCTCATGCGGCTCATTCATTGATTTCCTCAATTCTCTCTGCTCCACAAGTCATTAAAGACTTTGGCCTTTCCACCCCAAATCCAAATCTGACCGTTAGCCACATGGCCATGTGGACAACCCATCCAACAACTTGATTATTCGTTTAGTTCCTTGGTTACGTCTGTCTTGTTCACTAACATAGTTCGTGACTTTCAGTAAATATTTGTAGGATGAATGGAATAATTATTATGATTGGTAAAAAAAAAATCCTATATTTTTAGAAAAGTTTAAGTTTTAGAAGGACATACCAGGAAGCCTCATTATCTACCTCTTTCTATTTTGTAGAATTTTAAGCCCAGAACTGTTTTCTCCCCCCAAGATTTTATTGAACGCACACACACACAAAATTCATCCTAGGGTTTGCGAGTTCAATCTAGCAAGTGAAGAGACAGCTGTGCTCATGTGAAAATGGAGTTCTTGTCACCAGCCCTGAGTATGGCCAGGGAGACCATGGGGTGGGCTCCTGTTCCCTGAGGCCGCCCAGTACCTCTTATCTCATACGCAGTCCACTGGCTGGGCTGCCCTGTCTATGATGGGGCTCAGGGGTCTGCCCAAGATGGGTGAGTGGAACTGGAATCTGTGATGAAACACTTGAGTGTCCAGGAGGTGTCCTCATGGCCCAGACATGACATAGCTCTCCTTAGCAGCCGGAGAACACTCCCCAGATTTGGAGAGGACACTTGCCCAAGGAGCCATGATTGACTCAGGAAGGGGTTGAGTACTCGCCAGAGTTCTGTGTGCAAGCTTTCAAAACTCAAACGCATAAAGTTTATGAAAATGACACAGATGTTAAAAGAAAATTTAAGGCTAAGGAAAAATAAAATAGCATGCATACAGTTGTTGACTTCCATATATATTTCCCTACAGCTTCACTAAGAAAGAACCGTTCAAATATTTCCTTACCTCTGCAAATAGGAGGTGATGTCCAGGTTCCATTCTCTAGGCAAACACTCCTTAGGGAACCCTCCAACATGTATCCACTGTAACACGAGTAAGTGATCATGTCCCCATACTGATAATGCACACCTCGAGCAATCGCATTTTCTACGTGAGTTGGTGGACCACATGAGATTTCTACAGGAAAACAAAAGAATAATTTAGCCTATGCTACCAACCCAGCCAGTGGATGTCTCATCTCTAAGACTGAATTAGTTTAAAGAGCAAGATAAATACATAAAGATAACCTTTTCACCTATATAATATCTAAATGATACTGGCAACTAAAAGCATAATCTGCTGCTGTCTAGAAAAATTAGACGTGCAAGATCAAAGGTTTTGTCTCCTGATTCAAATGTTGAAGGTGAGCTATTTTATACTCAAGGCAAGAAGTCTGTAGGAGATCAAGAATGAGCTCTGGTACCTTGCCAGAGAGGTGGCTGTAAGGGAAGTTCAATGCAGCATGCTTATCAAATGAGGAGAAGCATGGGGGTTATTTGCAGTTTATGTTTCTAGAGTAGAGATCATTAACTGCAGTCCTGCATATTCCATCACGGCTGTTTTATCAGTGCCTAGAACAGTGCCTGGCATGCAATGGGCTCTTGATACATATTTGAAAAACGAGTAAATGAATGAATATTGTTTCTAGCCTATAGATACTCAATTTACACACCTAGATGAGGTTTAGGGAATTCAGGGTTTCACATTAATTTCCCTCTTTTCAAGGCTGTAAAGCAGTGACTTTCTACTTTGGAATGTGTGAGACTGACTGATAATCATCTCTTTTGAAAGTGACATATACTGTATATTTTAACAAAATTTTTATAACTAATTTGCTTCCAGAACTTTAGGAGAAGCCTTGAGATAACTAGAGTTATTCTGAGGCTCACAACACAAGGACTGGATTGGAGTCAGGACTCAGCAGTATCCAGTTTGTACAAGCCTAACTTTTGGATGAATCTTCATGAACTGACTTCTAAAAGGTCACTTAGTGGTCATAATACTATTTAAAATTTTTCACAGGGGATGATCAATTTGTATCATCTTTTCAAATTTTCTTCAAAGGTGGATAAAATATTAATTCAATTAATCAATATTAATAAATTAAAACATCAATTCAAGTTGGATATCAAAGACGCATTGATTGTCTTGTGTTATCAGAAACTGGGAAGAAATAAATGAGAAAATACTATCCCTTTGCTCAGGCAAAAAGGGAAAGATAGACAAAGAATATTGTAAAACAACTTAAAAAGAGCTGTATTAGAGCCCTGGATACCATCCTGTAGAAAAATTAAGTAACTTGAATTAGTTAAATTGAACATAAATTACTAATGTAATGTATTACTATTACTAAATTGAATGTAACTAATTATGGTTAGGACTGTCAGGGTATGAATTGCAGTGAAAGTGGCATTTGGACCAGGCTATAAAGCTTGAATGGATCAGAGGGGAAGAGTTTCTAGGTTGGGGGAACAGAATGTAGAAAGACCACGGAGAGCTGATGGTTGGTTTGTAGAAGTGGTTATCAAAGCATGGACTTCAAACCACTGATGTGGGAATCACCTTATGAAAAATGCAGATTTCTGGGGTTTCTAGCTTATAAGTCTGCATCTAACATACTCTCCCTGCGTCATTCTCAGGCACACTAAATTTTAATCATTGATTTGCAGGCAAACATATCAGGATGAGGTGAAAAGAATGAGGGAAGTGGCTGCTCTGGTTCCTCAGGCAAGATATTTGTTCTAAGCCAAAGACTTCCTGTCTAATAGAAAATACAAAAGAGGCATTGAGGAAAACAAACAATAGTGGGAACTGCTTCTCTCCTCTCCAAGGCAACTGCTGATCCTCTTAAGAATATCGAGGAATAATTAAGCACGCACTGAAGGAGCGTTTGTAGTAAGAGCATGTCTGTCTCTCCTTGCTCTTTCTTCAGCGCCCTGAGTAGCGTCTCAAGGAACCAAGGCCAATGTGAAGAATCAGGCCACTTGGGCTGCTTGAGTTCAGGCTGGCGGCTTTAAACCAGCCTAGAGGCTCAAAGCTGATACATTCTTAGTTCTCGCCATTTCCCTAGAGGTAGATTTCATAAGGATCGGGGACCCAAATCCCAGCTAAAATTACAGAACACTCTTTCCTGGAGTAAAATAAAAATCCTAATGCTACAGTAGGCTGCTAGTTGAAAATTCAGGGACTTGGTGTATCTCTTCTTGTAAGGAGATATTGCTATTATACATCAATTCATTTATTCTTCAAAACAAACTGACAATATAGATATTATTGGCGCTACTAACACATGAGAGCTCTAAGGTTCAGAGAAGTTAGGGCACTAGCATATGTTCAGAGTTAGAAAGTTTTGAAGATAGAATTCAAATCCAGGTCTGCTCTGATTCCAGAATCCCCGTGGTCTTCATATGCACATTTCTTATCTCACTAATTGGAAAGCAAGTGGAGGCCATTGTAGGCAGACTTGATTCTTATACTATGTAGCTCTGTGCCTTGCATCTGGCTAGACTCAATGAATATTTGTTCACTGATTGCTGTAGAGGGATTATCCTGGATTACAAGGAAGCCTGGAGGGCAGGATGTTGGGCAGGGGAGATGTTTTAAGTGTAGAAAGTGTGCATTACGAGATGTCAAGTGGGTGAGCCCTGTGGCCCAGTGGTTAAGTTCCCATGCTCCTCTTCGGCTGCCCGGGGTCCGCAGGTTCGCATACTGGATGCGCGCACCTAGCACCGCTCATCAAGCCATGCTGAGGCGGGGTCCCGTACAGCAGAACCAGAAGGACCTACAACTAGAATATACAACTATGTACTTGGTGGCTTTGGGGAGAAGGAAGAAGAAGGAGGAGAAAGAGAAGGAGGAGAAGAAAAAAAAGAGATGTCAAGAGTTATCACAAGGCAGCAAGAGATGCTGTCAGATCACATGTTGTGTATCAACAGGGTGCTAGCCCAGAGCTTCTCAAATTGTGGTTCCAGGACCAGCAGTATCGCCATCAGCAACACCTAGGAACTTGTTAGAAACGCTAATTCTCAGGCCTTACCTGAGCCCTCCAGTCTGACGGAATCAGAAACTCTGGGGATGGGGCTCAGTATGTGTTTTTAACAAGCCCTCTAGGTAGTTCTGATGCAGGCTCAAGTTTAAGAACCACTGTGAATAATTTTTTATTGCCTCCATAGCCTATTAAAGGATAGTTTATGGACTCTGACAACGTGGAGAAAAAATACGTATTTTAGGTTTAATGTCTTGCTTGCTCTTAGAAGAGCACATTTTGAAAATCTGTTCAGTGAATCTTGGTCAGGTAGGTTTCAGCCTAGTTCTGGAAGATTTTTTTCTTTTTATGTTTGGAATTCAAGGGTTTTTTTTGAATTTTTACAATTATCAACGCACAAGCTGATACGCATGATAAGGCAGAGATGTAAACATCTATAACTAAGTTCCATTAAAAATAATCTCACAAGGATGAGAAAACATTCTGCACCAATGAAATTAACTCGATTCCACCGGCTGACTTACTTTCACATTTGGCACTTGTCTGAGTCCACGTCTCATCAGGGTTGCAGGTAATGACGCCTTGGCCCTGGAGTAGAAAGCCTTCCCTACACTTGATCGACACGTTCTGATCAACATAAAACTCCTTTTCAGAAAGCAGAGCGTTCTCGGGGATCACAAAAGGGACAGGGCATGGATTTGCTGTTAAAAAGAAAAGAAAATGCTTACCGATATTTTCCCTCTTTTCTTAATTTCTTTCTTTGAAGGCAGAGTATGAGCCCTGTAGGAGCTGGGTTCTCAGGGACGGTAATATGAGGCTTAAAAATATAGACCTTCAGACATTAAACGCAGACTTGCTTTGCATTCACATGAAATTATTTGTAAGGATAAAATTAGACAAGATCTGAAAACACGAATGCATGGTCTTTAACCTCCTGGGTGGCAAATTAAATTGTTGTCTGAAGTTATGGCCCACAACATTATTTTAGATTGTTTTTGATCAGCACTGGGGAAACAAAAGGTACGCTAGAAATCAAGGAGTTTGTCAAATATTCCCTTAATATTTGAAAATATTAAGAACATAGAGAAAGTGCTTCTTACTGTCGCTTCACTTTCTTTTACTGAAATCCTTCAGCAGGATGACCCAGAAGGTCATCAGACATTTCTAAGTGAGTTGAATACGACTTCAGACCCACGTTCCTATAAATAGGCTATTAGAACTTAAATTGTTGAGTTTGCCAGGCTTATTGATAAAAATTGATTCATTTCTGAAGGAAAAACAGGAAATGATGATAGTGCAAGGATTTCTTGCTGCAAGTGTGTGACACACATATCAACACCTATTTCTAGCAGTTTCAAGTTTTCTGATTTTCAATGGGCGCTAATCAATCTGTGAGTGAGGTAGGCGTCTGATGAATTCTAAAGGCTCAGTTACTGCCTTATGACACGTACGTTGCACAGTAACCAGAGCTCTCTCAATTTATACTTTGTGAATGTTTTCAGTCCAGTGGTTATAACTAATTATCTTTATTTACTATACTTATATATACTTTATTAATATCACACATTAAACATATTTTCTTTCTTCACCCCTTTCATATCCCCAATCAAATCCATTATACATTTACACCAAAAGGTTTTCATTAAGTCACATTTCCTCTTAGTACCTTGGACTTGCAATCATCCAAGGAATCTGATAAAAGCCGATTCTCAGACAGGATATTTTAGATAACACAAGTAGATTTTTAAAACACCCCATAGTATTTGGTCTGGATATGCACAGATCGCTTCCTCAGGGCCAAGCACACTGATCAGTGGAGTTTTCTCTATGTTTTAGACATTTGGGAAACAAATCATGGAACTGAGTCTGATTAAAACCTCTCCTAAAGTCAACACACACGTTTGCAGAGAGGAACTGGCTGGCTCCAAGTTCCATTTTCAGTGCAGTACGCCTCAGGAGCGCCTTCAAGGCTGTAGCCTCGGCTGCAGGAATACACCACGCTGGGTCCTGCGGTAGTGTTTTCGATTTCCGCTTTCCCGTTCAGAAACCCAAGTGGAGATTCACACTTGCTCTCTAAAAAGAAAAATAAAAGCCTCATATTAAATGCTTCTCCCAATCCTCTTTCCTTCTTCTGCTACAATTGCTAAAGGTACTCAAGGCATCATAGAAAATATTACAGCCTACTCATGTGTGAGGCACAATGATACCCATTGAAGGAGAAAAAAAATCCCAGCATGCCGAGTTTTGGATTAAGACAAGCAGACAATTAAACATTAGTATTTTGCCTTATTGACTCTAGCTGTCTTTATGTATGTTGCCACCTTTCGTTGTTAATAATGCTGGGGGTATGGATGAGCAAGTGGGTAAAATAAAGGAATTTTCATTTGTTAAGTTGCTACCATGGGCAAGAACTTTCCAGACATTATCAAATTTATTTCTTACAACTAGAGTTGGCCAGATAAAATACAGAATGTCCAGTTAAACTACAGTAGCAGATAAACAACAAATAAACTTTCAGAATAAATATGGCCCAGATATTGCATGGGGCACATTTATATTAAAAATTATTTTTAATCTGAAATTTAAATTTAACTGGGTATTCTTTTTTTGGTTTGTCTTTTGGTTAAATCTAGTCACCTTACAACAATTCTGAGATTATCTCATTTCACAGTTGAAGGAAAGTGAGGCTAAGAGAGGTTAAATAATTTGGTCAAGGTCATATTGCTTGTAAGGAGAGATTAAAGATAAAATTATTGGATGGTAAAATATAATAGGAAAATATAAAGGACAGGAAACCACGAACCTGGGGGCAAATTCAGATAAAGGACACATTATATGGTCTAGGGGTATACAGACCCCATAAACTGATGGGTAATTTTAGTGTAATTATAAAGAATGATTTTGCACCAGTGAGAAATGTTATTCATAGGAATGTGCTAGGAGGAAAGCAGGATCACCCTTTCAAAAATCATAAAAGAGTGAGTATGTCTTAATTTTATGATGTTTGTGTGGGTAGAGAAGGCAGTTCAGACCACTGATCCTCAACTTTGGCTGCACATTAGAGTCCCTGGGAAGCTCTTACGCTTAGGGCCCTATCGCAGACCAAATGTATCAGAATCTCTGTGTTGTGGACTTAGCTTTTGGCGTTTTCTTAAAAGCTCCCCAAATGATTCTAATGCTCACTCAGAGTTGAGAGCCACTGGATTAGATGCTAACTGACTTCTTTGGGCTTCTTTCAGTCTGGTGAGTATCACATGGTCTTAGGACCATGGTTCTTAACCTTGGCTGTAACTTGCAATCACCTGAAAGTTTGAAAAATGAATTGATGTGGGGTCCCCACCTTCAGAGATTCTGACTTAACTGATATAGGGTTCAGATTGGGCAAGAGATTTTTCAGAGTTCCCCAGGATATTCCAATGTGTGGAAGACTGAAAACCATAGGGTTGAGGCAGTGCTTCTTAAACTATAATGGGCATAGGAATCATCTAGTGATCTTGCTAAAATGCAAATTTGATTCAGTAGGATTGGGGGGTGGCCTGAGACTCTGCATTCCTAACAAGATCCCAGGTACTACTGATGCTGCTGGTCTACGGGCCACTTTGAGAAGCACGGGTCTAGGGAATCCTCCTGACTTGAACAGGCTTCCTTGAAACCTGATTGATACAGATATTGATATATTTAATAATTTAGTAAATTATATAAGGATTGTATAAATCAGGCTGCTCAGTATGAGCACTTTTTCCCCCCAGGAATATCTGTATTATTTTATGCCTAGGAAAAAAAGCACATAATAAAAAATATCAAAATATCAACAGTTTTTATCCCTGAGTGGTGGGATTAAGACTATTATTTTCTTTCTTGCCTATTGGTGTTTTCTAATTTTCTGCAAAGAACTTGTATTACACATTTAATAATTTAGAAAGAAAAGAAAAGCACAGAGAATAGCAGAATTCATATAGAGCTTTTTATTTCTATTTTGCATTGCAGAGATAGGAATATACAAACCATTGTCATTGGAGTTTGAATTAAATCTGCCACAAAGCTGAAACAATCCAGACACGTTTCCTCTTCATTCCCCACTCCCCTCTCCTGCACACACATTCACACACTTTTTGTTCATGAACAGCTGAGATAAAAAATGCTATTATCAGGAAACCTCAGTGATGCCTTTCTGTGACTCAAGAGATTACTCAATATGTTTTTCTATATAATATTTATATAGGTTTTTGAGAACTAAAAACACCCACATTCTCCATTGGAGTTTCAGCCATATAACATTCCTTAAAAGACATAAGATTCCTGTGCACACAAAAGCTGCTCGTTAATCTACCCCAGAAGATATGGTTGAAACAACAGTGAACGAAGCTTCAAGTACATCAAGTCTCAGGGCCAGCTCGCCCGTGAACTTAATTTATGATATTGGGCAAGTCACTCACTTCACCTCTCCTGGTCCCTATTTACTCATTTGTCAATCAAAGGGGCTGGACTATATCATCTAAGGGGCCTCTTCCAGTTTGAAAATTTAATGGCTCCCCCAGGAATATTAAGAGAATAAGAAAATTTAAAAGCTTGCCACTTTGATTGGTTTGTAACTATTCTAACTAAATACATTGTCTTTTGACAGAGGAATCACATGGACCATATGTTGGGAATAAAGTCATGTGTGTTAATCTACATCTTGCTAAACCAACTTGGCTGTTATAAAATGAGTTAATGCAAAACTCCACAAAAAATGTGAGCATTCATTTATTTGACAGATGTGCCAATATCACTTTAAGATGATGTCAGTATTAGCCAGTACTGTCACCAAAAAGCAACAGCTCTAAGCCTTCTAATTTATAATTATTTGAGGGAAAAGGAACCCCACGAAAAAGAAGGCAAATAAACTCAATAATTAACCAGCTTCTAAACAAAATGCTTGCAATTCCCGGGTCAGTAATCTTATGCTCTACTCCAATTTAATCATTAATCTCTACTACAGTTTTTGACCCTTTTATTGGTTTGGTGCCCTTGAGCAAAAACCCATTAAAGGGTCTCATGCAGTTTATGGAGTCAATTTTTTTTTTTTAATTACAAACCGGATTTCTAAAGAAAATGGACTTATACTGTTATTTTGTGTCCTCAGCATCATTTTCGGGACTGCTAAGTGCCATTTAACTTACTTTTGCACGTGGCTACCCCTCCACTCCACTGGCTGTTCTCCTGGCAGGTGCGTTCTCCGTTTCCCTGTGAATCAACGAAGAAAGGTCATTGACAGGATCTTAACTATAATGAAAAGATAATAAGGGAATGCAAAGTCATTTCAGCTATGAACTTGAATCTCTCAGCATTAGAATGCTACATAAATTCACTAAATAAATATAGTTTAAGGGGTAGCTTTACACTTTCAAAAATGTTTCATCAAATTACTTCAAAATTTACACTCTGGCTAATTAGTGTAATGAAGGTACAAATTTTGTTTCACTTTCTATTTAAATGACAACTAATTATAACCAATAGCAAAGAATGATGAAGAACATGTTTGAAACGTCAGAAGTATATTTGCTTGGCATATTTTGAATTGAATTTATTTTTCAATACCTGAGGGGTACAGCGAAGAATATGAATTGTTTTTTCTACACTCGCGAACAAGAAACATGTCAAGATAGCTCATTGGTATGAAGATGGAATGTTTTGACAATGCAACATATCTGTTAAAAATAAACTTCCCTAATAAGAGCCAGAGCATGTAAAATTTTAAATATTTTGGGTAAAAATCTTTCTAAAATTTACTTCCCTGTCTTCTGAAATAGAGTAAAATGCATATAACTTACTTGAAAAATTATTTATAATTATTATTTTGAATATACTTTTTGTATATTTTTAACTATCCCACAGCTCTTGGCAGCTCTATACATAGGCTGTTTGCCCCCTACAGTTATCACAGGCTTACATAGACTAAGACTACTGTTCTTGGATTTTTGGACATGATTTTTTACGCGTCCTTGCTTCCTCCTTCTTTGTTGTTCATCTTTTACCATAATCATCAGTGTTCCTAAGGATACCCCTTTTCCATGCTTTAAATTCCTAATCTACTATGGAATAATAAGTTAAATTTTATAATATTATGTGTTAAAAAAAGACTAGGTTCTAAGTACTGTTTTAAGAGGCTTGACTCTAAGGCAAGTATATGAACTCCCGCACGTGGATTTTGTCACATGTTTTTTCATTGCTCAGAGCCCTTTGGCTATCTTACTGTCTTGAAGCTGTGTTCTAAATTAGAAAGAAGTCTGAAAAGGAGCTATCATGTCTACTTTGTTTTGCTTTGTTTTGTTTTGTTTCTTTTTGAGGAAAATTAGCCCTGAGCTAACATCTGCTGCCAATCGTCCTATTTTTGCTGAGGGAGATTGGCTCTTAGTGAACATCCGTGTCCATCTTCCTCTACTTTATATGTGCGATGCCTGCTACAGTGTGGCTTGATAAGTAGTGCATAGGTGGGTACCCGGGATCTGAACTGGCGAACCCCGGGCCGCCAAATCGGAATGTGTGAACAACTGCCGTGCCACCGGGCTGGCCCTTACTTTGGTTTTTATCTGATTTACTGATGTCATCCTTATTGTTCTATTCAAAGGTATTTCTATTCAAAGATCTTCTATTCAAAGGTCTTTAAATGATCAGATTAATTACTGACAAATCTTTACCTGCAAGAATTTCATTGACTTTGATGAAAGGATACCGTCCTGACTTTCAAAAAAATATTCATTCTATAAAATTAAATGTTTCTTAAAAATATGTACTCATTACTTTCTTCTTATTGAAAAAGCAATAAGTGTTCATTATAGAGAGGTTGGAAAATGTAAAAGAAAAACAAAGTTTTCCAGGATTCTTCCTCCAGAGATAAACGCTGTTAACATTTGTTGTACTTTCTACGCTTATATACTTATGTATGCACAGGAAAATATACTATTCTAGTTTGTGAATTTTTTTTTATTAATTTCGAGGAAGGATATGGCAAACCATAAAAGCCAGCTCTCTAACTATTCGGGTTTTCCCAGAGTGGACTATACTCCTATAGTTAATTTTAGTAAATAGTTTAGTACTTTTTCTGTTACTATTTTTTCTTGTTGCCTTTCCTCTCATGTTTTGAAAGATAAATATTCTGTTTTGACTATGCGAATTTTTATTCCAATAAAAACTCAGATAAATCTATTTTCTATAACTGTTGATGTGAAAAAATCAAATATCATCTCATGGCTCTCTCCTCAGTAAGTTGCAAATTTCATCATGCATTTCCATCTTTCTTTTTCTCTCTCTGTCCCTTTACACATCTTGGGTTTTTCTCTCTCTCTTTTTTTTGGGGGGGGGGGGGGAAGATTAGCCATGAGCTAACATCCGTGCCCATCTTCCTCCACTTTACATGTGGGATGCCTGCCACAGCCTGATAAGCAGTGTGTAGGTCGTACCTGGGGTCTCAACAAGTGAACCCCAGGCTGCCAAACTGGAACGTGCCAACTTAACTGCTGCACCCCCAGGCCAGCAGTTTTTGGTGAATTAAACTGGAGTTTTAGGTCCAGATTAGCTTTAGGTTACTATGTTTGACATAATGTATCTGCTTAATCAACAATTCGGTTAGACAGTTATATTAAGTTCTAGAATAATAGCAACCACTCTATTTCTCATTAGCAGTGATTTCGTAACATGCCTATCTCATTTTTGAGTTCTTTATTTTGATTTATTCCTCAGTTGCCTGTAGGAATTTTTATTTCAAGATTGCATGTGTTGTAAAGTTTTTGATATTTAGATGACTCAAAAATGTTGTGTACCTTACATATAAATGAAAACTTATTCATATAGTACAAGAATTTAACATGATTTACATTAGTTGTTCTAATTGCTTTGTCTGATTTTGGTAATAAAACGAACATTGGAAGTGATGCTAATAACTCCCCTATATTGAACTCAGACAATGGATAAAGGACCAAGCTCACCACTGTTTTTCTCTTATCTCCAGCCCTTGCAGTAACTTCACAAATGTGGTTACTGCATTTCTACTATAGACAGGATGAAACAGGCTCAGAAAGGTTTGGCAGGTTCCCCAACATCTTCCATTCAGCAAGAGGACAGAGCCTGTGACAGAGGTCTGACAGGACCAAGTGCCTGCTCTTAACCACTTTCCCAGCCATTGACCTTTGGCGTCTGAGGTACTTGTTAAAAAGCAGATTCTTGGCCTAGGAACATACACTCCTTTTTACAACTTCTCAGATGATTCTCAAGCAAGTGGTTCATAAACTACTCTTTGAGAAACACTGGGAAACATCTCAGAGGAGTGGTTCCCAGTCCTGGCTGAACATGAGAATCACCTGGGAGCTTTTAAAAAGCTACTGCTGCCCTAGACTCAACCAACAGAGATACTGAATTAATTAGTCTTGGGTGAGAAACAGGCATTTGCAGTTTTTAAAACACTGTCTTGCAGAAAAATTCAAAGACATGAAAACTACAACAGTAGAAAGGACAGTATAACGACTCCCATGCAGCCAACACTCAGATTACACAATTAACTTAAGGCCAACCTTGTTTCGCCTAAGGCCCACTCCTTTCCCATGAACCTGCGTTATTGTGAAGCAAATCCTAGAAATCAAATTACTTAATAGTAAGTATTTCAATAGGAATGTCTAAAAGATAGGGGTTCTTAAAAATTATAACCACAATAACATTATCACACCTTAATGATTCCTGAATATTAATGAAATGTTGAGTTAGTGTTCAAATTTCCAATTGTTGCATAAATGTTATATTTTATCTTGTTACAGTTCACTTGAATCTGGAACAAAGTAAGGTCCACAGGGTTTATTTATCTCTTATGTACCTCTTTAAATCTACAGATTCCTTCTCAGTTTCCTTCCCTCTTACCCTGTCAATTTATTTGTTTCAGAAACCAGAAAACTGGGTCATTTGTTTTGTAGATATTTCCACACACGGAATTTTGCCGATTACCTCACTATGGTGTCACTTAGCGTGTTCCTTTGCCTCTGATACTGGTTGTTGGCTTTAGAGGCTTGACTAGATTCAAATTCAGTTTTTCTTGTTTTTGGCAAGACTTTTTCATAATGGTGTGTTTTCCCACCAGGAGACATATAACGTCTGGTTGCCTCTATTTTTTCTGACACCAGTAGCCATGATGACAACTTAAATCCATTAATTCTTAAGAGTTGCAAATTCTGAGATTTAAATTCTATCGTTTATTGACTGGAATACTTCTATAAAGGGAAACTTCCTTTCATCTACTATTCGGTTATCCAATCATCCAGTTTCTTCCTCTTTCGTTGTCTGTTTTCAAAATAATGAATTTGTTCTTGAGTATCCTCTAATAGTTACCAACTAATTTTCTTTTAATATCATGATGAGTCTACTGTCACTCATGACATATTTGATGTGTTTCAGTTATTACTCTTATTGATGCTAAAACGGTCTCATCTTGGCCCTTGGGGGCCTCATCCAGTTGGCCCCCGAGTCTTTTTAACACGTAGCCTTTGCTAGGTTGCCTGCTATCTCATTTGACAAGCTTTTCAAGGCTAATCTTTTACATTTCTTGTCCCAGACCTGGCATCCCTTATTTCTACAAGTAACTGGACATCAATATATTTTTTAAGTTTCTCTGGTAATTCTAAAATGTAGCTTGGAGCGAGAACAATTGCTATGGCACCTCTCTCAATTTTGTAGTTAGTTAACATTAATTTAAAAAAATTGTAAGGTAAATTATCTACTTCCTCAAACTTAATGACCCATCAGTTTGCTATATGTTTACATTTTATACCACTTTTCTTCTTAATAAATTGCAACACTAGTACTTTCACATGAAGAGCAACTGGGTTTCCAAAACAGAAAAACTCTCCAGTTGCAATCAACCATTACATTATTATCCTTCCTTTTTCTTTTTTTTTTTTTTAACTCTTTTAAGCAGTTAAAACAACATCCATATAAGCCCAGTTCCAGCTTTCATGGACCTCTTTATGACAATTCTTTGACTGCATGGTCAGAAAATAACAGAAGGCACTATACAAATTTAACAGATCACTGGCAATGAATAATTCTGCAAAACGTACATTTAAATACCACTACACCAACAAAAACAGCAGAGAAGGGTTTCCTGAAAAACCAGATGACAACGTTATACAATGTAAAACAGGCCTCTTAAATTTCAAGTTTGATGATATGATCATGCTTTCAGCAAAACTGACTGCAGCCTTCCCACCAAAGTAATAGGGGGACCTAGGCGCTGCTGATGGAGTTTTAATATTACAAAGCAGGAGTGGTCATGAGACCTAACTTAGTATTTGGTTAGAACTGCGATGAGGAATTTTCAGGCCAGATCTGCCATGTGGGAACCTGGCATCTCAATCAGGAACTTGTCAAGGTATTTGAGCCCATTGCTGGAGGCAATCCTAGCTTTGCATACCTAAATCCTTACGGTCACCTCCATACGGTGACAGATGGGCTGCCTTGTTGCAGAGTATGATTAACAGGAGGCAGAAACACAGGTTTAAATGGGCAATTGAAGTCACAGTACCAGTCTTGTGGTTGGTATACTAATTTCCTCCTCCTTTACCATGGCTTTAATTTTTTTAATTCAAGACTTATTTTGCCTTTTAAAATTATAAATCACCTTAAATATTTATTGTAAAGTGTTAGGATAAGATAATAAAGTATAAAAAAATCTTTTAGAACCAAAATCAGTGAAAGAAATCAGTGCTAATAATGAAAATGTTCCCAAGTAGATCAGAAAAACAAATTAATTCTGGTTAAAAGTTTGTTCACTTACTTCTAATTCATAGCCAGGTTCACACTGATAAATAACTGTGCTTTCAAAAGTGTATTCACTGCCAACCACAAATCCATGCTCTGGACTTTCAGGTTCCCCACAAGAAACTGGACTGCAGGATTCATCAGAAAATGGTGGCTCCCAGGTGCCATCAGGCTAAATAACAAATAACAAATTATGTTACATTTAGGAGTTAATACGTATGAATGAAGAAGTTTGCAAATACTGACTGTATGGCAGAATAATCTCCAAAATAATAATCAAGAAGATCTAGAATTTGGTCTTTCTGCTACTTTTTATCTGCAGCCTTAAAAAACACGTTATTTATTAGACGGCCTTAATGGTCATCTCTAAACAATTTTAGACACTTTTTAAACACAAAAGCCAAGCTTTTTGTTCCTAATAGAATCCATTAAAAAAATCAAGGACTCCAAGAAACATGTTTTCATTATGATGGATGAGGACTGGATGGTTGGTACAAATATTCCATGACATAACAACGCACCCATATATTTCACATAATTCTACAGTTTAATTTAATGTTTATGAGAAATAGCAACTTATAGGCATACCACTCAAAGTTTAAAAACTTGCCTTCCTTTTCTCCATTCCAACACGAATACTTGAAAACATTCTAGTATGTATTTTGGAACCGCTCAAGTACTTAAAAAAATATATATATATATATACTTATATATATATACACACATACACTCTTTTGGGCATCTATGGGTGGACCATATGACTTATGACTAATTTGTCATGAATATCTTGTTATAGATATGTCAACATTTTATCTAATGAATATCCTGTTATAGATATTTTAACATTTTATCTAATGAATATCTTGTTATAGATATTTTAACATTTTATCTAAATGTTTTTTCACCTACACTTGGCACTTTCTTAGTTTAAAAATGGGAATATTGGAAAGAAAGATATATTTGATTATATTTCTACCAAAAAACTTCTCAAATCCTTTGATATGATTGGGAACTTGGGGCATTTTTTCTTTTCAGGACAGCAAGATACTGCTTGTGTGGGGACATATACATTTATATATACAATACATATAAATGAATTACACTTACACATTCTAATTAAGATAGGGAGTCTTACCTGACATGTTGATGTGTTAACCCCCTCATTGGTATACCCTTCTGCACATGACACAGAAACTTGCTTATTCACACTGAAATCATCCCCGTGAATGAGTAGATGTGTTATGTTTGCTGGCAGAGGACATTTTCTGGGACTGCAGGAGATTGTCTCAGGGAACCAAAGACCATCTTTCTGACAGGTGAATGTATCTATATCTGTATCCATCATATAACCCTCCAGACACCTGCAATGGAAAAGCCAAAATGAGCGCCTTAAAGTGAGTACAATATAATTGATGCTCTGTTCTTGGATTTAAGAAGCTGTTAAAACGCTCAGTAGACACTTTATGTGATACATAAAATGGATTCAAACATCAGGTAGATGGCATTGCCATGCCAAAACACCAACACAGCAATGATAACCAGATCGATCTTTAGTTATCCACATTAAAGATTAGCCAAGACAAGTTGCCTTAAATGTTGTTATTATTTACCTTCATTGTGGATAATATCACTATTGAATTCATTTATTCTAAAAACAGATGACAGTTCAAGAAATTCTAGACAAAGTCATAAAAAGACTTAGATACCAGTAAGAATATAACACAATTAATATTTATTGGGTATCTACTTTGTGCCAAACACTGTTCTAGGCCTTTTAAATAGGGTATTTCTTTTAATCCTAATTATTAGCTATTATCATGTAACAGTAGCATGGGTGTTCAAACTCAAGTTCAATCTGGCTCTAAAACCCTCTGTGATTTTTAAAATTTGCATTTATTTGCTCAGCAAATATTTACATAGCACTTATTAAATTCCAGTCGCTGTTCTAAGTGCTCTACAAATGTTAACTCATTAAATTCTCATGTGAACCCCATGCATAGGTACTATTATTACCTTTATTCCCATTTGCAGATAATGAAACCGACATCAAAGAGATTAAATAATTTCCCCAAGAAGTGACAGCTGAGATTCCTACCTAGGGAATATGGCTCTAGAATCCAGCTTTTGCCACCATACTACACTGCCTTTTTAATTAAGCCACTTAATTAACTAACATTTATTAGGTGGACATATTTTTTAATTTCACAAATTATAGACTAGGTAGAAGTCCCAGGTTTTGCAAGCTTGGAATGATCTGTTTATCTGCTATTAAGTGAAGATCTGAAAGAAGAAGTAATCACCAGACAATAAGGAATAACAAACAGAGAAGTCTTGAGAAGCAGGCGATACGTGACTTCTCAGGGTATCTGACACACCAACATCCACATAAAAACTTGAAAATGCATATCAAAAGCAAGGAATCATTTTTGTTTTTCTTCTCAGCTCATGAGCCACTACTCTTTAGCTTTCTTATTGACAATCTTCCCCTGGGTCTACTTCTTATTGCAATTAAGAGAAAATGAAAGTAGGATTAAAATGTCCACAACAGACATGCTTAAGAAGAGTTGTTGAATTATTAATAAACTCTAAGAAGCCAACCTGTGAAGGATAACCCATAATTCCTTTGCAGATGTTAATAAAATCTAAATTGACTTAGAGAGTTGAGATATCTTTGAACATTTCAGGGATTTATTCCAACAAAAACTTAATTTAAAAATTAATTCCATTATTTTCTCATCCTTTTAAATAATACATTTTAGCTAGAAAACTTTTCCAGCAAAAATCACCTTTGTGCATTAAATGCTTAGTTTGTTCAGATAGCACAGGTTGGAAGTCCCCTTAAGACTATCACCCTATTTTTATTGATTAATGAAAGTGGTCTTTTGACCTGAATTCTTCAGCTTTTCCCTTATTTCCTCAACATCTGCACGTATGAATATAACCATAAAGTGATATCACAAAGAAATTTACCAGCATGACCTTTGAAAAACAGCCTTGTGATTTAAGAGATGTTAAAGCTAGCTAGAGGATCTTGCTGGTTCATGAAGCTCAATGGAATATGACAATCATGATACTTATATTAAGAATTACAACCTGAAAATGTAGAATTTTATCTTTATAGTCAACGGGTTTCTATATAAGTATGGGTAGAATAAAGCCAAGTGTTAAAAGCTTTAGTTTTTGGAGAGCAGTCTTGAGGTGGTATTTTCTTCCTAATGAGCTAAATTTTTGATCTATGACTTTTCATTTTACAACCCTCCTGCCTGCACCCCTTGGAGACTGAAGAGCCATGGTCTTACCTGAGTTTCACTTTACTTTCATAGGTGTGTGCCTCTCCAGTTGCCACTGCATTGGCAACAGACGGTGGGGGTCCACAGGACACTGGCTCACAGACGGGATGAGGCTGGCTCCACATCCCTTTCTCCATACAAATCAGATCTGAACTGCCTTGTATGACATACCCAGGTCTGCAGTTGTAAGTGATCACATTTTCCTCTAAAGAGCCACTCTCAGTGATGAATGCATTTGGTATCACTGGGAGAGAACCACAAGAAGCGTGTTCACAGCGTGGGAAGCCAGAGCTCCACTGGCCATTGGCTTCACAGGTGATTTCAGAAAGTCCCAGGAGCTTGAAACCCTTGAAGCACTGAATCTGGGCTGCCTTTCCACAACCAAAATCTGTCCCATTGACAGCTCCATTTTGAATTACTGGTGTGGAACACCTGCAAGGCAGGCAGGACGGTGGGCTGCCACTCCAGGAGCCATTGGAGAGACACTTTCTTGAAGGACTTCCATGGAGCTTATAACCAGAAAAGCATTGATACTGTATCTGGCCCCCATGAGAAAAGGAAAAGCCATTAGGGAAGCCATGAGCAAGATCTTCAGGGGGTCCACAGTTGACTGGTTTACAGAGAGGAACCTCTGCATCCCATGTCCCATCCGACTGACAGGTGAGTTTTGGAGCACCATGCAAGACATAGCCCTCCTGACAGTGGAACACTACTTCCTTCCCCAAACCATAGTCTAGGCCATCCATCGCCCCATTTGCCACCTGTGGTGGGCTGGCACATCTGACAGGCACGCAGATGGGAGTGGTTCCACTCCAAGTTCCATTGGCAAGACAAACACGACTCCTGGCTCCCTCAAGTAAGAACCCTACCTTGCAAGTGTACTCAATCTCTTTTTGGAATGTATACTCATCTCCTTTCACCTGGCCATTGGCTGAGATTGGGGGTGAACCACAGTCCACAGGAATGCAAATTGGCTCATCCCCATCCCAATTTTTATTTCCTTGGCATGTTCTCCTCTCAGTGCCATTCAACACATACCCAGGATTACACTCATAGTACAGCACGCTCAGGTATGTGTAGTTACTTCCTTTGATGGAGCCATTCATAACCGGATTTGGTTTTTTGCATGAAATGGCCTCACAGCGTGGAGAAGTACCACTCCACTCTCTGTTTTGGAGACAAAGTCTTATGTCAGAGCCCACCAGAATGTGTCCCGGTTTGCAGCTATATTGTGCAGCGCTGCCCATGGTAGTCTCTGTAAAATGCAAAAAGCCATTTTCAGGAGCAACAGGCAAGTCACATTCAATTGAAATGCAAGATGGTGCACTGCCATTCCATGTTCCATCTTCCTGGCAGATCAGTACAGGGTTTCCCAAAAGTTCATATCCTGGATTACAGGTGTATGAAACCATGGTGCCATATAGAAAGTTTGCTGAATGTGTAGCAGGAGATCCCTTTGTGTTTTTCCAGGTTTTAGCCACTGCTCCCAGATGACGAGGAGGGTGAGGAGTCACATATGGAACTTCCATCACATCTTCTTCCTGGTCAAAATATCCCTGACCGTCTTTGACCTTAGTACAGTCTCCAAAATCAATGTGAGGAGGGAGCCCACAGTCTATGGGTACACAAGTTGGGATGGAGCTGGACCATCCTGACTCTTCACAGGTCTGCATGGCATGACCAGCTACCTGGAATCCAGGGATGCAGCTGTAGATGATCATGGCACCATAGCTGTAATCTGCACCTTCTACAAAACCATTTTCAATGGGTTGTGGAGGATTACAATGGATGGCGTTGCAAGATGGGACATCCACATCCCAATTACCTGTCTCCAAACAAGTCAAGGCTTTGGGACCTTCAAGCCTAAAGCCTCGGTCACAAGAGTATGTAATGGTTTGCCCATAGTGTAGGTTTGTGTAAGTGAATTTGCCATTCAAAATCTTCTTGGGCTTTGGGCACTCAATGGGTTTACATGTTGGTTTTCCTCCAAGCCAGTGACCATTTTCTCCACAAAGGGTGGTAGTATTTCCCACCAACTCAAAGCCTGGCTTGCAGGTATAGAGAGCTGTGCTGAGATAAGCAAGACCTTGCACATCAATGATGCCATTGAGGATTTCTTCAGGTTGGGGGCATTCTACTGGAACACATTCTGGCAGTGGAGAGCTCCAGGTACCATCAGCTTGGCAGAAAGTGGTAGGATCTCCTCTTAGGAAAAACCCATCCACACAAGAATACTTGACAGTACTTCCAAAATGAAGAGCAGAAGAAGGAGCAGGAACACCAAAGGAAATCAGGGGAGGTGGGAGACACAGAACCATCTTACAAATAGGAAATGAATCATTCCATTGCTGGGATGGCAAACATTTCAGGACAGAGGGGCCCTGTAGAGCATGCCCTTCTTTACAGGAAAACATCACCACTCCTACCTCAGTAGTCAACTCCTTCAACACGAGCTGGTTTTCCAGGAGGGGTGGCTCTGGGCACTTGGTGGGCACACACTTTTGGTTTGGCTTCTTATTCCATTTGCCAGATTTCTGGCATGTCCAAGAATTGTCGCCAACAAGCTCATAACCCTCATTACAGAAAAACTGAACCTTGGACCCTACTTCAAAATTTTCTCCTTTCATGTAGCCATTCTGGATTGGAGGAGGTTTTCCACAGTTGAGAGGGATGCATGACAGAGGAGATTCACTGTGCCAGTGGCGATTGGCTTGGCAGACAAATACAGGACTTCCAACTGACTTATAGCCTGGATTACACTGATACCTCACTTCACTCTCAAAGATCCTGCCAGTTGCGTGCTGCATAATAGGGAGAAAACAATTAAGTACAATTTATGTAACAGATAATATGATTAACTAAATACATTAAATAGTAAAAAAGAGACTAAAATGTCTACATTAAAATGAATCAACTTAGACATAAGCAAATGAGGACTTACGTTTTTTCCAGTAAGTCCACTCTATGTTTTTCAATAAGTGAACAAAACAAGAGGTCAATTAAGTAATCTTACTGCAGAAATGTTGACCACAGTGCTGAGGCCATAATACGTAAAAGATCAAAAGTCTCTAAATTGATTGATGAATTGATAGAGTGATACAGAAAATTAGAAATTACTTGGTAAATTCAAAAAAATCTTGCTGACCAAAGTCATGCCATAGTTTGTTGTTTTAATAACATAAAGGGAAACACACACGAACATACATTTATTTGTTAATGTTGTTTTATAGTACAAAAAGCACACAAAATATTTTTCATGGATATGGTCCTAGGAGTTTTATCAGAGTTTTGTGTTCATTCTTAACATACTTGAAAAAAATTATGCTATAAAATAAGGATGGGAAATAAAAAGCAGTATTTTATCTTTAAACAAAAGTTTAATCTTCATGATCTCAAAATTCAAATAAATAAGTGATTCATATAATAAAAGGTCACTTTTAGGCGGTACAAAAAGTGAATTAGTTATGAAAACTAAAAAGATTACTATGGTTCTTTGTTAGTGATAATGGTAAAGTCTAGCTTCTGTGTTGTAGTGACTTCTCAGTAATTTGAACATAATTATTTGTTTTGTTTACTTATTTATTGCTTGGGGACCCCACATGCATGTAAGCATGATGTCATCACAGACTTGATCTGTATTATTAATTACTAGATCTCCAATGCTTATCTGGCGCCTAATAAGAGCTTCAGAAATATCCATTAAATTAATGAATGAAGAAAGCCTCCTTACATAAACCATATACCATCTTCCGATAGAAAGCTAACATATCTGAGCAAAAGTCTTAAATAAAAGGCGTTTACTATTATTTTGTTGTTGTTAAATAGAAAAGAGAAAAGGTACTATATATGTGTGGGTTTTTATAAAGTGTTTAATTAGAATATTATTTATTTAAAATGGCCCTTGATTTGGAGGAATAGATCCTCATTCTCGTTTTCTTGATGCTTTTAATGAGAAGACGCGTGTTAGCGTGAAAGCAGGGCATGAGGGTCTGACGTAACACTTTGTCCATCAGGGCGACATTGCCTTTAAGCTCACTCAAAGAAGCTCACAAAAACTGCATCATAGTGAGTGGATGGTTTACCTCATCTTTTCTCTAAAAAGTAGAAACAGTCATATTTCTCTAGGTTTCATTGAGACCTTGATTTCTATAAAATAAAACATACATCTATCTTGGAATAACTTTTTTGATAATGCAAAGTGGTATTTTATTAAAATTGGCTTATTCCAACTTCATGGTTAGGGCTAAGATATTGCTACAAAGGGCTTCGAGTGTCTATATGCTAGCAGAAAGTAGAAAGCTAATATATTAAAAGGATTCATAATGTCTATCAAATTTTCTCCAATGTTCACTACCTATAGATTTAGCTACTTCTGTTTTTCAACAACTAATCTGTTTACTGCCTCTGCTTCTGAATCCCCCGTTAGCCACAATGGGCTGGCCCTGTAATGAAAGCCATGGATCACTTGCTAATTAGTCTCTTACCTCCAGAAAGGCATTCTCTACCTTAGGTGGTTCATTGCAAGATACAGGGTGGCATGTGGGTGTGGGGCTACTCCACTGTCCTGTGGCTTCGCAGGTACTCTTCTTCTCTCCTTTGACGTAGAACCCTTTGTTGCAGCTATAAGCTACCATGGCCCCAAAACTGTAGTTTGATCCACTTGCATAGCCATTCATGATGCTTGGTGGCTCTCCACAGCGCACGGGGATGCACTGGATGGACAAGGGGGAAGGGTTCCACTGCCCACCTCTCATACATTCTATCTTGGCTGAGGTGTTCAGTACAAAACCTTCCATGCATTTGAAGCTTACAACTGAGCCTGCTGCAAATTTGGCTTTGCTCACAGATTCTAAGATGCTGTAGGAAACAGATGGAGGTTTTTCACAGAAATGAGCTATACAACGGGGCACGGCCTGACCTTCTGGGGGAACCCACTTGCCCTGGGCATTGCAGATGAGCTGGGAATTGTCTGCCAGGCTGTAACCATCTGAGCAGTAGTAGAATGCAATGTCTCCAAATAACCGATGGGCGGTCTCTGGAGAGGCATGTTCCACGTTGGGGGGCTCATCACAGGAGACGGCCAGACACTGCTGGTTACTTCCACTCCACTCGCCACTGGCCAGGCATTCAATGGTGTCAGGACCAGCAAGGGTGTAGCTATGAGATTGGAAGGAAAGAAACAATAACTAAGGATAATATCTGAGAAAAGGTGTTTGCATCTTCACATTCTGCTTTTATTATTTTATCTGTCCAATAACGATTTTACTTTTACTCTTTAAAACAATACTTACTGTTTGAATATTGCACTTATTGATCAAATGACTTTCATTTGAGATATAGAAATACATCTTGATATTAATATTAATGCTTGTTCAGAAAGGGAAGTGGCCCTAAGATTTTTGCTATTTAAGGAACTCTAAAAATTGTTACACATTTCCTTAAGAAGAAAAAGTGAGGAGCAAGTTATAATTTTGTTTGACTCAATTCAAAATTGGAACTTCAACTGTCTTTAGATGGTTTTAGTTGGTTGATTTTATCCCTAGTCTTTGAAACAATCTCTGATGAGCCACATGTAGCCTACGTATAGTTCATAGTTATGCACTTACATATATTCAATGAACTTTAAAGCAGTGATTATAATTTTGTCTCTGATGTTTCCTAAACCCTTAACCATGTGGTTAGCGTTAAAAGCTGTGTTCTGCACATGGGTCTTCTCTTCAACCAGTATGAATAAATTCTGCTTAATAACTCTTAGTCTTTCTTTATGCACAAGGTGTTTTCCAATATATGATAGACTGAGGACGTAAAAAAATCTTAAATTACTCTCAAATGCTCTTTCAATGAAGCAGAACAAAATACTAGGATATGCAGTATTAGCATAATGACATTTTAGTCATTCTTATTTTCATTCTCACTTTCCTGCTGAAGAGAGATGACAGAGTTTTAAAGGAATGTCTAACAACTAATGAGTTCGTCATTTTGATATTAAGGAACCGTAAGGGGACTAAAATAATTTGGCACCTAACTTAATCCTTATTAGACATATTAATTTATTCATTTCACAGATGAGTGAACGATGGTTCAGACAGGCTAAGAAACTTGCCTAGAGTCACACAGCTGCAAGCAGCAGAATTAGGATCTGAATTTGGTTTATGGGATTCCAACACTTATACTTTTTCCATGACATTGCTCTGTCTTTCTTCCTCTCTCTTTTTACAATGAGGTAGGTTAAACCACAATTTGTGGGTGTCCTGTGGGAACAGTATTGCAGTGTCACGAGTACAAATTATTTGACCCACACTTAAGCAATGATTCTTCAGTCATTAGTTAGTAAACATTTCTCCTGAGGTCCCTTTTAGTTTTTTATAAGAATTAGCTATTTTGGAGGGGTTGGAATTCCTTCACCCTCACTGGCAAGACTTATGAAATCTATAGGAGACAGAGAGGTCAAGGAAAAAAATGATAGAGCATCAGCAGAAATGTGTGCATTCACCCTACCTGTGGTCATATATGATGCTACGGACAGAAGTGGTCTCAGAACGAATATGCCGAGATATTTCTACAGCTGAGCACAGTCTCCAGTTAGGGTCTGCTGCAGTTCAGTGTTGGGGATAAATTCAGTTCTTTGTATAAGAACCTGAACTTGATAAATTTTTAGACAACTTCTGTCTTGGAGAATCCAGGAAGGTATACAAAGATAATGATAAAAGCATAATTTTATTATTAAAAAACTCATTATCCCAGGTCTGAGTGCCCAGATTCTACTACTCATGTGTCACGTGTGCTCTGGATGGAAGTTCCATTTGGAGAGGCTCCTGATGTTTAAATTTTTATGGCACACTTCAGATGCTTTTATAGCACACATTGAACCACGCATCATTATCGTCATGAGTCCCTTGATGTTGCCAGCATATTTCACTGGTTGAACTTCACAGACATCACCTGAGACATCCCTGATTTATTAGGATCCATTGTACCATCTATAAAATACTTCCTTTATTTCATGGGACCATCTGCTTAGAGGCAGAAGCATCTGTCTCCAGAACCTTCCTTTTTCCTCAAAGTCTCTTGAAGACACAAAAATGGTGTTTTGTAATTTGGCAGCACTTTGTTAGGCCTCTGACCCATGATCTTCTGGAAAATCTCCACCACTGCTCCTCCCTAATGGAAAAATCATGGCAAAGCTCTTCTGGAGTGTAATGGAAGATTACCATCAAATACATATATTTTGAACAAATGAATTTAAAGAGTGTATTTTGGATACTATCCATATTTCTTAGAACCTACACTATCCCTTTCTCTTACCTAAAATCTTGACTTTTCTTTAAGTGTATCAATCAACATTTAGTCCTTCACTAAATAATTCTTAAGGGCCATACTCTGTGCTAGAGTCACTTCCTTAGGGCAGGATGCAATGCCAATGTATTTAGCTGTTTACATGTCTGTGTCCACCCCCGACCCCACCCACCCCCACTACCTGGTGCAGTATAGGCCCCTTCACACAGTGGTTGCTTACAGTAGAAATGATTGATCCTAACCAAAGAATGAGAAGAGGAGGAAAGGCTTCCCAGATAAAATGGCTTTTGAGGGGAGTCTTGAGAGTGGAAAAGGAATCATTCAAGGCAGAAAAGTAACATGAGCAAAGGAGTATGGGGCGTTCTGGGAACTTGCGAACAGTTAGGAATGGCCTATGAACACCTGGCAAAGGAAGTGATGATCACCAGGATCTTGTGTACTTTTGACAGGTGGTGACAGTTGATGGGTGAAGATGTGACGGGCACAGATTACCTGGAAATGGTTTCCGAAAGTTCCTTTGACAAAGACTCTCATAAGATTTTAGCAGACAAAATGTCGCTAGGACAGAAACTATTTAAGCGGTTTATTAACTGGATGACCCAAAGAGTATTGATTAATAGAAATAAGCTAGTTGGGAGTTTCACATCTTGTAAATGCCACAAAACTCTGTCCTTAGTCCAAATGTCCATCAGTTTGTAGGCAATACATAACTGTAGGGTGGGGAATAAGGTTTTTCACAGGCCAGTTCACTGTTTACAATCTTACAAGGTAATATTTAACAAAGATAAAATGGAAGGTCCTGCACATAGATAATTTAAAAAATTGTGTAAATTAAAAAAAATGGCTTAGTGGCAGCCAGTGTGAAGGAGTTTCACTGAATGTAAGTGGAATGAGTCAATGGTGACATCCTTAGAAGAATTATTGCGTTTCTAGAAACTCATTTGTCTAGGAAAAGAAGAGGAGAAATGAAATAAATACTTATCTTTTAAATACGACGTGGCAGTTCCTAGATTTGGCGTTTTTATTCTGTGGTAATTACATTCTAATTTGATGTGCCAGTGTGTGTTCAGTTCTGGGTACCACAATTCCAACTGGGCTATAGACCTATTGGAATAGGCTCACAGGAGAGTGACTGGGATTGAACAGACTTGGGATCGTGTCCACTTATGAGAAAGAGAAGTGCAGACTTGAGGTTGAGCTGGCTAGAACGTCTGTCTCTACATCTTCACTTCCAAAGCTGCAAGCTTGACGTCCTAGCCAGAGGGAGGATCATTTCTCAGTCATAGAAACATGTGAAAGGGGTGAGATCCCTTGCTGAAGCCTCTCAATTATCTCTAATGATCCATTTTTAGGAGAATCTTGGGACCAGGCAATCAGTACTTGAATGGCTGGCATTTTGGAGGTGCCAAGAAATTTACACTGAGTGGCTTCAAGAAACGGAACTAAATCTGTGTCTTAGATTAGATAACATATCCAATGTGGATGGGGATAAAGGTTTATTAAAAATAACTATCTTCTAAAATATATCAGTTAGTCTTCTAAGATACTAAAGAAGGATATATTTTCTGAATGACAAAAAAAGAGGAATTAATTGCTAGCTATTGCCTACATAGAACTGTAACTGGTCTCTGATCAAATTGTTGCACCACTTCATTATGTTAGAAGTCTGAATGTGTGTTAAAATTTCTGGGAGACATATTTCGCCTGCTTACTTTTTAAAAGAATTATTTTTAAAAAGATAAAGTTTTGTACATGTGATGACGTATGTCTTATAAATGTTGGCTACCAAAGCAGGAAAAATTGGAACTGGCACATATCTAAAACGCTGGAATATTTAATTTTATTCTGTGCGACATTTTTTATTCTCATTCAAGAAACGTTGGGGACACTCTTGCAGACTGTCGTTTAAAATCAGGCTATACAAATTATAAAACAAATTGTTTTACTCCATAATTTCAAGGAAAAATGATCCATCGATATTACAGTGATGCCATAGAAGGCCACCTTTTAGGAGAAATTGGCTGTAATACAGTAGCATATTTTTGGAATAATAATGACAAACGCTTTGAAAATGGGCAGAGGAATCTTCAGATGCTATTTCCAGTGATTTGATTCACACACTGAGGGGAAGCCTGTTAATGAGCATGTGCCTGGGAAGTTTTATGAGAGGCTCCCAAGTGGGTTATTAGCTCTTCTCTTTTTAGAAGAAGAACCTTACAAGAGCCTTAAAAGAGCAACATATTTAACGAGCTGCAATCTAATAAGAGCAATGGAAAGCATAAATCTGCATCAGTAATTATTTCTGTTTTCAATTAAAAACGATGATCAACAATTTTATCTTAGTAAATTCAGCAATGCATTTAAAAGTCTATATTTGAGAGGAATCAAAAGGGAAACATTCTAATAGGATTTTAGGATGCCAATGACCCTTCCTTCTCTCTGAGCTTCTCACCAAGAGTCTACACACAGGGATGAAAAGAAAAATGGGAAACAAGTGACCACTTTGTTAATTTGGGTAAACGGCTGATGTTTACCCCAGGGCAATGTTTTGATAAAAGGTGAATTTGGAAAGCCAAGTTTAGGGCAGGAGGCAGAAATGAGGCTCCTTGCTTCTTTCCTTCTCTGCCATTCATCTTACTACTCCAGTCTCCTAAAGTATCTGTTCTTTCATCCTAAACTTGAGACTGGATCTTTCCCCCTTAATTCAAGGAAAGGCTGGTACAAAGCACAACATCAGTAAAGGAAGAAAAAACAATGAGACCGAAGCAAGACTGCACGTATGTGCATGTAATTAGCAGGCCTGGGTGGCCTAAACAGTGTGCAGAACAGTGACCGGTGTCAGGCAGTCTCAAGGGAGAAGAGAGAGTTGAGAGGGTTAGAGAGGGAAATAGGCCCTAACCCTCTTATCAGGCCAACAGCATCTTAGGAAGTGGAAGAAGAGAGCAGGACAGGCCCCATTACACAAAAGCCATGACTTGAACACAGTGCTGCCATCCTTGCATAGAACAACACAGTGCATGCTGACCTACGCCCATCAATCACCTAGGGGAAGAGATCGAAAAGGACGAAAAGAGAGAGAGAAGGGGGCCAATTGACTTCCAGTTCTGGCTACAAGAAAGTCTGAAAACCCTCCCTATATAAAACTTGATGAAATATAACAAAAATGATTTTAAATGCGTAGCTGAGCTGACAAGAAAAGAAATCTCCATGTGCTAGAAATGAAGAGGAAATTAAAAAGTGAAAAGTAAGCCTGTAAACGAATGCTGTGGTTGTCCCTGGATTGGACAGGGAAGGGAAGAAGAGAGGATGGGACATACTGCCTTGGAGTTCGAATAGAGAGCAACAGCAGAGTTTCTGGCACGACCCTAGTCCTAGCAGGTCATTCACAGGATATTCGCTAGAAACATTCCACCTAGAGGCTCGGTGGGATGACAAGTGAGATCTATTTGCTGGGCAATTTCTTTGCCTGTTTGTTTTTTTGTTGTAGGAATATTGGCACTGACCTAACATCTGCACCAATCTTCCTCTGTTATATGTGGGATGCTGCCACAGCATGGCTAGATGAGTGGTGCCAGGTCTGCACCTGGGATCTGGGCCTGTGAACCCCTGGCCACCAAAGTGGAGAGCGCGAACTTAACCACTACGCCACCGGGCTGGCCCCAGGAAGAAATTTTTAAATGAGTCACTCCACAGGCGAGAGATGGGGCCATCAAAAGCTAATTCTTGCACTGACATTTTATTATTAAAGATTTCTTTTTCACTTAAGAAGGTGTTAAGATTTGGGATTTCTGTCAGCTGTTTATACAAGTGTTTGACGCTCAAGAGCTATTTGCAAGGAAATATTGTCGCCACCTGCTGGCAGTCCTGTATTAGTAGGACGGTCTTCCATGAGGCGAAACGAATTTCAACTTCCGTGCTATTATAGAAAGTGTGTCCTCTTATCTGTGCTGGAATCATCATAATAATGGCAAAGTCTGCCGATTTATTGAGTCGTTTTCCAGCTAGTCTATCATTACGTCATTTTATTCCTCACAATATCCATATGAAGCATGAACCTTTAATGAACTCATTTTATGTAGGAAGACAATCAAAGCACTGAGAGGTTATACCATTTTCCCAAGGCCACACAGTTAATGATGGACAGAGCTGAGACACAAATCCAGAAAATGGTAACCCCTCTGCTGTTGCTGCTTCCAATTGTGTGAAGAGCAACTCGGGTAAATCTGTAGCATGAAAGCACTATTACTGGTGAGGATATTTATTGAGGAAGCATGGGGAAAAAAGCAATGACATGCCAGTCAGATGACCTGGGATTAAATCACCCCTCAATTCTTTATTGCCTGCCGGAGACCCTAAGCAGATCACCATCCCAGAGTGAGCTCTCCTTTCTCCGTAACTCACAGGGTTTCCATGAGAAGCAAATGAGATAACGAGTGTGAAAGCAATTTGCAATCTGCTCCCTGGTTCTACAAATTTTATCTCTGAATTAAAAGAGATTATTAAAAATGTAAAAATCTGAACTTTATTATCCTTTTTCCTGCAGATGTGTCATCTTTCGTTGTGACTTAAGTCTTGCCTTTGGTTTTGAAGAGGATAAATCTACAAATGCTTATTTTGATGTGTTTTTTTGCATCTTTAATTAAAGTATAAAGATATTTTCCATTGAACTGCCCAATGTCCATTATGCAAGGCTTAATTTGATAAGCTACTCTAATTCCAGGAAAACATTGCTCCCCTAGGAGAATATGCTCCCTTTCTGCCATCAGAAAGCAAGAGCATAAAGCTCTCTTTGGCTCTGGCTGCTGGGAAATTTAATTGAGTGTTCAGAGAAGCCCATGTCTGCAGTCAGGGAACATCCACTCCCAATGTTTCTTCCCTTCCTAGGCTCTACTCACCCTTCTTTGCAAGTGTAAGTAACAGTGTTCCCAAAAGTGAAGTTACTCCCGGTGATGACAGCATCTTTGATGGCTGGCGGCTCTCCACAGAAGACAAGATGACAGGTAGGTGGCGCTCTGTCCCAGCTGCCTGACGCCGAGCATTCAATGACGGAAGGGCCCTGTAAGCTACAGGAAGAAAGATGCCACCTCTTTCATTGGCTATTTATTTACTGCTATGGAGATGAGATAGGAAAGACTCAGAAGCGCCTAGGGGACACGAGGAATTCTGATACGTAAAAGTAAAGTTTCTTCCTATTTTCTTGCTTTATATAAAAACAAGGGAAATCTGAGCAGGCTATAGACCATTTAAAACCATGAATATGATAAAAAAACATAACAACTCGGTGCAAAACACAATGCTTAATGTGCTCATTGGTGGTGTTGTAGGGCACTTCAAACCTTGCAAATAGCAGATTACTTGGAGGAGAAGGAATTACGAGACTGGTTAGGACCCAGTGACAAAGGAGACAGATACCCAAGAAGTCAGGATAACTGAGGTCCAAGGGTGTCCGTCGTCCTTGCCATGAGCTTGGGATCTGAAGTGTGTGGCTCATGACTCTGACCTTTGGTCTTCTTTTGATTTCACAACCTCAAATCCTACATCATGGCTTATCCACCTTCACTTGCCAACCTGATTCTGATTGTCTGTATTACTCACTCTGCTTCTGTTCACTTCATCTGTTTCACTTCAGATCCTGTTGGCCAAGTTTCTGATCACAGCCTGACTCTCTCTGCTGTCCTTTCTGTTTGAACACACACACACACCTTTCATCAAATTAATCTTGTACGGTATTAAGGACCCAGGCCCTTACCTTGGTAAATTTTTTATAACATCTCATGTAATGCTGAGTGTAAGCTTGGTAAGTTGTTTACCAAAAAATCCAGGCATTGTGTTATGCCTCACAAACACTTTTGCTTTCATGCTTAATGTCTGAATGTTTATAGCAATTGAACTAGGACTCTCAGAGTCAAAGTTAGATGGAATAGTTCCCTGGGCATTTACTATGAGCTAGGCTTCAGGAAGCATACAAATTCAAGAATATCTTTTACATTTAGAAACTTGTATTTAAAGTCAGTCAGTCACATGCAAATGAAACCTACTGAGTAAAAAAATGAGTAACAGTATTGTAACAAGCGTGGCTGGTGTCTGTGAACTTTACCTGTATCCACTCTCACACGAATACGATGCAGTAGAAAGGTATGTAAGCCCACTCAAAATATATTTCCCATTATTTATGTTTTCGGGGCTAGAACACTTGACTAGTTCACACACAGGAGGAGAGTGGCTCCAAGAACCACTGGCAAGACAGGATGACTCTTTATCACCATCCAGAGTATATCCTTTATCACACCTAGAGAAGATAAAGGAAAATTAGAGAATATAATTTGCTTTATTTTGCATAATTTCATCTGTGCCAAAACCTCCAAAAATATTGTGAATATACTCATATAGGAAGAGTTCTTTTTTTCCTACTGAAATAATGCTTTATAATTATTCTTCTTCAGGGTTGAATACTGTACTTCTCTCCCATAAGGCCCTTGCTGAGCGAGAAGTAGAAGGATAGGCTTAAGGATTTGGCTTGCCCCTGGTGTGTGTCATGGATTAGTAGCTGCAAACAAAATTCTTGGTTGGAGAGTGGTCTGGTCTAGTATAAGTCCCTGAAATATTGGGTTTGGAGTTAAAGCTCCAACTTATAAGCAAGACTATTTATTAGCTTGCAGGGCCGTCCTGCATGACATCCATTCTTAGAGCATCTCAAGGAGGTGCTGGTGGCAATAGTTGGGTTCTGGTCAGGGGATTTAAGGATTCTAGATATGATGACCATTAGATTATTGGATTAGAATTCTTTACACTACACATGATTCAATTAATTTCACAGCAATTTAAAAACATCCTCTGGGATTATTCTTCACCCTTTCTTCCAGTATTATATCACCACCAGTGTGTCGTCAAAAACTTCTACAAACTAGTTCTGGTCTTAGATACTTACCTATATACTACTTTACTGCCATAGGTAAATGTTGATCCATCAATGCCACCATTTTCTGGAAAAGCTGGTGCACCACAGGAAACAGCTTAAAGGAGGAAAAACAAAAAGCATTGCTTTTCTTAGCTAATGAGTGCAAAAATTTCTAAAACCCTAGGGGGCAGTTCTCGGTTTTCCTGTCATGTTTAAATATGAGCCTAATAGTTGGGCTTTAAATACAAAGAATATTGATACAACACTCGACATTTCTATACCTTAAATTCTAGGATGGCCAAACCCCACGAACATGGGGAATTTACTAAACACACCTTCACAATATGGCATCAGATGACTCCATTCTCCAGACTCTAAACATGTGATTTTGGTTTCTCCCATCAGCTGGTGTCCTTCTTCACATGAAAATGTGACTTCAGCACCCACTGTATAAATCTCACCAGAAGAGTGGCCGTTTTCTGGATTTCCTGGAGGCTTACATTTTACAGGTTCTTGAAAGAGAGAAATAGTTTTTGTGAGACAATAAATAGCTTTCACACAACCATGCAAGGTCTCACTACACTTAAGATTCCAAGTTAAACCCTGAGGAAGAATCCTCTGAAGGGAGATGCATGAAGTGCAGCAACATGTTGGACAATTAGACAGGAACATATATATGTACCTTTCTTTCTTTATTATTATTTTTTTGTGTGTGAGGAAGATCGGCCCTGTGCTAACATCTGTTGCCAATCTCCCTCTTTTTTCTTTTGTTTTGTCCCCAAAGCCCCAGTACATAGTTGTATATTCTAGTCGTGGGTCCTTCTTAGTTGTCTGTGTGGGACGCCACCACAGCATGGCCTGATGAGTGGTGCTAGGTTGGTGCTCAGGATCCGAACCGGTGAACCCTGGGACACTGAAGTGAAGCGTGCAAACTTAACCACTATACCACTGGGCCAGGCCCCAAGAAAATATATTTAATAGAGATTTAAACAACAATATTTTGAAACAGCAATGAGTAACAAAAATATACAAAATTTATCTGGCCAAAAAGGGAGTTGTTTATTGGGAAAGCAGTGGTGGTGCCAAGGCCTGGCTGAGAAGGGGTTCAGCCCCTTTTATTCCTCTGGACTTCACACCCACTTTTTAAGAGCAAATGACTTTCTTTCAACCTAATGTAAAGGCTGTACTAAAACACATTTAGGAGAAGTTCTCGGCCTCTCGTTCCAAAAAGACTACAGATTAGAAGCCCTTCCTATGTGCACACTTGGGGTTGGCCACCCCTTCTAGAAAGGGAAATAAGTTCAAGGGAGATTTCCGGGTTAGAGTTGAACAAGAGGAGTCAATAAATACTTGAATTCTTAAAAAGGGAAGATACATTGATTCAATCTTTCTGAAGATCATTTTGGCTGCATAAGTCAAGGACTTTAAATGAAATACTCTCAAAAAGTAAATGCAATTATGACTTAATTTTGAGAATTCCTCTTTACTTTCTGTCTTATTGTTTTCTGATAGTTGCTTTCTCACAATAAATGTAGAAAGACGTTGATGGGTTGAGAGATGAGCCAGTATTATCAAAATTATCACAAAATACAGAGAGGCGGTAAGGCAAGATCTCAATTTTTTTTCAATGATATAATTCTGTGTGGCCGAGGCAGGGCAAAGATACTGACAGCAAAGATGTGATGAAGCATCTTCTTTGCTCTGACTGAGGCGCTAGAGGTCATTGATTATATTTCTAAATCCATGCTACTATTCTCGTACTGTGTAGACGTTTCTTCAGCATTCTTGTGATATAGTTGGCTCTCAGTTTTGCTTTTCCAGAAACTGGGAAGTTGGGTGAGGCATGATACTAATTTAAAGCACCTTTAGCTGTTACTTACATGTCTTTTTAGAGAGAGTTTATCTTTTCCATCTCCCCTTTGAAGTTGAAAATATTGTATTATTTTTAAGTAACACATATTTGAAATATACACTTGAATAAAAATATTGAAATAGACTTCCCAGTTATACATATACAGGTTACCTGCACAGTTTTTCCCATCTCCTGTGTAGGGTGGGATACATGAGCAAACATAGGATCCATTTGTATTCAAGCAGGAAGCATGCTCGCTACAATCTGACCCAACAGCACATTCGTCAACATCTGAAAAGAAGGCAGTTTACACACAGTAAAGTTGATTGAGTTTTCCTATGTATCAAACATTTGTTTTTACTTTTAAATCATTACATATCATCTAATGTATAACTATATATATAGTTACATAATTTTTATATATAACCATATAAATTGTTTTATAATATAGAGTTATATATATTTTATAGTTATATTTATTTTACATATATATTTATATATAACAATATATATTTTTATAAACCTAATATTACATATAAATATATTTTTATAAAATTTATATATATTTTTATAAAATTTAAATATAACAGTCATAATCACATTGCAGATATACAATAAAATCTATTATTTCCACAGTTTATAGGTGGGTAAGTAGAAGAACTGAGATAGAGAAAGATACTCTTACTAGTGAGTCTGATAAAAATTTAAAACATTTTTGGCACTTCTGTGGACAGCTGCTTTCTCACTATGGCTTGCCCAGAGCTCACTTGGATGAGATGAAGTTAACAAAGGAATGTCACAAGAGAGCCTCAGGAATTTGGGATGACTGTCTCCCATGGAGCTAGAATAAACCCACACAGTATTTGCCAAGATTGATCTCACCAAGGCACGATGGTGAAATGCCATTCCAGCTCCCATTATCTGTACAGAACATCCTTGAATCACCCAACAAATAGTAGCCATTGTTGCACTGGTAGGTCACTGTGCTGCCAGCATGGAAGTCCTCAGCTGAATAAAAGCCATTCTCCAAAGGGGGTGGCACCCCACAGCTAATGCCTGTAATGTGACCAAGAAGAACACAACTGCATTAGGAGCAAAATGCTCAAAAGATATTTTGTTGAAACTAGCAGTTGAGTTAAGCATGAACTTTTCGCTGCACGCAAACATTAGATTGAAAGTGCTCTAGGGGTGGCAGCAGGCTATAGCCATATCTGTGCCCTGGGCATCTAGCATATTGTCTGGCTCATAGTAGGTATGCAATTCATTCATTTACAAAACGTATTTATGGAGGTCCTGCTACCTGCCAGACACTCTCCTAGGTGCTGAGGTTACAGTAATGAACCAAACAGACAAAATTCCTGCCTTATGAAGCCTACTATCTAGTGGGAGTAGAGAGACAAGAAACAGATAAATGTATACAACATGTCAGGTGGGAACACATGCTATGGAGAAACTCCCCTCATCACCCTATCTACAATAGCAGTCTTGCTTCCACCCAGCCCTCTCACTTTGTTTTTCCCTACTCTTCTTTATTTTTCTTCATAGGCCTTACTTCTGGCCCTTGCTGTTAATATTTACTGTAAATAAATAATATTATATTTTCTTGTTATTTCCTGCCTTTCCTTCTACAGTGTAAACTCCATAAAAAGACAGACTATTTTTCCCATCTGCTGCATCTCCAGAACTTAGATCAGTGTCGAGCACATACTAGGTACTTTAAAAAATGTTGAATAAATGAATGAACGGATGCACCCAAGTCAAAAGATCTCTTCCTGTTTTTTCACACCAAGCAATGACCCATCTCCCTTTGGGCTTCAGCCCCTATGTCTGTTTTTCCCTTCCCATCCTGTTCCTTGTGCCACCTGGCATACAATCACAGGTGAGGGTCTCTTTGGATCTTCATTGCCCACCTCTTTCGTGGTGCCCAACATAGTTCATTGCACAAAGGAAGTATTCAATGAATATTTACTACTATTAAGTATCTAGCTTTTATCTAGCATTCCTGAAAAGTGTTCTTATGATGCCAACGTTTTTCAAGAGCTACTGAAATGCCTTCAACAACAGCAGCTCACGTTCACAGTGAGGGAGCGGTTGTGTCCACTGTCCTTGATTCAGACAGTACTGCACAGGGTTCCCGACCATCTGGAAGCCTGGATCACAGAATAGACTGATTTTGGAGCCTGGTTTTAAGTTTGCTGATGCAGTTCGGAGATGAGGTACCGATCCTTCTAAAGGTGGGCAATCTGAGGGCAAAGAACACAGGTACAGAGCTTGTCAGCAACATAGTGGTGGCTTCACCAGGTCAAGAGTTTCAACTCGTATGTTGTAGCAGCATGTGAGAGACACTGTACTGATCTTAAAACAGGGCAACACGTAACCAGATCACTTGCAAGAAACATTACTAGAAAAAACTATTTGAGTCAACAACCTTCTCTCTTTCAGCAGAAATCTGCTGAGTATTTTTTAAGGCAAAAAATAGTATTTTATGAATATTAATGAAATATTCTTGTAAGTTATCAAAAACCGTGAATTCTAGGACAGCTTTAGAGACTTGTTGAAATATATTGGATTTTATGAGGCAGTCTTGATCACTCAGGGTTGGATTATTCAGTGTGCGGGTTGTAATGTCCACTGTTGTTCTCCTTGTGCCACTTGCCCCTAGGTGGCTGCTAGAAAGTCCAGAGCTCAGAGAGTATCCCATCACAAAAAGGAGGCTAGGACTTTGGTGGACATTTAAAACCTTAACCATATCCCTCCTCTAATCTTATTTTCCTTATTTTACCTTTTTCCTAGTTTCCTCCACAATTAATTTGTACCCCATTATACAGAACATACTTCAGTATTAAAAAAAAAAAAAACAAATCCTTTGGTTGAAGGCAGGGTCAAAATGAATTACTAGTTAAACATCACACTGATAGACACACACTATTTGGCCAATAGAGAATTTCAAATTGTGTCCTTTTGCCAGAAAACCCCAGAGTAGCTAAGAGATAGCAGAAGCTATGGAAGACGGAAACTCTAACCAGAACAGAATATGCTCTTGGAATCGATCTTCACTTTCCCCACAATTCCCGACAGGAAATCAGGCCAGGCTAACACATTTCCTTTATTAAGTTCCTCTGGGCATGAGGTAGCCAGCGATTTCACCTGAAATTTTAAAAACACATCTTTAGATAAACCTTACTTGTTTAGGGAAGACAGAGTTATTATATCTTAATTTAGTCCTATTGAAAACATTTGCAGATGGAGTGGGGCGTGGAGGGAAGTAGGGTTTTGCATGATATGATTTCAGGGGCAGCAGGAAAGTTGTCTTTCCTCTCTCCTCCACCTCCACCATTTACTTTCCCAAATATTTCATTCTTGCCAGAAATTCTGAAATTCTACGCGTACAATTTGTCTAAAGCTTTGCAGGTTGCTAAGGTGTTGTACAGGTTCCCCTTCTCCACTCTCCTGTCTTCTATCTCTGATCTAGAGTTGAGGAAACTGAGGTTTGGACAAGTTCTGCCACGATAATAGTAAGAGAAGACATTTACCAAGACTTTACTACGTGCCAAAAAAATGCCATGATCGTACATGCAGTATTTTGTTCAATCCTGCCAAAACTCCTCTATGCAGTTCTGTTTGTTTATTCTTCATAGAAAAGAAAACTGAAGCTTAGAGAGATGGAGTAATATGCTCAAAATCATCACCATGAATTCATGGTAGAACTGAGATCTTAACTGAGGCTGTGGGACTCCAGACTGTCTACCTACGAGCTCATCTGTTACTCTCTGTACGATCTCGTGCCAGCCTAAATTTCTGCATCTTTAGTCAGAGGGATTTGCAGTATTATTCTCTGATTCTTTCCGGCTCCAAAATGACAAAATCTTATAAATTAGTCATGTCCAGTAAAATTTAAAAACAGCAGTAGGAAACTGAAAAGGAGATTCATTGAAAATTACTATAGATAACCTCTGCCTGATTTAGCCTATGACCATAACATCAAATGATATTGGTGGTAAATTCTGAAAACCCAGAGGTTGCAATAAGATAGAGCGTCATTAGGCTGTTCACATTTTCACTAGGTTTGTACCTTTGTATCTCATTACTGTCATACACTGAAAATGGAATTGACCTGCTGTGGAGACAGGACATAGTCCCAGAGGTTGAGCTGGCTTATGGAGCCCACAAAAGACTCAGCTGGGTTGAATCCCTCTCCTTTTTTGTCTTGTTCTTGCCCAAGAACTAATGCTCCACCACCTAAAGAGAGAAGGAGAGAAACAAGGAGGAAAACTGGCCTGATTGTCTGTTATTCCTAAAATGCTAACTAGATGAAAAAGCATAGCCAATATAAATGCATCAGGGAAAATTATGGAAAAGCTAAATTATCTATAGTTACTGTATGTTTTATCAATAAGGACAAACTCAATGTTTCATATAGCAACTTAAAAAATGGTTGGAGAGGATTTAAAATATTATTGGATTTATAAATATTTAACTATAAAACTACATATATATATATATATATGTATATATATATATATATTACTATTTTATATAAAAAAAATAGCTAAGTCCTATTTTGCCTACTTTCTTCCAGGAAATTACCCTCTATGACAGATCCCATATAGCTGCTCTTCATTTTTTTATTCTTAAGCCTACAATGCTCAAATTTCTATCACCAATTCTAAGGAAGCTTCCAAAGTTGCCAGTGGCCACCTAATTGCCAAATCCAATGGAAACTCTTCAATATTCACCTCTGGTGACTTCTCTGTGTCATATGTTTCCATCGATCATTTCATTCTATTAAGCTGTCCTTCCTTGTGTACTGGATGGTCTGTGCTTGCCCCTCAGAGCTCCTCCCACCCTTCTCCAACTGTACTTTGTACCCCCAAAGTTTGACACCTATGGACTGTACCGCCTGGATGCCTTGTTCCTTTGGTTTCTGTTTGTGCCTGGCTAACAGAAAGACCATCAGGAGGTAAGAAAGTAGGATAAGAGGGAAGTTTAATTTCCTAGATACCTTCCTGACAGGCAACAGACTTTCAGTGGTTGCTTTCTTCTATTTAATATCGTTGCTCCTGCTGAGTGATTTCTCTCCATCATTATAGGTTTGCCTGAATTCTGGCAACAACTCCCATCCCTTGTCACTTCAGGCCCATCCCTGGTGACTTTCCACTGTTGCTAGTCATGAGGTGTTTTACTATCATACTGTGGTTCTCTTAACCCTGCCCACACCTTTGAAAATACTTCCTTCATTAAACTCTCTTTAGTTACCCCCTTATGTGCCACCTGTTTCCTGCCAGGAGGCTGATGGATTCCACTTGGTTTCCATGACAGCATCTTCTCCTGGTTCTCCTTGAGCCTTTCTGCTCAGTCAGTCTCTCCTCTGCCTGCCTCTTAGATGCTGTTGTGCCTAGGATTCCACCCTGGCCTCTTCTCTTTTTCCTTCAACTAGTCTCCCCATCTGATCTCACTCACCTGCCAATCCACGTCTGTAGCATGATTTTCCAAACTACATCTTCTTCTTATAAAATTAATAATTAAAGATTAATACATGCACATGGAAGGAAATTTGAAAAAAAATAAAGTATAAAGAATTCCTTTCACCCAGAAATAATCACTGAACAGTTTTGTGTACTTCCTTGTAGGTTTCGTTTTAATTTTTATTATTTTTTTAGTATATGTGTATGTGTGTGTGAGAGAGATTTTAAAACACACAACTCAGGATCATACTATATATGATGTTTGGATCTTACTTTTCTTCTTGAATATGTTGTCATTTCATGAGTTTGAACAGCTATTTTATTTTATCATGAATGTACAACAATCCATAATTTATTTAATTAACTAACTAAACCACCACTTCTTATTGGATATTGGAGTTGTTTCCAAGTTTGGTACCAAAATAACACTGAGATAAATATACTGATGCATAACTATTTGTTCAGATCATTGGTTATTTCCTTTAGATTGATTCCTGGTAGTTGAATTGTCAGTTACATGCAAAGGGTTCCTCTAAGGCCCTTGATGAAAGTTTCTAAATTGTATCCCAGAAAGGCTGTATCAATTTTAGCACCTGCCAGCACTCTTCAAGAGTGTTCATTATGCTGAATCCTTGCCAAATCCTACCTTATCAATAAAAACAAATTTGTCAATTTAATATAAAGTGATATCCATCTTTGTTCTTAGCTGCATGTATTCCTGTAATTAGAATTCCAACAGAGACTTCAAACTCAATATGTCTAAAACCAAATACAGCATCTTTCCCCACTTCTAACCCCTACTCTGATAATTGTGCTTTCCCTAGAATTCCTATCTCAGCCAACAGACTCTTTAACAAATCTGATCGCCCAAACTAAAGCCAGTCATTCACTAAGATCTGTTGATTGGAGCTCTGCAAGATTTATGGACTCTAATTCATTCCTACTGCTGTGGGAAGACAACCATCGCCTTGGTGGCTGCTATTACATCTTCCTTGTTCTATTTTCCTATTCTTTTAACCTACTTTTCACTCCTCCATCAGAGTTTACTTTTTTTTTTAAAGATAGAAATGCTCTTTTTCTTACCGTAAACAAAATATATGTTCACTATGAAAATACCAGAAAGGAATAAAGAAGAAAATAAAAGCCACCTGCAATCCCACCGCCCAGAGAAGAGACAGCTGAAAACAAGAATACTCTAAATTAAACACAAAAAGGAACCACCACCCCATGTCACCTGAAAATGCCACTTCCTGCTGAAACACATCTAATGTTTCCTTATTTACTACAGGGAACTGGCAACCTTTCCTCCTCATATAACATATATCATAGAAGAGTCTAGATAGAGCAAGGTTATTGCCAGGCATAATGCTGAGAACCTGGGTTGCCTAATACTTTTGCATTCCTTGTAACTAAAACTCTCTGAATACTTTTTAAAAAGTATTTTTAGAAGGGAGTTTGAGTTCTACTGGGAAAAGCGCATAAAAAACGGATAGCCATACATAGTGCTCCAGCTTGTATACTGGATATACTTGTAAACTGTGTACACTAATCAGAAAACAAAACCTACAGCCTAAAACAAAACACATGAGTGATTAATCTCCTTGGAAGGCCATTTAGTAACCACGCATTGTTAGTTCAACATGCTTCTTAGTATTCTCAGTACAGATCCCCAAAGGCATTTCTTGTACAGAGAGTCACACAGCTCACCTAGGAAAAAGTTTCTAGTAATTCACAGTCCAGATAATCAGGAGGTAGTAAAGAGAGAGATAACTATTGATCTCTATCTAAAACTGAAGACAACAAAGCTAGCAGGCTTGATTTTCATCTAAGCACCATGACCTCTAGCATCTAATAGAATTATATTTCTTTTGCTAAAGCATACCAGGTATGGCCGAACCAACAGAAAGGCCCACACCGCCGTCAGATAATTTCCCATCGATATAGACTTTCCAGGCTCCATCAGCACTTGTCCAAGTGATTGCAATATGATGCCAGCTTCCATCATTCACGGCTGGACAGTCTGTTATCTTTTCCTTGCCATTCACGTAAAGAACCCAGCTGTGGAAAGATTCAAGGGGATATAGTCATCAGTCACATGTTGTAATCCCATCTGTGGGGCATATTACTATTTGTCTTCTTTTCCTGTTTTTGTGGGAAAATCACTTTGTGTAAACACATTACTTTTTTTCTCCATTTGGTCATATTTCATAGAAGCATATTTAATTTTCTAATGAAACTTTATTGCAGCTCATTGAAAATTGGTCTGTGTTTCTTAAACACTGGGGGGGGGGGGGTAGGAAAAAGTCTTAGGATGAGCCTAGAGAAGACAGTCCAATTTGAGATAATTCACTAACTGCTTACTTTGGAAAGAGTGAGTCAAGAATGGAAGGAATGAGAGTTGTGCAAATGTCAGACTGGTTTTCTTCCTCTAGAATGCATGTTCCTAAGACCAGGAACAATCTCCAGAAGTCTCACAGAAAGTAAGTCTGTCTCTCGGTTGCCAAAGCTGTCACAAGACAGAGGAAGCATGTCAATCCAAAGAAAAGAATAATTGGAACTAAACAAAGGTGGCCAACCACAAGAGGGTTCCAACAACCATGTCACTTAGGGAAATGTCAAAGATAATAAACAGTTTAAAGGGAACTATCTTCAGAAGCAAATGGAGAAAAAGAATAGGGAAAATTGATAAGGAAGATAAGAATTCATTGAATTCCTTTCCCAGCATCTTCTCAGCCTCTATTTGAAGATATTTATGAAAAAAAATTCTTTTTTTATAATATTGTTTCCCCTCTGCATTTCCCTATTTTCCTCCCCCTATTCAAGCAGGCAACAGGTTCTCTCTTTATATATATTTTGCCTCAGTATAGGTTTTTGCAAATGTCTTGGATTTTGTATCTGAAAGTTTGAGGCCACTAGGAAGATGGTTTGAGGATGGGGAGATCTCCACCAGAATAGTGAGAGTCCCAGGGACTGAGGAGAGGGAAGAGAGCAAAATGGGTCTCTGAGGCCTGTAACCCGCTCAGTAGCAGATTTGGGCAAATTTGAGAGGAAAAGGCCATGTGGTGCACCACAGAATCTATCTAGATTGAAGGCATAAACCCTCAGGCTTGCCAAGGATTCCGCAGGCGGCAAAGAGCAGTGGTTCCGAAGGGACCACAGAGGCTGAGCAGCGGACAGCTCAGGGATAAGCAATGGGACAGATGACCAACGATGGAAGTCCTGTCTAAGTCTGTGGATCTTTAGCAAAACTCTGTGGTTTGTAGGTAATTTGAGAGAATCTAAGGCAGGAAAAGCACTCAGTAGTGAAAGAAAACAGAGAAACAACTGAGATTGACTCCTCTGACAGCCCAGAGGGATGGGGCCCTGTAGTTGGAATTAATTGAGCCAAAAAGAAATAAAGAAATGTCATCCTGCACACCTAGGTTTGTAGACTGATTCTTATTCAATACATGTGTCTCCCACGTGTCAATGAAATCCTTTGACCCTGGAGGCCCTGAGATGCAAAAGAAGGAGCACCAGTCTTCAGAGTCAGAGTTTGAGACTTAGTTCTGCCACTCCTAGAGTGTGAGATTTTGGGCAAATCATTTAGTTTTCTTTTTTAGAAACTTTGTTTTACTATATGTAAAATGGGCACTAGTTCCTCAGGTGATTGTGAAAATCAAATGAAGTACTTAGAAAATACTAGTACTTAGTAAAATACCAAGAAAATTACTTAATAAACAGCAAAACACAATACATGCATAAGGTATTATCACTAAAACTAGGCCTTCTCAGAAAACATGTCATGATGCCCTATTTGATTATTGTCACCCTGCTGTCCTGCTGGAGCACCTGATTCCCCTGCTCTCCCACCCCCACCCCCAATGTCAACTCTAATGTGGTGCCTGACACTTCTGCTTACCCATTATAATCAGTCAGGAGGAAGGTATTGTCGCTGCCCTTCTCAAGTGCATAGGAGATTGGTGTTCCATAGTTGGTGGTGTCAGAGGATTTCATCCAGAATGTGCAGGTCACAGCACGGAGAGATGGAAGCACACCATCTAGCATGACGTAACCATAGATACCAGAAACTTCAAAATCCAGGTTAAAACCCGTAGACTGTTCTGCAACGAATAAGAAAAGTGTGCAGACCATGGCACTTGTGAGGCATTTTTCAACGGTCTAAGGTAAGCAGCAGGTAAGCAGTACTATTCTCAAAGAAGCTCATTTCAGGAAATATGAGGATCTGAGGACCAGTCTAAAAATTAAATACATATTATGTACAAAGTATATAATACATTCTTCTAAATAAAATAATCAATGAGTATCTAAGATAGGAAAAGTACTTGGTAGTGAAACGAAGCAGAGAAACATGGAGTAGCTGGAGGGAGAGGTGGGACTGGGAAGTTATTAAGGATGGGAGACTCTAAAGAAAATCTGTTTGCTGATGGAATGACTCAGCAGAGCAGAGAAACTGATGTTGCAGGAGAGAAGGAGGAGTAACTGCAAGGGCAACATTCCATCCCTACTCAGGTCTCTGGCTCTTCCCTATTTCAGGAGCAATTCAGCTCTGCCCCAATTCTGCATACCCCACTGAATTAAAAAAAACCTCTACAGCTTAACTAAGACTCCAGCACCCTGAGAAAGCAGGTTAACAATGATTCTCACACATGCCCATGAACTCTGACCTTCTAAACCAAGTGGCTTTTCAAGGGTCCTTTCTAAACATGGAGAAGCCAGCCCTGCTGGTTTAGAGGTTAAGATTCAGCACTCTCGCTGCTGTGGCATGAGTTTGTTTCCCGGTCAGGCAACCACACCACCCGTCTGTTGGCTGTCATACAGTGGTGGCTGCAAGTTGCTGTGATGCTGAAAGCTATGCCACTGGCATTTCAAATGTCAACAGGGTCATCCACAGTAGACAGGTTTCAGTGGAGCTTCCAGACTAAGACAGACTAGGAAGAAGGATCTGGCCACTTACTTCCAAAAAAAAAAAAAAACTGGCCACAAAAACCCTACAAATAGCAGCAGAGCATTGTCTGATAGAGCGCTGAAAAGTGAAAGGATGGTGCAAAAGGACCAGGTGGGGTTCCGCTCTGCTGTCCACAGGGTCCCTAGGAGTTCTGCTAAATTCAATTTTCTCCATTTCCCCCTTATATCTCTAAGCTTCAATTTCCTTACTTGCGCTCTTGGGGATATTAAAAATATCACCTAATCTATTGAATGGCTGTCAAGATTAAATAAGCAAAAAAGCTTGGCACAGTTTCTGGTATGTGGGTAGTCTTTGGGGCAGGTAAAAATGGACATTGCTATTATCACACTAGTTTAAATATGGTTATTAATACCATTGAGATCATATATACCTGTTTCACATCTGCTGCCTGAAAATCCTGGCCGACATTTACAACTGTATGAGTTTAACTCATCCACACAGGTGGCCTGATTTCTACACGGGTTAGACTGACATTCGTTGATGTTCAGTTCACAGCGTGGCCCTGTGAAGCCTGCTGCACACTGGCACCTGGAAGAATGCAGAATGTTGTAACAATTAGAACGGTTGAAGAAAGGCATCAGAAGAAGTTGCCCATTTATGAAAACGTTGTCTCAAAAGACTTTGAAAATGGAAATGCTGAAACATATTTTCCACAAGGAAACAGTGCTTTAGCTGTTAGTTACTTATTTTAGTTCATCTAATATTAAACTTATTTAAGACAACATATATTAGAAATGCTGTAGTAGCAAAAATAGAGTAGAAAGTAGTTCTGGTCAAGGTAAAGTATTATTCACACATTGGGAATGTCTCTCCCCAGAGAAGTCCTGGGAAAAAATATAAAAAGTTCACATGCTGTTTTAAAGGCTTTATATATATTAATCCAATCTTTATAACAATGAAGTAATACTATTATTCTTCCCATTTTACAGATGAGTAAACTGTGACTAAGAGAGATTAAGTAATTTGCTTAAGACCTCTTGTTACTAAGTGGTGGGGTAGGATTTTGAACCCAACCTCGCACCTTGTTCTTAATCAGTATGCCATACAGTCTCTGTGGTATGCAACAAACAATTTATACCCATAAGGATGGAAAATATATCTGATAATGTCAAATGTGACAAGGGTGTTGCAAATAGGAAATCTTATATAGTGAGTAGAGCTACAATTTGGCCATGTCAAGGGACGTTGAGGATTTTGCATTCCCAGACCCTGTATATCCATTTCTTGTTATGTACTCTAGGAGATCACTGCACAGGTGCACAAGGACAATGTAGCAAATCTTCACAACAGCAACATTCTACATGTTTATGGAGAGGAGAATGGGAAAATAAACCACGGTATAATCAAGCAATGGAATACTAATCAGCAGTTGAAATGAATAAACTAGAGCCAAATGTATCAACCTTGGTAACACATAATGTTGAGTGGGAAAAAAGCAAATTGCAAAGGATATATATAGTATGATACTCCTTATGTAACGTGTAAAACTATACTATATACTGTTTATGGAATCATGCATGCAGTAAAACATAAATCCGGAATGAGAAAACTATGTGCCAACTTCAGGATAGTGGTTGCCACTGAGGAAGAATGTGTGTGTGTGTGTGTGCACGCGCGCGTGTGTGAGGGAATCCAAATCTATCTTTAGAACTTATTTCTTTGAAACAAATGATGTGAATCAAATATGGCAAAATGCTAAGTTTGATAATAACAGCGATGAGTACATGACTTTTATTAGTCTTTTCAATTTTCTGCATGTCTGAAATATCTTTTTAGTTAAAAACGACCTGTCCAATAAATGGCAGCTAATATAGTTACCAGCACGTTTATATGAGAACCTCTTTGATGCTGGCCTAAAAGTGACTAATAGGAATAAATGGTGCTTTGGTTTAAAAGAAAATCTCATTTGGAATTGGAGGGGATCTTTACTGAGTTCTCTGAGTTTGATGGTAAATCTCTTGTGGCTAGAATTTCGATCATCTTTATCCTCCCATGTTCATTATAGCACTCCAATATCTTTGTCTACGAAACAGTTCACTTTGGTGACAACTTACATTCCTTTTGAATAAGGGGAGTTTACCTTCATCTTTCTACGAGTTAGGATTTAGAGAAATTTGGTATTCATCAATTATTTTGGGAACTCTTGTTATTCATCTGGACACTTCTCATTGCCCATGGTTGGGTGCTATATGCTAGAATATGTAAAGAGCCTATGACACAATGATGCTATACTGATAAGACCTCATTTCCTATATTGAGGGTGAAAGTCTTGTTGGAGAACGGTCATGGAAGGGGGCTGAACCAGAAGGAGGCTGGGAAGTATTGCAACTGGGGTAGACTTTTTTTCTTTTAACTTTTGTAGATTTATTGAGCCAATAGCATATTGAGGATAATAAAGTTTGCTAAGATGTTTCAGGCAAGACCAGTCTGTCTTCTCCAATGCAGGAGCCACAGATCCTACAGGGAGAAGGGGATGGGATAGGGCAGGCTTGACACTGATGACAGAGACTGTTGGTTTTCAAATCATATCCTACTGGCACGCTAAGAGCTGCCTTCTGAAAGCAAAGTCTTTCTCCCACCAAACACTACTGTTTTCAACCACAAAAACTTAGCTTTTATTATTTTGTTTACACTCATGTTAGATTTCTTTTGACGCAAACCAAACTAAACTAAAAAAAAAAAAAAAAGTTTGAAAATTGGGGCTGGCCCCGTGGCCGAGTGGTTAAGTCTTGTGCGCTCCGCTGCAGGCGGCCCAGTGTTTCGTTGGTTCGAATCCTGGGCGCGGACATGGCACTGCTCATCAAGCCACGCTGAGGCAGCGTCCCACATGCTACAACTAGGGGGACCCACAACGAAGAATATGCAACTGTGTACTGGGGGGCTTTGGGGAGAAAAAGGAAAAAATTAAATCTTTAAAAAAAAAAAGTTTGAAAATTATGAACCCAGAATGTAGATTGGTACTATGAAAGTACGACTGCACAATTCCTTTTGATTTTAGCTAGTGAGAAAACTTCAGCTAGAATATAAGACATTTAAAAATATGAGTTTTGTCTAGTGCTTCTGCGTAATTGTATTTCCTATCATCTTTCATGACTTCCCAAAGACACAACAGTGGTTCCCAAACTTGGCTGCGCTTCAGAATCATTGGGGAACTTGAAATATACAGCTTGCCTATTTCAAAATTACAGACTCTACCCCAGACTTAGCGAATCAGAATCCCAGGTGGTGGGGAGATTCTACTGTAGCCTATCCTTGGGACAGCATTTGGGAATGACTGACTTGGGACTCAAAATAATATACCACAAAGACTGCAGGATGACTAAATAGTTAAGAAAATAAAAATAGCATAAAGAACCAGGCTTAGTCTTTTACCTGAAGCTATTGGCACCATCTTTACAGGTAGCTCCATTTCTACATGGTTGACTGAGACACTCATCCACGTTTTTTTCACACCGGGTACCCAAAAATCCAGGTGGGCATTTGCACAAGAATCCCCCAACCTGGTCTTCACAGACTGCATTATTTAAGCATGGACTTGACTGGCATTCATTGACTTCTGTTTCACAGTGCAGGCCTGCGGATGGTGAGGAAGAGCAAGAGTCCAAATGTTAACCCCTTGGGAAAACTGTGATCAAAGTGCTGACTTCTTGGAGGATGCTGCTTCTAAAGGACTGGAGTGGAGGCTGCAGAGCCACTGGCCTATCAAACTGGTTTAAGATCCATCCTGTAACGAGTGCTGGCTTTTGCAAGTCATTTTAGGACTCTGCATTTTTGATAATCTGCTCTTTTTATCTCACCTCTTGGTAACGGACATCTAGTTGAGATAATGTTAAAAAATAAAACTAGTAAATTTAGCTCAAAGTTTTCCAGTTTCTTCAACCTTGCCTCTTTTCTTCACTGGCCATTTTCTTTCTTGGATTTCCTCCTTATCAATTAAGTACACTTTTTTTTAAGCCATATTATTTTGCATCCACTTGCAATAAGATCTTACATGATTTATATCCCAGGCCATTCTTGAATGTTTGTCTTATCATATAAGCTCTTGTTTTCTCTCTCTTTCTTTTTCTGTCTGTCTCTCTCTCTCCACACACACACACAAACATATTATTTTTTTGAACTGTTTGAGAGTACACTGCAGACCTAATGCCCTTTCACTCCTAAATACTTCAGTGTGAATTTCTTTAAAAATAAGGACTTTCTCTTATTTAATTGTGGCATAGTTATAGAATCAGAAATTAGTGTTAACATACATAATGTTAGTAAATGTAATGATTTGTAGTGCTTTACAAAACTTTAAGAAAATGTAGGAAGAATGGAAACCTCTTACCTGCATATCCTTTCACACAGGTGCAGCGATAGCCCGCCAGGCCATCGATGCAGGTTCCTTTATTTAAACAAGGACTGGAGCTACACTCATTTATATTTTCTTCACATAGTTGACCTACAAAGAATCACAGACTATTTGAGCTGGAGAAAACCTGAAAGGAATCTCAGACTAATAGTTTTCAGGCAAGTTGTTCAGTGTAAGAGCAGAACAACTGGAAACCATGGCTAACGTGTTTGTGAAAAATTTTTTTTTGCCAAATATATTGAAATAAAATGTTTTCTTCCATTCTTCGAACTGCAAAAATTGTCTAGCAAGCAATCTGACATTTTCAGCATGCAGTTGAAAGTGACAACCACGAATATTTAACCATTTTTTTAATTAAGAAAAGTGTGATTTTGTCTAAAAAATTTTATCATATTGTCTGCGAGCTTGTTCTCCCTTTTGTTTAATTTATTCTTTAAGTCTTTAAATATGACTTATTTATCTACTAGTTGAAGATCTGTACCCTTAAACAACATATTCCCACTACCCCTACCCTCCAGCCTCTGGTATCCACCATTCTACTCCCTGTTTCTATGAGTTTGGAGTTTTTAGGTTTCACATATAAATGAGATCGTACAGTAGATGTCTTTCTGTGTCTGACTTACCTCTCACTTACCATAACCCCTCAAGTTTCATACATGTTGTTGCGAATGGTAGGATTTCCTTCTTTGTTATGGCAGAATAATATTGCATTATATGTATGTATGTGTATACATATCATATTTTATTTATCTATTAACTCTTTGATGTACACTTAGGTTGTTTATTTTGACTAATGTAAATAATGCTGCAATGAACAAGAGGGGTGCACACGTCCTTTCTAGTCCGTGTTTTCATTTGCTTTGGATAAATACCCAGCAGTGGAATTGCTGGATAATATGGTAGTTCTATTTTTAATTTTTTAAGGAACCTCCATACTATTTTCCATACTGGCTGTGTCAATTTACATTCCCACCAACAGTGCACAAGGTTTCCCTTTTCTCCATGCCCTTGCCAACACTGTTTTCTCTTGTCTTTTTGAGAATAGCCATTTTAATAGGTGTGAGGTGATATCTCATGGTGTTTTTGATTTTCAGTAATGAAATATGAATGATCCCAAGGTTTCTATTATACGAACAAGAAACTCCCCTTACCTGTGTAACCCGATGGGCATTCACAAACGAATTCCCCAACTCCATCTTTACAAATTCCACTGTTCAGGCACGGCAGTGAGCTGCATTCATCAATGTCTATCTCACACTTTAAGCCTAAAAGGCAAACCAAACACTGAGGAACAACCAAAGAGAAGGATTCACAGCAACAGAACAGTAATCATTTACAGGTAATTATCCCAATAATCTGAATTTACAGGGAGTGGTGGTGGTGAAGGAAAGGGCAATATTTGTTAAGCGCTACCATCCAGTTAAATATTTAAAGAATGTACTGCCTCTTTCTAAACAGATTTAAGATTTCCTTACAAGGATACATAAAAGATAGCAAAGGATCCCAAGTTAGAAGCAGGGGGAGAAAGGGAAACCCAGAAGCATAAAATGGAGCCAGAAATTAGTTTAATTTCAAAGTGATAAATATAAAGTCATATATATTTGCTCCCAGGGCCATTTGGCTGAGGGGTGGGGTGGGGCTAAAGCGTGCCAGAGCTCAGCTCATACACCAGGTGTCCTAGAATGGGGCTGCGTCTTCCCACAGGGTGCACACAGACTATCTAGGGGCCAGCTCCGCCGGAAACCCACATTCTTCGTCTATACCGCGGGGTCTCAAATGCGGCCTCTGGGCCAACAGCATCAGCCATCACCTGGGAACGCGAGAGAAACGCAAATTCTCAGACCTTCCCTAGAGCTCCTACTGAATCAGAAATTCTGGGGTTGTGGTCCAGCAATCTCTGTTTTAAGAAGCCCTCCAGGTGATCTTCATGCATATCAAAATTTGAGAACCATTATCCTTTATTAAGCTCTTTCTCGACCACCACTCGTTTATAAAATTTTAGGACAACATCCATTATTTCTTATGAAATGTCAGGACAAAAATTTTTATAAAAATTGAAACACATAGACACACACATGAGCAAGCTGAAATAAGTAGAATGCTAGTATTCTTGAGAGTCCTGGCTATGTTTTGTTTTCCAACTGTCCTTTTGCTTATTTTGTGATGAATTCTTTTATTCAAATACCATTTTTTCTCATTAAAAACATTTTCTGTTGGTTGCACAAAATTCGAAAAAAATGCAGAAGCAGCCTTTCTAGAAGAAAACAGGGAATTATTTTTAATAAATTGCAATTTTGAGATAGAGTTCACTTCTCAGAAATTATATCTCTGGACTGAACTGGAATGTAAACCGAATTGCAAGAAAACATAAATTCTTACATAATTCCTACATAATCAAGTCCAAAGCCATATTGTTTTTCTAAGCAAAGCTTCCAGAAAACAAAGCAACAAATCATAGCTATTCACATAGCCATTCCACTAAGTGCGAAGCAAATGAGAGACACTGGTGTTTGTTCAAAAATGTTTATGCTGGACAATCTGTTCTATGTTAAGTGTCATGCATTTAATTTGTGTTAGAACGAAACCCCAGACACGGCCTCCGGAAGTGTATTCCAATTTAAACTGTGAATTACTATGTGACTTTTTCATAGAGAAAATGATCATTTTTCTTTCAAAATATGCAAAGAGAATTGTCATTTGTAAGATATGTATACTTTTTTCACCTATTGGTTTATCTTGTTCAACCAATTTTGTGTGCCTTGATACAGTCTAATGTCTCTTACAGGGTTTATTCCAAAACTTGATAGTGCAAGTCACAATGATTTCTTATGAAAAATACATTAAAATTTGCCTTCCTCCTCGTTACCTGTATATCCACGTGGACAGAGACAAACGTAACCACGCCCCAGTTGTTGGCAGGTTCCACTATTGTGGCAGGGGTTTAAGAAACATTCATGGAAAACCTACCAGTGGCAGAAAAGAAATTGATCAGAGACAAAACACTCTATTCATTTCAAAGCAATCCTGACTAGGGAGTTCGGAGATCTGCAATAGTAGACAGCTGGTTCCTGTTTCCTTGAGTTGGCTGGACTGCTGCCTGCATGACGTTGGTGTCTGCCATATATGGGCACAAATGATATATATTATTCTTGAGTGGTGTTCTGGTAAACCCAAGCAGTGTTTCTAATGCTGACTGCATGGCAGACTCCATTTGAGATATTTTTAAAGTATACTAAGGACAGGGCCCCAACTCAGACCAACTGGGCAGTTGGATCTGTGCATCATCTCTAAAAGTTGGCCAGCGGATTCTAATCATTCTTCAGGGTTGATAGTCACTGCTATAGAGGTTCTTACAAATTTCTGTGTCCACTAGGCTCAGTTTCAAATATGCCTTACGAAGCTCTTACAAGTTAGTATCTTTGGACGAGGCTGTAGGAAGTTGAAATAAGACATATAACCTCATTATCCTTCTTAAAAATACTTAAAGCCAAGGAATTTATCATGATATTGCACAAGGTGAATTCAGAGTAATGACTGAATCTACCAAAATAATTGGTCTTTACTAGTCTTTAAAAAAAAGGAAAACAATTATTTGAGCTATGTTCATGAGTTATGTCTCTTAATTTTTTTAAACTCACACCTTATTCCAATAAATGATTTTTTTCCTGGCAAAAAAATTTAAATAAGGGCCTGGTCCCATGGCCAAGTGGTTAAAGTTCTGCATGTTCTGCTTCAGTGGCCTGGGTTCATGGGCTCCAATCCTGGGTTCTGATCCCAGGTGCAGACCTACTCCACTCACCAGCCATGCTGTGGCGATGTCCCATATACAAAAAGTAGAGGAAGATTGGCACAGACGTTAGCTCAGGGCTAATCTTCTTCAAGCAAAAAAAGAGGAAGATTAGCAATGGATGTTAGCTCAAGGGGAATCTTCCTCAGCAAAAAGTAAAAATAAAAATAAATTAAATACTTTTCATGAAAGTTGAGTAACTCCTCCTGCCAATCAGGAAAGGCATTTGGCTAAACCAAATGCCCTTATTCAAATAATGGGTATGCTTATTATTATTATTAGTGAATCAAAAGGCTCCCCACATCTACACATTTTCTATGCCAGACATTCCTGGGAAAAACTCCCATTTTTGGTACTTTGAACTCCTAATGCTACATTTTTTGAAAGTTCTTATCACAAGTAAATACAATTATTCATTGATAATATTCATGAGTCTTGATTACTTAACTGCTCTGGTAGTTTTCCTCTGTGTGACATGCATAATGACAAATTGTCTTCCAAATATTCCACTAGATAAAATTTTATACTTAGAAAATGGACTTGCCTGACTGCTGACTTCATACTTCTTTTTGATATTCCCAGTAGAAGCAAGTGGCACTATACTTTCCTCTGCTGCTGAGAAAGTTGAACTAAAACCTAATAAAATTAATAGGGAAACATTAGAAAAATATATTAGTGTGGTAGATATTGCCAATAGCAGACCCTATCTAAATACTATGGTCAAGATTCTGGTTCACAGAGTGGGTAAAGCCACATATATTTTGTTTTAGTAATACTAAAAAAAGAAAGCATAGAGATGGATGGGAAATGTCTTTAAATCCTAGACTCTTAGAAAGAAAATTGGAAGTTATCAAGTTCAGCATTCCCAAAACAAAAATCTTTGAGACATTGTCATCAAAAAAGGCGTCAAAAGGACAATTTAACAAGTCTAGACACTCAAATCCACTGAAAACAGTAATATTCAGAATTGAAGCTACCACAGAGATAAGCAAAAGTCTCCAACTTGGGATTATGTAAGAAATGAAGTGTAACATCTTACTGGAACAATCTGTGATGGATCTGGCACCAGTGATGGTTGTAGTTCCATAAAAGGGACATGATAAGCAGAAGGATTTCCCTGGATTGGGTTGGTAGTAGTCTTGAGGACAAGGATAACAGGGCATTAACCCAGAACGAGAAAATTCTCCCACTGGACAAGGTACTGCAAAGGTAAACACAAATCATTTGTGCATATGAAGCAACATACTCTACATTTACAAGAAAAGCATTAACCTTTGGTTGTAAGAAAGCTACTGAATTGCTAATATATTCTCTTGCACATATTTAATACCTATACCATTTTATCACCCAGACAAAAATGGTGTTATTTCCTTCCTGTCTTTAACAACATACATTAACTCAATAAAAATGAGAATTGCCCATATAACATTGTATTCTTCTTTTTCCACTTAACATTGTATCATAAGGATTTCCCAAATTACTCTCCAAATTGTTAAATAATATTGTTTTTAATAAATAAAATATATATTAACTTCCCACTGACAGAACATAATCGATCTTACATTTCCTCCACTATTGGACATTTAGGTCATTTCCATTTGTTTGTTATTATAAATTATGCTGACATGAAATTTTCTACATAAACCTGTGTAAATTAGCACTTATTATTTCCTTGGGATAACAGCTGAATTTTAGTAGTTGAATAGTTAGATCTAAAGACAGGAAAAATTTGAGGCCATTAATACATAATGCCAAATCATTAAAAGAAATAAAAGTTCTGATTTACAGTCCTATCAGCAGTATATGAAATTGCTCTTCTTACTGCATACTCATCAGCATTGATAATGATTATTTAAATGTTTTTCAATTTGAAGGTGAAAATAGAATTGCACTAGTTTTTAAATTTGCATTTTAATGATAAACAAAGTTGCTTTTTTTTCATGTCTATCAGAAATTTTTATTCCTCCTGTATTTGTCTATTACTTATTGGGCAGGTTCTTTCTTTTTACTTTTAAACCATTTAATGTCATTTTGTGTGAGACATGCTTTTTGTAAACAACACCCAGTTGAACATTGTCATTTAACCTAATCTGAAGGTGTCTTGCCAATAATTGATGGAATATTAACCAAATAAGAAAATAGCTTCAAACTTAACATAAGCCAGGATCTTCTTCAACGAATTTTGGTTGTATTTGGTAGAGGGACATTGGGGTAGACAACCTATGACTAACTCCTTGGGCTGGGGTTTTAGATTGTGACCTAAAGATGAATTCAGGTGGAGTGTACTCTTTCCTTGTGTGAACTGGTGTCATCTGTGTGAGCCCTGAAGCTATTATAAATTGAGAAAACTAATAAAACTATGAAGACAGAACATAAGGATGTAGTTACTCAGGATATCAGCATACTTATCATTTAGGTTTTGGATTCTTGATAATAAAAATTAGTAAAGCAGAAATAATTACCAACATGGTTGAAAAATTTAGAGATGCACTTGAGGCTCCAGGGAGCAGATACTCCAAGTAGTGCATCTTTTTTTTATTGGTATGACAACAAACATTAAATAAACAATAAAGCATCTGTGGTCATCTCAAAATGTTTAGATCAAAGTTCTTATGCAGAAACAGCCAGCCAAATCTTTTGCGAAAGAGTTCTTTTACAACCCGAACTGACAAAAAGTCAGGAGTTGAATCAAGAGATGGTAGAAGATATCATAGCTACTAACGCTTATTTAGAAAAAAATATTTCTTGTAGCTACATTTGTTATATTCATGAAAAGTTTTAAACTATAAGTATCTTTGTTTCACCAAGCATAGATTAATCTGCTCTTTGTCACTAGATCTCAGAGTTATAGACAGGTCTTTGCACAAACATATTTATAAACTTGTTGCTTTCAAAATGAGTTTTCTGAATCTCGAGTTTCCAAAAAAAATGATTGCTCATTTGGAAAAGATACCGTCTAAACAGCTAATAAAAGTAGTTAATTGAAAGCATGAATCTTCCACTGGTAAAGGTATAAATCTTCTGTCTGAGAGAATATCTATGAGTGTGTATGATATGGCAAAGATATAAATTCTGTCATGGAAACCGAAGATGCTATAATGAATTAAACTGTTTTTTACATATAAGCTTTTTCAGCACAATCTTACCCTCAAAAAGAAAAAAATGACTACGCCCCTAAAAACTGACAGAATGTCAAAAATTACGCTAAGATATAATAGCAAAAACTTAAGATTAAAAATCATTAAGCTGGTTGGCTTCTCAAAACAGCCAACACGTTGTTGTGATGTGTATACTTCACTTTTTGGCATAGAAAGTGTAAAATAACTTTTCACGTGAAAATTAGTTTAAATTACAATCCAAGGGCAGACAATCGTCATCAGAAATATGCTTTCCAGGAATGGGCAATCAGCATTTAATGCATTATTTATACATGCACTAAATATATATATGGAATAAATATATATATAGCATGTGAATGCATAAACAGACACACATAATAATAGCACTATCTAGTACATAATAAGTATTACACACGCACACATGCATACATATTCAATCCTAATGGACTCATTTCATAAGAAAATAGAGGAGAAAGTTTCATTTTGAATCTTGGCCAAAGAAAATTGGTTTCTGAGTCAAGAAAAATGGGACAAAATCCTTATAACTTCTTCTATTGTAGAGCGAGAGGGAGAAAGAAAGAAATCTAAGTATGTCAAAAGTGATATTAAAATAGAATTAAAAATGGTGCATAGAAATGACCAGGGAAAAATGTAATCCCACATATCTGTTCCTTGATGGTGTTAACACATACAGCCCTGGAGCCAAGTGGATTTCGCCCTTCAAATGGGTTTCCTAAGACAAAGTCAGGGATCACAGTCTTTCATCCTGAGTCTCCTTTTAACTTGATCCTTGAGGGTCAGGGTAAGAAATGTTGTCATCCTCGTCCAAAAATAATCTTTCCTAATCCTATGGGACCACATGTGAAGAACACCATCACCAAAAAATCATTGTGAGATTTATTCTTCAGATACAAATAATTTTAAAAAAATGAAAAATTTCACACTCTTGAGTTTTTAACCATACACCCAAGAATGTTCAACATCCTAAGTAGTGATAAAAAATGAAATGTATAAAGCATATAATATTACTTTAATACAGTATTCTACTTAAATATAATTGCTGTGCCAATTAATGATATTTTAAGTTCAACATGTTAAAGAATGCAAAAAATAACAAACTGTACATGCTCATAAAAATAAATCAATACAAAAAAAAGAAAACAAGAAAGAGAGAAAGGAAAAGAAAGAAGTTTAAAACTAAGAAAAGAATATATAAGGGACTGTTTTAGAACTCAAACACACTTAAGTTTAAAGTGAAATGGTATTTATCCAGCACCACAGGAAAGAGTGTTGAGTTCTGTTATTCCCAACTCTCACTCGTGGCAAGCAGAATGTGGTTAAACTTGTGCTAGGAATATCAGGACAAATGGGGCAGTTACCAGAAATTTAGAGACTTTCTGGGAAGCATAATTGCTTAATTGCAATAATTTCATATTAGACAAGCCTCAAGGCTTATTTGGAAAGCTAAAGGAAAAAAAATTGTCAAATATGAATTTGTCTCCCCGTAAAAATTCTAGCTGCTTTTTGTGGTTGGAGGGAGAAAGAGAAAAAAGCAGAGAGAGACAGAATCTTTTACTGCAGACTTTCTCCCAAAATTAGTTTGTGTATTGACAAAAATAAGAGTCTTTCGTAGACCTATTTCAACCATAATGTCAAGCCGTGTTGGATTTTTACTTTAAAAAATCCAAAGCTGGTATTACACAACAGACATAGTTTATGAGTTTCAATTAGGTTCCAGTTAAATTCTCTTCTCGGCTCTTTAGTGAAACATGAGGTCTATGAATGCTACTTGCCCAATTCCTTAGGTCCAAAAGACTTTCATCTACTGTGATCCTACTAGACTGAGATAATTTAAACAGACAGAGTATATAAAAGCCTGTAATTCACAGTATGTTTTCCCTGTTTTCTCCCTGCAGCCCTTAACTTATGAAGACTACATCTCCCAAGATACAGTGCTGCACACTCCCCTCCCATACCACACAAAAGTATCTTACGAAGCTGTTTTCTAAGAATGCGTCTCTACCTGGATGTGGATGTATATATGATTGGAGTGTAGTGAGGGTGGGAGGGGTGTGTGTGTGTGTGTGTGTGTGTGTGCGCGCGCGTGCACTTATAGCTTGAGAGAAATGGGGAACCAGCAGATTGGTTTCTTAAAAACAACACTCTTTCAATAAGGAAACAGCTTTTAAAATTTCAGATTGCCATGGATCTTAGGTTTTTAAATAAAGGTATAGAGAATGGAGAGGATACATAATTTTTTGAAAAGTTATCTTTCAGCGAGGCATGCTTGTTCTGTTCCCAGCAATGTAGCACGGGTAGGCCAAGTACTTTTTATTTTTAATCCAGTTCTGTTGACTTTGCAAAAGGGTTGCAGTTTTTTGGAGTTTTGGGCAGCAGGCTGACCTTGACTGTTCGTCCTAGTTTCACTGTCATTCTAAGATTTTATGTCTTATTTTTGTTTACATCTTCCGGTTTTTACAGTGCTGCAAAACTGTACTTGGTAGGGATGTTGGAAACATTTGAAAATTGTAACTCTAATCTTTTTATTTCTATGTAAACCAGTGGTTCTCAACATGTGGTCCCTGGAGCAGTAGAATCAGCATCACGTGAGAGATACTTAGTTAGAAATGCAAATTCTCAGGTCCCACACCAGAACCACTGAATTAAAAACTCTGTGTTTTAACAAGCCCTCCACGCTGACATCTGAGAACCCAAACTAGTGGCTCTCCACTCTTCCTGTCACTTTAGAATCACCTGGAGGAACTAAAGAAGAAAACCAAGGCCCAGACAAGTTAAATCAGAATGTCTATGGGTGGAGATTGGGCTTCCGGTTTTTACAAAATACTGACGCAAATGTGAAGATGATTCTAATGTGTAGCGAGAGTGGATAACCACTGATCCAAATCTTCAAACTGTAGGGAATGAAACGTCGTAATTCACAGAAGGTGTTTTTAGAGTTTCAAGGAACCTTAGACAGGATTTCATTTTATAAATGAGGAAACTAAGTTCCTGGTTGAGATGGATTTCTACGATATCACGAAATTTATTAATGTTGGGACCTGGGACCAAGTCTTGTACTTTTGTGTTCCAAATAACACATGCACAGTGTTTATATCGCTAGTGTTTATACTTCAGTATTGACTGGCTGAATAAAAGGCAGCTCTCCATAAAGGGACAGTTATTTACATTCTTTGCATACAGTAGACATATGGTTTTACTGAAAATATTTCACTGCTCCATGCACAGAACCTAGTAGGTTTGGAGAAATATCAGTGTCTAAGGGTTTGATAACCTCCACAAGCAGCAATGTCCACGGCTCCTCTTTTCACAGTTGAAGTGTTTTCTGGGCAGAAGAGGCAGCTCCGGGAACCAAATGCTGGCTGATAACTACCCAGCGGACACGATTCACAGGTTTCAAGACCATTTGATGAGTAGGTGCCTTGTTTACACTGAGCTGAAAAGAAAAACGTAATATAGTTAATAATGATGACATTAGCTGTACAAAATGAGCACCGTGTAGGATAGGCGCTCATTTTAGGGTATTCCAATTTATTTAGGACAGAATGAAGGACATGAAGAACTCAAAGAATACGCATTATATTTTAAATTTCCCCACGCTTCTATACATGAATAAGTTTTAGACTCATTTCTAGTAATGTCTGTTATCACTTAGCACTTAGTGTTTGACACATAGAAAGTATCAATAAATCGTTCTTGAGTGAAGTTAGAAATAGGCATTTCAGAAAGGCTGTACACAGGGAGCTTGTTCTTGTTCTAGTTCTCGTCTTGTACACTGTTCTCTTGAGTGACCAAAACAAAACCCCAAATAGGGCTCAAGCCTCATAGCTACGCTGTCACTCTTGTTGCTCTAAATAAGAACGGGCCCTCCTGTCTGCCCCTACCTACAGACACCATTTCATTTGAGGGCTGGTGGAGTAGAAAGTAAAAGTAGTCTTAGCATCAGACCCAGAGAGGTTAAGCAACTTCCTGAAATTCACAGCAACGGTTTTGCAGCAGAGCCCACAAAGGACGAGGGCCAAATTCTCAGACTCCCAGCGCACCATCCTTTCCTTCTGCCCTTGTCCTCCAAATGACTCTCATGTTCAGCATTGCTAACAATTTTTAATGCACTTCCAATCACCTAGAACTGCTCTCGGGTTTGTTTTTTTGCCATTAAGCATCTACACCTGCATTTGCAACAACAGCAGGAAGTCACAATTTTGAAATTCCTTCTTTTAGGTATGTCTTACTCTAAGCTTAATTATGAAAGAAAATGTTTCCATCAGGAACGCTCATTGAGAACAACAGTAAAAATATTTTGAAACCATTGAATATTTTAGTAGCAAGAATAAGTGCCTATGCGCCTGTAGTTATTCATTCCAAGTAAATGGAGTTTGATTTCATCACACCAAATATTATTCTAAGAAAAACAATCTAATGATTGCTAAGAGTCATGAAAGTCCTTTCCACCGACTGATGTGAGATTCAACCAAAAATCCAGGCTAATTGATGACTGTGGAGTGGAGTTACTGACAGTGGGGTTTGACTTAGGGCAGTGCAATGTTTCCAAAAGGGAAGATAAATGGACTTCTTATAGTGGGGAAACATTCAGGTAATATTTTATAGTTAAAAGAAGGAAAAAATAAATTAATGAAATAACTTTCAGTAATGGTCTTACTTCATCCTATCTGCCACTTAGATTTCACAACTGGAAACATAACTGAGGCTTCTTCGGGGCAAAATGTGCAAGAAGTGTCTACCTTTACACTCAGAGCTGCTTCTTGAATGGAGATACTCCGTGTAAGTCCCAGGCGGACAGAGTTTGCACTCGAGTTGCCCTTCTTCATCTTGATAGGATCCCATCAAGCAGCTTTCACAGACAGAATGCTCCAGGGAATAAGAGGTTCCCAAAGGGCAATTGACTGAAGAGAAAGCAAACAGGAAACACTGAATGCAGGAAACTTTCAAGGGAAGCAACGGAACACACTCAGTTCTCTTTTTCTAAGGCGTGAAAGCAATAAAGCATGCTTCCAGGCCCTATTGTTTATGGGTTAGAATCTGCTGCCAGAAATTTACTCACAAGCCAAACCTTCCAGAAATGCATTCCTAGAAACTAACAATAGTGGAAATTTTTTTTTTTTTGAGAAAATGCAAATTCTCGTTGACCAAGCTTAGGGCTTATATGACGGGGGCTTTAAAGTGTGAGTTAAACCTATGATAAATCAGATTACCCTGGGAAACACACAGCTAACCAAGAAAAGGCTGCTGGAAGAAAAGGATAAAACAATGAACATTTAGGTTAATTTGAGGCTTTAACATATTAAAAATGGTGGGGGCTAGCCTCGTGGCCAAATGGTTAGGTTTGTACCCTCCGCTTCGGCGGCCCAGGGTTTTGCTGGTTCAGATCCTGGGCGCTGACGTGGCACCGCTCGTCAGGCCATGCTGAGGTGGTATCCCACGTGCCACAACTAGAGGGACCCACAACTAAAACATACGACTATGTACTGGGGGGATTTGGGGAGAAAAAGCAAAAAGAAAAAGATTGGCAACAATTGTTAGTTTAGGTGCAAATCTTAAAAAAAAAAAAAAGTTTTCTTAGGGACTGGCCCTCTGGCTGAGCGGTTAAGTTCCTGCACTCCACTTTGGCAGCCCACAGTTTCACTGGTTCAGATCCTGGGCGCGGACATGGCGCCGCTCATCAGGACATGCTGAGGTGGTGTCCCACATGCCACAACCAGAAGCACTCCCAACTAGAATACACAACTATGTACCGGGCGGCTTTAGGGAGAAGAAGAAGGAAAAAAAAAAAAAAAAAGATTGGCAACAGTTGTTAGCTCAGGAGCCAACCTTTTAAAACAAAAAACGTTTTCTTAGCTCTTCCTCTGAATGGTTCCCCTTATGAAACTGACCGCTTTGTCTACTCCAGCATCATTTCTAGAAACCAAAACAGGCAAAGGTGATGAGCCTAAAACAGGTGAGTTAAGTAGACCCCTGTCTCTGCTTGCAGGAATTACTGCCCACAGGCATCTTCAGAACTACGGGTGTTGGGGAAACAGGCCAATTTTAGGACCCTCCTTCCTTGGAGGTTTGGTCCACTATTTGGCAGGCTTGGAGTGGCTCAGAAATTCTGAGACCAAAGTGGGACGTTAAACCCACTGAAAAGGCTGCTAGCAAAGATAGTATCCTTATAGAGGGGATGCTTGAAATTAGCACCTACGTGAGTCTGAGATGTTAAAGAGTGGAAGGATTACCTGGGAACTTACTAAAAGTGCAGATTTCAAGCCCCCGCCCCCAAAATGTCAGATGCATTAGTTCTGGGATGGGGCCTGAGTCAAGATGCATTTTAACAAATACTTCAGGTGATGCTGACAAAGGTAGTCTGAAGACCACACTGAGAAATGCAGAATGTCTATCAAGGTGACTCCTGATTTTTACTCACAAAGCCGGGAGGAAACAAGAGCAGGCTTGGAATGACAATTTTAATGTGCTTTTGCTGGCTGAGTTCATCACACTATGAAAAACCCAACTGAGCTCTGGAAATAGCAATAAGAACAGTTGAGGAAGGTTTTCTGACCAGGACGCAAGATCTTATGCCTACAGACAGACTAACACAAGACTCATGCCATTTGGTTCAGTTGAGTGTAGAGAGTCTGGCTAGAGGAGATTCCACTATCTATAAACGATGACTTATTTGGAAACAGGCTGGAACTGACCCAGTTTGTGGCAGTCTAAAATAGGAGTTAAAAGTTAAGGGGCTAGGGGGAAGGAGAAAGGGGAGTGATTGCTTGATGGGTATGGGGTCTCCTTCGGGGGTGATGAAAATGTTTTGGAACTATGATAAAGGCGATGGTTGAACAACACTTTGAACGTGCTAAATGCCACTGAACTGTACCCTTTAAAATGCTTAATTTTATGCCATGTGAATATGGCATTGGCTTCCTGAGTGGGAATCTTAGTGACATCACCTAACTGTCTTAATGGGTTAGATTCACTGGATAAATTTTTAGTCTCTCTGGCCCCAGTTTTCTCATCTATAAAAAGTGCTTAATGATAGTGGTGCCTCACCGAGTTGCCAAACAGGATTAAAAACAAGAAGTGCTCAGCCAGCATACAGAAATGGTCAAAAAGTATTAGCTATTATTGGAGATGCTGCTGAAAGCTGTGAGGTCTAAAGATGTATAAATAAAACTAAGATTTGAGTCCTTCACCTAAAATAGTTTTCTTGTCCTGACCAAAAGTGGCTACTTAGATTCTTGAGACAAAGTAGTAATAATAATAACCACATAACAGTAGCAAAATGTCTGTTTCTCTTTAATACTCCTTTATAGTTGTAAAACGGCTCTACCCATCTCATTTGACACAATAGGCCCCAAATATTTTTGATTTCACGGAAAACTCTTACCACACATACGCCCTCTCAGCACTGAGCCTGGTCTGCAAAAGAGGAAAGCCTTTTCCGTTTCTAAGGAATTGCTGTCGGCTACAAGCATTTCAGATGCAAGCTGAAAGGAATACATGGGCTCCTTATTGAGGGTCCTTTTTAGTCGATTTGTGATAGTTTCCAGTGTCTTAATGAGTCGTTGCTGATTTTCCAATTCAAGGGTATCATTTCTTTCCTCGGGTAATGGCACACTAGCTGAGATAAAAACAAGACAAAAAAAAAAAAAAACCATAACACACACACACGGTGTTTCAGGAAGCCATTTGTAGTTAGTTTTTACCAAAAAGAAATAGCATATTAAAAATTTTTACAGAAAAATAAGCTCAAACTTAACTACTACTTACTGAGCAACCAGCACATGGATAATATTAAGAACGATGCAATTTGCTTTAATCCCTCTCTTGTATGCTGGATCTACACCATCTTTTTGCAGAGTTCTTCACTATAGCATATTAAATTCCTGTAAATTCTTGCTTTTTAAAAACATGCCTTAGTTCATCATGCCGAGATGAGAACAAAGCAGGGTGCTTATTGCTATGAGAACCATAAAATACATCTATGATATTAAATTGTAAAAAATGACAAGACAGGTAATGGTGTGCCCCCTAATTTTCACTTCCAGGGTCATTTCCCGATTATCACAACCAATGGAAGATTTGAAACATAGGTTTCCGACCAAGAATTTCACATCATATTGTTTTTACAAATAGAAAGTCTATCCTTACCTGTGATGTTAAAAATTAACTTGATTTTGTGGTCAGATAACGGGGCATTTCTTTTGCTCCGTGAAGATCTGGCTTTGCCAGCGCCCGTGGGTGTTTCTCGCACAGCATCCAAGAAGTCATCGTAAGAGTAATCCAGTCTGTTAGCTGTGCCCCAACCACCCGGTCCTGAACAGTCGGGGCAGAGAAACAAATGACTCTACAGGTGTATTTTTATCAGCTTTTAGGTTCCATTGTTAAGCCACAAGTCAAATTGCCTTGATCACTGCTTAATTGCCCATAATGTACCTCGTACACGGTTTCATCTATAATCTTCTATTGTAATTTTTAGGCAGTTCATATTACATGTAGATTACCAATGAATTACATTAAAAGTAGAAAGACCCAATTAAATGAAATGTCATTTCCCTCCCCCAAAAAAGAACTCCATTCTTCTCATTAGTAGTCCTCTACTACAAAAAACTGTGTTCAATAATTATCACTATATTTTGAATTCCATCAATAAAAATTTTGTGTAAAAAAAAGTAGAAAAGTCTCTGTGGAGCTACATAGGCAGTTAAATTATTCAATCTTTGATTTAATAGTTAATTATCTTTGCTTCAGAGATAAAGAGAACTCTATTAATCAACTCCTATTTCCCTTCAGGGTTTGCTCCTTTTTTTTTTTAATATCATCTTTATAAAAATGCACACAAGCAGATTTTCTTTTGTGAAGATTATTCAAGATATCTGCCTATCTATATCATATTTTACAGGTGGGGTAATTTCTGAACGAAGCATATAAGTTAAATTTTTACATATGTATATATAAAGCAAGCATGCTGGAGGCAACATGGATGTGTGCGATTCTTTAGATGACCTTGATATCATTGTGATCAACTGCCTGGTTTCAGATTGTGGCTTCTCAATGTACACGGTATGGCTGTACGATCTTAGTTAAGTTACTTTCATCCCTCTAAACCTCAGTTTCTTCATTTATAAATTGAGATAATTATTCTAAACTCATAGGTTTGTTTGTGGAATAACAGAAACAAGTTTTGCAAACCATCTAGCTCAGTATTTGACTCATCCTGAACCTCAGGAAATGATACTAATATTGGTCAGAACACACTTGTTGCATATTTATATGCTTTAAACATCAAATTCTATTTATACGGGCCTGTCCACCTAAGTAAGTTGTTTTTTGAGAGGTTTTTTTTTTGCTTAATTTATGTTTCTGGCCATTACAATTTGCTGGGATCAATATTTTTATCACTTGAATGTTTTTCCCACATGCATTATGTAGCTATTATAGAAAAAAACCCCAGATGAGTAAAAAGAAAGATATAAAAAATTATCTACAATTTCACCACATGGAAATAACTATCATAACATTTTAGGCAAGTTTTTTTTCTATGAATTTATAAACATACACACACATATATATATACATTTATGCATACATACATATATGTATAACTGGAATAAAAGTAAACATACAACACTTTTAACAAAACAAGATTATACTATGCATATATTATTTGGTAATCTTTTTCCAAATTTTCTCAACAATATATTATGGTATTTCTACGTCAAACAGTTTAATAATATTCTTTTCTACGGCTATACCACAAACTAATCAGGTTTCTATTTTTAGACTTTTAGGTTATTTCAAAGTTTTAGAACATCCTTGTATATACAATATTTCATAAAATGTAAGACACCATCAATGAGAAGACACATCCCAATTTCAGAGATGTCCAAATGAAAAACGTGCATCTTAGAATTTATGAAATGTAGTATATCTTTGCACATTGGCATGATTTTTATCTCAAGAAATATTCTTAGAAGTGGAACTTCTTGGTCTGAGCATTTTTAATCTTTTCGATACGCATCACCAAATGCCCTCCAATTTTTCCTCTGCAAACAATACATGAGTATGATTTTTTTCCCTACCCCCTTGCCAACTTTGGGTAGTATGATTGTTATTGGAATTTGTTAATCTGACAGGTCAAAAATAGCATCTCATTTGAGTTTTAATTTGAATTACATGATTATTATGAGGTCAAACCATCTTAATATATTTATTGGCCTTTTGTTTTTCATACATTATGACTTGCCAAGGTGTTGTAAATATTACACTGATCTTGTTACTCCCTATTGTAAAGACATTCAAGGAGGAAGGCTTGTTTCTTAGGATCACTTGTACCATACGCCCATGTCTGAATCTAGAAAACGGCCATGATCAGATGACAAATACCTCCCATCTCAAAGCTTTATAATGACAACTGACTCCCTCTATGTGAAGCTTTGTATCTGCGTGACCTCCTTCAACAATCTGGGAGGGGAAACCTGGGTCATGTGTGATAGAGAGGGATAGTTATTCCAGATGTGCCACTGCCAACTCCACTTTATATTATTCTATCTACAACTCTACTGTCCATTATCGCCACTGAGAAGTTGTACATAATAGTTAAAAATGGAAAAAAACTCGAATTCTACCAAAAGGAAATTGTTTACATAAATTATGGCAAATTGATTGATGAAATAATATGTGGCCATTAAAATTGTACTGCAGTACAATATTTAATGACATAAAAATGTCATTAAATAGTACGAGCATATATATACACACACTCATCCAGTTATATCTATATTAATATATTAACAGAAATTATTTCTGGGATTGTAGGTTATCTTGATTTCATTCTTTGTTTTTAGCATTTTTCAAATTTTTGCAATAAACATATATGCACAAATAATGTTTTTAAAATTTAAAAAGTCTAAAGCAACAGTCAGGATCACTCAATGCTGAATCACTAAATATATTACAAATATGATTAGCGTCTGAAATGAAAAGGATGTCTGCTGTTGTGTGAATTAATACTATCTCAAATAACCTTCTAAGCACTTTACTTATACTTGTACTTACTCATTTAGTCCTTACAATAGCCCTAGGAGTTCAGCACTCTTTTATACCCATTTTATAGGAAGAAACTGAGGCACAGAGTAGTTTAATAACTTGTTCAAGACCACACAGCTAGTAGGTGGTGAAGCCAAGATTTGGACCTAAGTAGTTGGACATAGAGTCCATGTGCTGCTTAGCCATGACACTATTTCATTATCACTATTATTTTTTTAAACATTATTCTGGAAGTTCTGGACAGTTCTATAAGAATGAAATAAAAATAAGTATAATTACTAGAAAGGACGATGATTTTGCTTATCAAGAGACACAATTGAACTCTCCCAGAAATATTAAGGCAGTAAGCTAAATGGCCAGATAAACCAGCAAAAAAAATCACATACCATACTTTAGAATAACTGTATTAAAAGTTATATGTTAATTATATCTCAATGAAGAAAACATCAAAATTCCACTTGACGGTGTGTTAGACTTGAATAGATTGAGTCTTAATGTACTCTGGGTGAGGAATCTGAATATTTAACATGTGAAACTGTTTTAAATTAATTGCAATCTAAATTGAATGCCATATAAAAATTACTGTTAGTACTTTATAGCTACTACCATTCTCTAAGATATCATATCAATATTTGAATTTTAGAATCATAATTAGTTTTGATGTAGTTTTAGTGACTTAGTTTTCTTAGTTTTATCATCCTGAAGAGTTTTGGATAATATTTTGAAATAATTTATTTGATACCCCAAATTTAATATATCCATAACGATTATTAGGCACAGAATTGAATTATCCAGTCATCCTCTAAGATGATGCATAAAATAATAAAAGTTCATTTTTCTAGTTTGCCCCGCTCTTCTGGAATTAGTTTCTTATTTTTCAGATCAGTCTTGCAAACTACTGACACTAAAGAATTTAATTACCAATTGCAAAGCCATTTTCATATTCATAATTATATTCGAGGCAATATTTTTTGGTCAGGTCCTCCAGTCTGCAGTCAATGTCATCAGCATCACTACAAAATGATGGGACCTGCATATGAAAAATGAAGAGGACAAAATGTAATTCACATCTGTATGCTTTGGATAAGCCCTTGGCCACCCTGGCCTTCACATCTCCATCAGCAGGAGGTAGGGGAGGGTCCCAGAGCTCTGCCTGTTCTTGAAAAGGCTCCTGACCCTCCTCCACCCCTCCCCTACTACCTCTCACTGCCTGTGGACCTCCAAGATCAGTCTCATGCTTTTTCTCTCTGTTTATGTCACTTACCACGAGAAGCCCAGGACTCCTGGGATATCTCTTGTCTCTGAACTTTCACTCCATGGGGCTCTTTGGATTCCTTTTCTCTATCTCCTACCCCTCTCCAACTCCCCAAAACCTTCCTCTAGGCCCTTGAAGCTCAGTCAGTAATCAGCAAATATCCCATTATGTTTTTTTTTTTACCTCCTCTCTATATGTTCCCTTCACCTTTGCTCTCAATGAAACCTGACTTTCCAGTTTTCTCAAGTGTGGGCGTGGAGGCGAAGAAGTGTCCTCCTCACTCTTCATTGCTGTTTCCAGATCATGCTTCCTTGCACCTCCTTAAACCCTCACAGTTTTGAAGCTCCTGCCATCAACTATACCACTCATTGCCTCTCCTTGTGGCCATCATCTGCAGCCTTTTCCCACTCTGAGACACCCCTCATTCCAAGAACATTTAGTAACTATCCCTGTTATAATTCTTGGTGATTTCTATATCCACCCAGCTCATCCTTCCATCACCTTGGCTTCTCACTTCCTTTTCCTCTTCTCCTGTCTTCCAGCCTTACTTTGTCACTTACTCTCATGGTCATACCCTTAGACCTCATCATTACCAGTAACCACACCCTCTCTTACTTCCAGGAATCCAACAATGCTAGATTTCCTCAGAATTTATAATCCATTGACCCTCCCACCTCTTCACTGCCCCTCCGCTGTCTTCACTTTCTTATTCACCCATCTTAGACTCTATGGTTCATCACCACGAATTACTCCCTTGCATGTGCCCTCCCCAGTTTGTTTGTCTGGAGAACCCTTATCCTCAGTTAAATTAATCGCTCTGCTTTCTCCACACTTGCATCCACATGGTCAATTACAGCTGGAGAGCCAACACAACCTTGCTTACTGCCAATCCTACTACATTCCTCTAGTATATCAATTTATGCTCTCCCAGAAAATTATTTTACAGCATCTTTTCTTTCTCAAACCTCCAACAACTCCTCCCTGTCCTTACTCTAGGCTGATCATTCTGCATCTTTTTCACTGATAAAGCAGTCAGGAAAGATTCTTTTTTCACATACGTCCACACCATGTGTACCCACTTTTGTATATGTGTTCCTGTATACTCTGCCTCCTCGACTCCTCTTTCTCGCACATCCTACATCAAATCTACTACTACTAAATCTACTTCTAGAATCTATCCAAAATCTAAGCTACCCACTCTGTTAGGGATATAAATATGTATATGACATATATCCTGCCTTCAAGATGCTCAACACAGTTAAATACATTGCTTTGCCTTCCTGTAATCACTGAAAGAGTCCTAAAGAAAAATGCATGAAAAGGAAAATTCTTTAAATGTTCGATTATCTCATCATAAAAGAAATACAGCCCACAGTGGCATTTTTATCATACTTTAAATAAGAAACCAAACATTCTCAAACCACATGGACCCTAAGCTTCTCTGACTTTCTGGCTTAGAGTGTTTTTAAAAATTCAAAACATTTTAATACAGATTTACTTATAATTCACTCCAGAAGTCCAAAACTGAAGAGTAATGCTAAATATTAGGAGCAAGTTTGGATCACAAAGAAGAGAGAAATCATCAGGACAAGGAATTTCTGTTGCAGGTGACCCAGGGAGGCTATGAAAAGTTCAATAGCATCCTTTAAAATATGACTAACAATGAAGGAATACTATTGACATACCATTTTCCCCAGGGTAGTCTCAAATGCTTCAGAAAACTTCTTCAACAGATCTGTGTCATCACAACGAGTTGCTTTGTACAACATCTCAAAGGACTTGAAACCATGATTTGCAAAACGTTTTACTGGAAAATGTGGGAAAAACAATTTCAATTGGCTAGTGTTTTCAAAACAAAGACTTAACTTTCAATGGAATAACTAAAACTTAGTATTTTAATTCTAACATGATTTGTGGGATTGTTATAAAAACAAGAGATGACGGTTAAGAAAGGTTTCTAGGCATTAACTGACCATCATAAATCATGAGCCAAGCAGCCCTGTACCCAGTTACCCAGTGATGAATTCTTTACCTTCCAATAGTATGAGAAAGTGAGCATTTAAGAGAAAAGGAGAGATGATAATTGTTTTCATTATAGTCGTGGGAATTTTTGAAAAATCCTGGCTGGGTCAAAGATATTATATTTTGTATTCATATAAATTTATAACATTTTTATTTATATTATATTTTCAACCAAGAGACACTGAAAAATTTCTGAATATTGTGTGAAATTATATTTCTTGAAAGCGTAATTTCACAGAGACAAATTTCTCCTTGGATCAGAAGCTGGTACAGTAGGCTCAGCAAGATGTCCCAAAATATTCAGAGATAATGCCTCCTAATGGCATGACCATTAAAATCCCACCATCTAAATCTGTGAGGTGAGTTACTCTATTTACTTTCCAAATTTGAAAAAAAATAGCTGTAGTAACTGGGCTTTACTCTTTTTTCAAGACATTGGCATTTAAACTCTACCTTAGGTACTGGATCAAAGATTCACTCCAGAGAGTATTTATTAACACTAGACTCGGCTATATAAAATATTGGCTTATTTTTATAACAATATGTATTTAAGATTAAAGGGTAGCTCTAAGTCTAAATCACATCTAAAGAGAATGTGACTGATCGCTTTCATTCCATCAGATATGTTGGCTCTTTAAATATAAGCTCTTATGCAGACTATGAGACTATACTTGCAGTTCAAGTTTACAGATTAAGAACAACATGCTGACAAGTCTCTTCATATATTTCTAGTAAATAACAATGAAAGGGCCCCGATAGTTTTGCCTTAAATTGAATCTTGTCCTATAGCAATTTAATCAATAACAAGACTCTGCTGGGCTAATATTTTAAATTGAGGGATGAAGATTTCTCTTAACCCAAAAACATTTCAAATGCATGGCACCATTTTCCACTCACCAAAACCAATCCCTATAGTAAGCCAATTTTCCTCTTCAATGCTTAGAAATGTGCACACATAGGCAGACGCATATTCACACATACTAAAGGAGTCCAGAAATAAAGTAAAACCTACTAGCACAGTCTGGCCATTCAGTGGAATATGGTGGTTTCCAGATGCCATCTTCATAAGCACAATAATACTTCTCAGTAGACCCTTCTGTGAAATCATAGCCCTCCAAGCAACTTAATGTGCAGTTAACTCCAGCACTATCCTGAGTGCATACAAAATCCCCATTTACAGGTGTGAATGGAACTTCACAGGGAGAACCTGTGCAAAAAAATTACGTTATTCATATAAAGTGGTATAAGAAACATAAATTAAATTCCAGGAGTTGAAAGCTGAACTTTGAAACGGATTCCTCCTGTCCACCACTATTCCTAGAAAAATTTTCACCCTAAATCCCAGTGTGGGATTGTAGCAATGTCTGCTGTTTGATTCCTAGGTGGGCATAGTGGAAAAGCTATAACTATGCGTAATTAGAGGTTGCGCATATTTTATGAAAATCTAAAAGTATTTCTGATTTTGAGTTGTTATTTTGGGCATTCCTTTAATAAAAATGAAAACTAGGCAACATCCAGCAAATACATTTTCAGAATGTGTCTCCTCAAGCATTCAAAATAGGATCATGACGATACACCTTGTAACTCTGGAGAAAATGTTAACAAATTGTTCATTAAAGACTAGACTGGAAGAAAATATTTCTGTCTATCATGAAGTGAAGTAATAATTGGAAACTTAAATAAAATCTGTTAGTACTCTAACTTTAAAAATCTACTCCTCAGGTGTTGGCCCGGCAGCATAGTGGTTAAGTTCACATGCTCTGCTTTGGCAGCCCGAGGTTTGCAGGTTCGGATCCCAGGCACGGACATAGCACCGCTTATCAAGCCATGCTGTGGCAGGCGTCTCACACATAAAATAGAGGAAGATGGGCACGGATGTTAGCTCAGGGCTAATCTTCCTCAGCAGAAAGAGGAGGATTGGTGGCGTACGTTAGCTCAGGGCTAATCTTTCTCAAAAATATAAATGTACAAATAAATTTTTTAAAAAATTTAAAAAATATCTACTCCTCATAGCCTATTTTCGTTCACAAAATAGGGTGCAATAGCAATTACATATATAAATATCAACTAGATTTTGGAGGCTTGTGAAGTGAATACCTTTTATGACAATGTGGATGTCACATGTTCTGTAATTGCCTGAGGGGTCAGTGGCTGTATAGCGCACTACAGTCTCCCCGTGAGGGAAAAGGTCTCCTGGTGTATGACTTCTGGTGATGACCAATACAGCCCCTAGAAAGGAAAGAAGGAATCCAATTTGGGGTCATTGGTCTGCAGTCACTTTATTTGATCTGAATTTTCATTTTCTATTTATACAAACCAGCTGGACACTCTATTTATGTCGATTTGGCCATTCATAGAAAATAAAAGATGTAATATTTATATTATAACATAGAAACAGTAGACTCAAAAACCTCTTTCAATTAAGGCATTTAATTAAATTAACTAATTTTAATTTATTAAATGATTTTACTTGAATAGATAAGCCTATTGGAACATTGGAAATTTAATTAAGAAATCTATTTAACTTGCATTTTTATTTTTGTTTACTGGGTTTTAGTAAAACCTTTAAAATGAACTTCAATTGTATTTGCACTTTTTTTCTGCTTTCCTATGAACTTTTATAATTTGGGGGGAAAATGTTTAAGAAATGAGCATGAATACATGAAGTGCACTAGAGATAGCAATAAAACGCATAGTTTATGCATTCAGAACAATGTAAGCTTAGAGACTCAACAAATTTATTAGAACATCTTCAAGTACAAGACCTAGCACAGGTTTAATAAATGTCCACTGAAAACTGAGTGAAGGGGCCAGCCCGGTGGTGTAGCGGTTAAGTGTGCACTTTCCGCTTTGGTGGCCCTGGGTTCACCGGTTCGGATCCCGGGTGTGGACATGGCACCACTTGGCAAAAGCCATGCTGTGGTAGGCATCCCACATATAAAGTAGAGGAAGATGGGCATGGATGTGAGCTCAGGGCCAGTCTTCCTCAGCAAAAATAGGAGGATTGGCAGCAGATGTTAGCTCAGGGCTAATCTTCCTCAAAAAAAGAAAAGAAAAGAAAAGAAAACTGAGTGAAGAGAAACTCCATGGATAGGTAAGATTAATAATGTTACATTATATATAATTATCCTAGTATTAAAACATATTAACTTATATAATGATCCGTTCTACTTAGATAGATGTGATTTACTTTTCATTTCTCTTTTATCCCTTTTAAAAGCTCTTTCAAATAAAACATAATTCAGTGTTACCATGCTGACAACAAAATTTCTGCATCCCCACCTGAGTTGTCTGAGAACTGAGGCTCATCCCAGGTTACAGCATGCTCCTTCTCTGAGACCTGGATTGGAGGCGGGGATCTGCACCAGTCTATGCTGGGTGGTTCCACATCTAAAGAACATGAAATCAGAGAAAGAAGTCACCACTGATATTCCAAATTGAGGCAGTTTGCAAGAGAGAATTGAAGTCTACTTGTCCGGCAGGCAAGCTTGACTTTGTTAAACACAAGGCTGGCCCCGGGGCCCCTTTGAGGGTGAGGTATGTTTTATCCCTGATCTCAACATCAAAAGAAAAAGCGAATTCTTTCTATACTCTCTTCTGCCTGTTGAAGAAGAAATATGAGGTTACTAAAATCACCATGAGCACAGCAGTGTGAAAGGCAATTCTGGATGCAGTGGGCATTTAATTTGTGATTTCTGCCTCCAATAGTTGAGCTGATCTACCTGGAAGTGAAGAGAATCTTTCCAGACAAGCAGAAGGCGTGAAATGACCAAACCAGTCACTCCCATGATCCTCCTCTTATCTGAAGGGTCCAGCTAGGGCTGATAGATGGTTAAATGGAAGGACCAATGGACAGAGATTTGAGTCATGTGGCAGAATATGCAAGACGTAAGTGAGGATGTGCTCTTACTGGAAGGCCAGGAGGTTACGTCCAAAGGTGGAACACTGGAGTCAAAGGTTTCTAAGGTTGATAGATTCCAGGTATAGACAAAGAATAGGGTGTGGACATGGGGATAGAGGGCTCCAGTAGAGAGGGGGTGAAAGCCACAGTAGAAATTAAAGAACTGTGAGTCTGCGTTGCTGAGCGTTGTAATCCACATCGAAGGAGGGATTTGAGGTGGCCTAGGTGAGCCAGGTTTCAAGCTCTGACTGAATGTGGTGGAATTTTTAGGATGTCAGTAAAGGACAATAAAGAAAGTGTATAGGAGGTAGTTTTCATATAATTATTGATTTTACACCTTTGAAATATTCTCATATCCATAATCACATGCCTTTGAGGGAGACTAGACAAACATTATTTTTCTAGTCTTATAGGTGAGGAATCTCAGACGAGGCAAACTTAGGGGACTTGACCGAGGTCATTAGGCTAGTAAACTATAGCCACAGGCATTAAAAAAGCTGCACCTATGAGCATATATTTAGAGTCCTATTTTAAGCTATGTCTTATGAATAAATGTTCAACTTTTCTCTTTTCCTCATGCTTGTCATTTCATTAGTACAGTACCTTTAATTGACCATTTTTCTGGACTGTAAACTCTGTTCATCAGTGATGGAGCCTCCTTTGCTCACAGTTAGGTCTCCACTCATTGCACAAGACCTGGCCCATAAGAGGTGCTCAGAAAAAGTTGTTGAATAAACAAAAGAACAGAGGAATGCTCATAGGAGGTCAGTGCACTTTGCTAAATCAAGTCAATTCACTGTTAAATTGACAAACTGGCAGTATTTACTATTTTTGCAAGAGAAATTGCAAATGGGTATTTCCTAAATTTTCTAAACTTACCTGATTTTAGCCAAACATTTTATTTTTCCTTTTTCTCCCAAAGCTCCCTGGCACATAGTTGTGTATTTTCAGTTGTGGTCCTTCTAATTGTGGCATGTGGGACGCCACCTCAGCATGGCCTGATGAGCGGTGCCATGTCTGCACCCAGGATTCGAACCAGCAAAACCCTGGGCCGCTGAAGCAGAGTGGCAAAATTAACCACTGGGCCAGGGGGGGCCAGCCCCTTAGCCAAACATTTTAAAGTTGAATTGCAGGTACAAGAGAGCAGTAAGACTAGGTAAAATATTGTCAAAAGAATTGGAGGTACCAGCAGATGCTTTGTCTCCAAAAGAGAGGAAAAGTCCGTTTCAAAGTGAGCGAGGCAGCATTCTCTGGAATGCTAAGCAAAAGCATTCTTGCTTCCTCTCATTTATCAGTAAGACACCAACACCCTGTCATCTGAGGAAAACAAGAAAATGTAGGCTTTGGAAAATCTTCCGTCTCTGTCTCTCGCTCCCCTCCTATTCTCCCCCTCTCCCTTTCTCGCTCCTTCTCCAGCTCATTCTTCTTCCCCATTCCCTCTGTCTCTTTCATAATTTGAAAACTCAGCTAGACACTTGAGTACACATTTTACATTTCACCATGCTGACTCTTCATTGTGAAAAATTAAAACTTGGCAAACTCTTGAACCACATTTCCGTGTTTAAAATCACCATAGAAAACAAATCCAACATATGTTTCATGTGACTGGGGAAGTCATATTTAAAACAACACTGAGAAAGCAATTAAGAAAACTAAGCACTGCGAGATGAATGAGAGTGATTTTCACTTGAGTTTTTTTATCTACTTTTACCAAAACTTATAATTTCTAGGGTCAGGAGCCAGTTTGATATACATAAGTTATTTCAAGGAGTCACGGAAAATTCTTAAAATAAAATAAATTTAATGTGTTGAATTTTAAAATAAATATATTAAAATATAGCTGAGACAAATATAGCAAAATGTCAATATGTTTACATAGAGCTTAATGTGTGTCAGACTCTAGATCAAGTGGTTTATATATCTGAGCTAATTAAAACCCTCACAACAACTCTATGAGGTAATACATTTATTCATTCTATTTTTGGATGAAGAATCTGAGGCACAGAGAGGTGACTCATCACATTGCCTTTAAGTGGTAGGGCTAGATATGGACTCAAGCAGATTGGGTTCAGAGACTGTGTTCCTGACCACTACAGACAGCTAAATATTCTATTTCTCCACATATTACACTTGATGGTGGGTATTTGTTATCTGTTGACTACCTACTGAATTGACTGAAAGCACAAAGACCAATTGGGAGATGCAGTGAACCAGGCCAAAAAAAAAAGACTGATCTACAGCAGTGGTTGTGAAGATGGAGAGATTGGGACAGATTCCAGAGATACTATGTAGATGAAACCAGTAGAACCTGATAACTTAGTGGATGTTGGTGATAGAAGGAAAGCAGTCGAGGATGACTTCCAGATTTTTGCTTGGTAGCTAGGGGGTTGGTTGTGCCATTTTCTGAGCTAAGAAATATATTAGGTTTAAGTGAGTTTGAAATGCCCATAGGACATTTGCATGGTCCAGTAGGCAGTTTTATACATTAGTTTGAATTTCAGAAAAGAGATCTAAGCTGGAGATAGAAAATCTGATAGTTGTCAGTTAATAAAATCACCAGGAAAACTATAGAGAGAGAAAGAGAAGAGAGACAGTGCTGGAACCCTGGGGATGATTCACATTTGACAGTTGGTCTGAGGAAGAGAAGCCTAAGAGATAAAGAAGGATAAATGAGAAAAATGGGGGGAAACCAAGAAAGACTGGTATTGGAGAAGCTAGGGAAGGAGATGGTTTTGATAAAGAGAATGTGGTTAATAATGTAAAATCTAAGGAAAGATTATGTAAAATGAGGACTAGAAAGTACAGTAGGAGTGTCTCTAGAGAACATCAGCGACCTCGATGAAAGCAGTTTATAGTCATGCATCGCTTAACAAGGGGGCTGAGAAATGCATCATTATTAGGTGATTTTGTTGTTGTGTGAACACCACAGAGTGTACCTACACAAACCTAGATGGTATAGCTGATCACACACCTAGGCTAATGGTACTAATCTTATGGGACCACTGTTGCATATGCGGTCTGTCACTGACCGAAACGTTGTTATGCGGGGCTTGACTGTATATGAGTGAAGGAGACAGAAGCCAGGCTTGAGCGACTTCGAAAATAAATGGCAGTTAAGTCAAAAGAGATGGCAATCATTGTGAGCTTTTCAAAAGGCTCATGTGGGAAGAAATCAAAGAGATACAATGATAGTTAAAGAGTATGTAAGTTTCAAAGGAGGGGCTTGAGTAGTTTTCAATGCCAGTAGGAAGAACCAGTGGGAAGAGCTGTTGAAGAAAGGAGAAACAAAGCCTTTGGAGCACTGGATTACTTTCACAAACCAACCCAAGTAATTTGAAGACTTACCAATAACTTTGATATGGAAAGTGCAGCTGGCTTGGTTACTGGACAGGTCAGTTGCTGTGTATGTGATAGCAACATCTCCAATGGGGAAAAGGTAAGGTGGAGTGAAAGCTGGATGAACGTGGATTGACACCTTTTGAAGACAAATATTTTGAAAGTTAAAGTTAAAATCAATAGCACATTTATTCTTTTTTGATTTACATATTATCAGTAAAGTGAAGTTAAAAATGACAAAATATTTCGTAGATAGCAAAAAGGAAAAAAAATTAGGCACAGACTTCTGGTGTATTTCTTTCCAGACTATTCTATTTACATAGTTTATAGCATTGGCATACATATGAAATGTTCTTTGTTTTTTAAAAGTAATATTTTAAAACATTTTTTATGTATTACATAGTCTTTAGAACTTAAGATGACTTTTAAATGTCTCCATAACGTTCTGTAGAATAAATACATGGTCATTTCTTTAAAAAAAAATCTATTGAAGGACAGTTAAATTGGTCCCAAATTTTACTATTGTAAACAGCACTGGGATAAAGTTTTGCACAGAGAATTTAAAAATATTTTTATTATGTCTTCATCATAAATTTCAATGAACAGAATTATTGATCTCAAAGTCATTAACATTTTATTGATATATAATACAAAATTGCTTTCCCCAAGCATGGTAATAATTCGCATTCCCATTGTCAGTATTTGATAGTGTCAATGTCAAAGTTCTCAAAGTTCTCTGATCTGTATTAAATATCAGTACTTTTTGGTAAGTCAAAAATATGGCACCAGGTCATTGTTTTAATTTGTAGTTTCCTGATATCTTATGCTAAGATATATTTTCTTTTTTGAACTGTATGTTTGCCTTCTTAGTTCATTTGAAAATTATGATGTGATAAGAATAAATTTATATTAATATATTATGTAATAAACATTTTAACCTTTGACTAGTTTGAAGCATTTTTCTCTAGTTTGCTATTTGTCTTTTAATTTAGGAATTTAAAAAAATACAAATTAAAAAATACTTTTGTTCTCAAATACATTCGTCTTTTCCATTGTATTTAAAAAGATATTTCAACACACAGGTGCTACATTTAGTGTGAATTCTCATTAGATCCTGAAATACATCCTGTACTTTTCTTAGCGTTTGATGATGATGATCATGATGACAATGACAATGCACGCTGTCATGGACTTTTTCATGGAAAGTGGAAATCGTACATGAGGGACCACCCAACACGGACATCATCTATAGTATGTTTAGCCCGAAAAGTCACATTTGCACTTTTAAAATCTGATTTAAAAGTTACCTTGTTTTTAGTTATCTAAAGACAAATATCATGATCTCACTTATGCATGGAATCTAAAAATAAAAAAATAAAAAAACAAAAAACCCAAACTCATGGATATAGAGAACAGACTGGTGATTGCCAGAGGTGGGAGCAGGGTGTTCATAATGGGCAAAGGTGGTCAAAAGGTACAAAGCTCCAGTTACACAATAAATAAGACCTAGGGATATAACATACAGCATGGTGACTATTGTTAAGAACATATTTTTTAAAAAGTTACATTGATTGTAAGTATGTTCAACACAATTATCAAAACAGTGATATATTTTTGGTGTTGTGTGCCCCATATATCCCTCCGCATATTCTGGCTGGCACAACTTATACATATTTACATGCAGGTGTGCAAACAATATACCACTTAAGGGCATCTTTATGTATATTAATGCTAACGGTATAAATTTAAGAGGAAGTTAAATTCCTAAATTAATTCCTTTTCCAGTATCTGATGGATAATTATCTCAAGCTATTGTATATGTAATATTAATATACTATGTTCTGAGTAATTCTGGTTGTAGAAAAGTTGAATAAGAAACACTGAAGTTATCTCCTTCAGATTGGCCAATAAGCAATCATTTGGGGCTCACTCATATTTTAAAAGATATGTTCATAAATAGGAATTAAGATTGCTTGCACATCTTTCTTTCTTAAAAGATCTTCAGAACCTAATAAAGCAAAGAATTATTAGTCAAGCAATCTTGGTGGAGACAAAATACAACAAATCCATGGAATGAAAAGTTTCCATCTTAGAAATTTTCATCTGGGATTTATAATTAAAAACTCAAGGCTGATCATTCTTTTATCAAGTGAGGAATTAATATCTATGAGTAGGGTATATAGAGAGAGTACTATCATTAGAGTACAGCCATGCACCGCCTAACAACGTTTTGGTCAACAACGGACCACATATATGAAAGTGGTCCCATAAAATTAGTACCATATAGCCTAGGTGTATAGTACTATACTGTCTAGGCTTGTGTAAATACACTCTATGATGTTTGCACAAAGATGAAATTGCCTAATGATGCATTTCCCAGAACGTATCCCCATTAAGTGATGCATGACTGTGTTAGTAAATCTTCAATATCACACATATTCAGAATCCATCTGAAAAAGTATGCAAATATTTGCACAAACCTTACCTTTTCCCCAGAGTTGTCTTTAGCTGTTGGAATTTGCCAGGTGATATTAGCAGAGTCTTGCTGTTCCTGAGTCTTAGCCTCTATGTCCTTAGGACAGCTGATTTGAGGAGCCTCCACATCTGACTCAGAAAATAAGCAAATCAATTGATATCTTGATACATAATTCTAAAGCATTTAAGAAGGAGGTAAAAACATATGAATACTGTGTCTCACTTTTTACATCCCAAATCTTGATTGATTTGGAATGTGCAACTGCCTTCAGGATAATTTATCTCAGCATGGTTTACAAGGTCCTTCCTGAACTGATACCTGCTGGCCTCTCAGCCTCATCTCTTACATTATCCCCTACGGGAATTCACTCTTCACATTGAGTACTCTCAGTCCTCTGAAAGCTCCATGGTCTTTCTTGAACCTGGATCTTTGTTCATGTTCCTTTATTTGCCTGAATCAATGCCCTCTTCCCCCTTTATCTAGACAACTCATATTTGTCCTTTAACTCTCAGCTTAGACACAAGCTCCTCAGGAATCTTTCTCTGATCCCCGTGGTCCATTTTAGGTGCTCATTCCACAAGTTCCCACAGCCCTCTGCCCTTCCTAACCATAAAACTCAACACATCATTTTGAAATTGAAATTTCTCCTTGAATAGAATTTAAGTTCTTTGAACACCAGGGCATCTCTTGTCCCATTGTATTATATAGTTCCTGGCATATAATAGGAGCTTGATAAATATTTTTTGAATAAAATAAAGAAATAAACAGAAAAAAAGAATGTTGACTGTGGCAAGAAGGAATTACACTTGAAAACAAGGCAGTCAAGTAGAATTAATTAGTAGTGCTAAAATGTACTGTCAAAACAAACAACAAATTAAAGCCAATGATATCTTTTGCAGTGTGAAACTTTGTAGCACAGATACTGAATTAGATGTGGCAACGTTACACATATCCACATCAGTCATTGTAGAACTAATTTTTTAAGATATAATAAATCCCATTGAGAACATATTAGGTCTGTAACTTGTAGCTGAATATACCCAAACTGATACCATTTGTGTCTCATATCTTCTTGTTTCTTTAAAATTTTATTCAATTTATATATTTTTTTTCTTGGAGGGGCTTACACTTGGACAATTTTTCCTCGCAAAGATGCATTAGCATATTGACTGAGAATCTAAAAAAAATTTGATTTTCTGTTCACACTTGAATAATAGCTTGACTGGATTTGGAATTTAAAATTTATATCTATTTTCTCTCTGTATTCTCAACATTGCAACATTTCCTTCTGGCATTTAGAGTTGTAAATAATAAGTGTAATGAGTCTGATTCTTGTTTCTTTTGTGCAATTTCCCTTTCCTCACTAGAAACTTTAGGTTTTTTCATTAACCTTGGACCTCATAAATTTCACCAGGAGTAGTGAAAGTATGCCTGTCCAATACTGTCTATTTTTTATCTAAAAGTGCAAGCCTTTCTGTGGCTCATGGAAACTTTGCTCTACTGGCAGGAAAATTCTTGTCCTCCATCCTTTTCCTCTCTCCTTCTGGAACTCCTTATTAAATGGACATTGGAGTGTCTCTACCTATTGTTGGTATCTCTTAACTTCCATTTTTCAGTTTTTTTGGTTGGGATGTTCAAACTCCTTGCTTATCAGTTCTCTATTCTGAGGGAACTCTCAATTTGGTTCTTCAAATCACTAATATTGTTTTCAGTAACATCCATTCCACTTTTTTGCCCTTCTTTGAGTGATATTTATGATATTTTTACTTTTAAGAACTCTTTCCTGTTTTCAACACCTCCTTTTTCATGGCAGTCTGCTCTTGCTGCAAGGAAGATGGCGACATTCTCCTGTGAATATCAATGGAAGGAAGGTTTCAAGGTGCTGATAACTTATTTTCAGTCGATTTAGTGTCACCTGCTTTATATGGCCCAGAAATTCCTCAAGGATTTTTATCTCCTAATGGAAAACTTTCCTGATTTCCAGCTCTAACATATATATATTTTTAAATGTATGCTTTTTTTGGTGAGGAAGATTGTCCCTGAGCTAACATCTGTTGCCAACCTTCCTCTTTTGTTTTTTTCTCCCCAAAGCCCCAGTAGATAGTTGTATATCCAGTTATAAGTCCTTCTAGTTCTTCTATGTGGGATGCCACCACAGCATGGCTTGATGAGTGGTATGTAGGTCTACACCCAGCATCCAAACTGGTGAACTCCGGGCTGCTGAAGCGGAATGTGTGAACTTAACTACTGTGCCACCAGGCTGGCCCCTAGCTCTAATATTATCTCCATTTTTCTATTTCTTCTATCATTGTCTAGCACATTGTGATTGGATTTTGTAAACTCACCACTTTGAAACAGAAATCTTCACAGCATATTTTCGGGTAACATCTACCATTTTATCATGCATTTGCAGCAAAAGTTGCAAAAAGGGACAGCCCCATGCTGCACCAATACGTCAAAAGATAAGAATTTCATTTTTAACCTGATCAACGTAGAGGACCTACCTTTACAAACAGCTGTCTGAACTCTGGCACTCCATTTTCCAGAGGTGGTACATCTCACTTCGTCTCTGACTCCAGACAAAATGAATCCTTGGCGGCAACTTAGCTGACAAACCATCCCAGGTTTGGCTGGCTGCTTGCCACAGTTGGGGGGGGATATGATGACACCTTTGGGCTTCTGAAAGGTGGAACAGTGGCGCTCTATCATAGGGAAACGAGAGAAGGTTATTTGCGTTCCCACAAACTGCAAATGCCACAGATTTTCTTTACCCAAGAAGAATACAATTGTGCTGCCTTGGCATTGATATGTCACTAAACGATATCTTTATATGACACCAAACATATGACATATTGTAAATAATGCTAAACCATATCCCTTTAGTTACCTCATGTTATTTTGCCAGTGTATCAAAACCTTGAAATACGTCTAACTGATATTTTAATTAATGACAACTGTGACTTTTATCTTTTGCTTGGAGCACCTTCTTCAGTTTCCAGAATATTCCTTTATGACTCTGAAGTAAAATAGTAAATTGGATTCCATCTTTCACGGATTAAGCAACATATTCAGCAATCCGTCTCCATTTTATGAATTTTTTGGTACCATCTTTAAACAAGTATATTATGTGAAAAGTTTTTATACCTTCCCTAAGATCGCTGTGTTATAATTAGAGTCTTGAACCTTAATGTTTGTTATCTTCAGCATAAATGAAGAATAGCATATGAATTAGGCAGAATGCAGATAGAATGGAAAATCAAGATTAGGATTTAATGCAGAGTGTGTGCGCACGCATGCGCATGAACCCATATAAACGTTTGTTTGTTGTAGTAGCGACTGTGCTGGCAGCACTGGTAGCATCATTAGTCTGTAGTCCTCGTGTAATAATCGCTAACACTTATTCAGTACCTAGTACGTGCAAGGCATTATTCTGAGTGCTTTCCATGTATTGACTCTCTTAATCCTACGCATTAAGGAGTCATGTTGTTATACCCATTACAAACAAGAGTGCTGAGGCATAACTATGGCAAAGTTACCCATAGTTAACTTTCTTGAGGTCACCCAGCAGGTAGGTGGCAGAGTCCATGGGCTCCTAAACACTCCACCTTCATGCTTCCTCCCTGAAATGATTTCCTTCAAACCTCTGTGCCAGTGAAAGCAATTTTTCTTGAGAAATTGGTGTTTCTTTATTTTTGCACAGTATGTACCACGTGACTGCCTAGACTTCCTGTTCTGCTTTATCAAGAGGAAAATCAGAGCCAAATTTGTGGTTCGAATATAATGAGTATGTGGACTCAGTATCTTTTATTTAGGGATGATTCTTTATAAATTAAGAAAATTATCCTTTTGGCTGTCATAATTGTTGAAGATTTTATTTCCTGCTAATATTCTCTTTTTTATTGTTTGCTTATGGTATTTTGGGTGAACATGTCTTTAATTTTTATATAGTCTAATCTACTGATCTTATTTCCATTGCTTTTATACTAAAGTTCTGAGACTGGTTAACATTCACTTACATATTTTAATTATAATTTTATCTAATTTTTAATGGATTTAAAATTTAAAATCTATGAAGACTTTATGTTAGTGTCTGGTGTGAATTAAAGACATACAAAAATTTCATTTGTTTCATTTTGTTTTTCCCAAGGAGCTAGCCAATTTTCCTATATTATGAGCTGAATAAATCTTTTCTTCTCAACTGATCTGTAATGCTTTCTTAACAATACATGAAACTAAAAGTTTCAAGATCTATTCAGTCCCCTTGATGTGTCTGGCAATCTTTGCAAACTCTTCATTTTTGCAGCTTTCGTATATATTTTAAAACCCAGTAGAGTTACTTTCTCCTTACTATTACTACTCCTCCCTTTCGATCTTATTTTAGTGATTTTGCCTGCCTGTTCTTCCAGATGAACCCTGGAATCACTCACTAATTCCAAAAACGGGGCAAAAAAGAAAATCTCTTTTAGGCTATTGAATGAGGCTGCTTTTTACCTATCCATATATTGGGAGAGAACTTACATTTTGATTGTTTCATAAAAATATCGAAGTGTTCTTTTTGTCTCTCAGTAACATTTTGTAGTTTGTGTAATACAGGTCCCAAACATTTCTGTTTAAGGTTATTCTTGCATATTTTATATTTTCTATAGATCTTTTGAATGTGATTTTCACTATATATTCTGTTTATAATTGTATGTAGAAAAGTTGTCTATTTGCTATTTTTATGACTTGAATGAGCTCTCATTCTTTTAGTAGATTCATTCAATTTTGGGGATAGACACATAGTTTACAAATGATGATGATTTTGAATCCCAATAGCTCTAATCTTGTGATTTACTATAAGAGCTAAAGTTTAAAGAACAATAGGAAACAATATGGATGATTGTGAGCATCCCTTTCTTTTTCCAGATTTAATAAGATTGTCTATATTCTTTGCATAAGTGACTGTAGGTTTAAGGTGAACATTTTTTGATTATGTCAGTAATCAATATGAGTTTCTTAGAATTTTACTGAAAATGCTTTAAATGATAATAAATGCATTTTTATCTTATATGTAGTAATCATATGAATTTTTCCTGTTTATTATAATAAAATAATTTATTATGTTGATAGAGTACCTAATTTTAAACCCTTGTCACATTCCTAGAATGAACTCATTCTTGTGGATGTGGATTGCTAGTATATTTGCTGTCATAGTTTTCTATCTGTTTTTGATAATAGCTGTCAGGTGAGCAACAAAATAATAATAGTTTGATAATATGAACTGATTAGCTTTCCATTTTCAGAGCCAAATTATATGGTATGAAAATTTCTTTTCTTAAAAGTTTGAAAGAATTTTCCCTCATAGATCCTTCAGTTATTTTTGGAGAAGTAATTAATACTCTCATAACATTTTCCATTTCTTTATAAGTAATTATACATTTGCATTTCTACTTTTTTCTTGATTCATTTAAGAATTCCCATTTTCTTAGAAAATCATACATAATATCAGGAATTTTAAATTTGTTTGTTTGTGGGTTTTTTTTTTCCCTGAGGAAGATTTGCCCTGAGCTAACATCTGTGCCAGTCTTCCGCTGTTCTGTATGTGAGTGGCTGCCAATGAGTGGTATAGGTCTGTGTCTGGGAACTGAACCCACATCTCTGAAGCAGAGTATGCCGAACTTAAGCTTTAGGCCATGGGGCCAGCTCCTCAAGAGTTTTAAATTTATGCGCACAAATTTATGTACAGTGTTTTATTATTCTTTTAACAACCTCAGACCTCTATATACTTTGGTATAGCTCCTTATAAAAATTCCATTTTTACATTTTTCTTACTTATATTTTAAAATCTATTTTATTACTTTATTCAAAGATTTCCCTCTTATCCATTCTACTGCATCTCATCTCCCTTTATAGTTCATTTTCCTTTACTTAATTATTATTAAGCACTTCTTTCAACTCTCCTTGGAATTACTTTTTTCCTAACTTTTGAACTTAATCTTTAGTTACTTTCATTCTTTCTGTTTAATAATGAAAAGAATTACCACTATGAAATTATATCAGTGAATAATTTAGCCCACATCACTTAACTTTGGTTCTAGGAGTTTCTCAATTTCATTGTTTAAAAATTGCATTTTTTAATTTCTCATCTGTCCATTTAATTAATTTCCTTTACCTCTCTTTGTATTGGAGTCTTTACATTTTGGGGTTTTTGTCTAGTTCCATATTTCAGAAAATGTTAAAAACAATGTTAATAACATTGGTGCTGTTATATGTATTTTAAATAACCTTTCTTTTTTGCTGTTGGCTTTTTAATAGCACAGACAATTCATTTGAAGTACAGAAACTTAAACCTTTATATATTCAAATCTATTGTTCTTTTCATTCTTAGGAAGTTCTTCTCCATTAAAAATTTGGATTGCCTTTTTATTTTTAGAAAGTTCTCCTCCACTAAAAATTCTTATTTTCCCATATAGTTCATTCTTTAATTTGCCTAATTTAATTAATTTAACTTAATTTAGTGATTTTTTTGTGTGTATGTGAGGTGAGAGTCAAAACTGACTAATTTTTAGATAAACTTTTCCCTCATTGGTTTCTGAAATTTCCTTTATTGAATATTACATTCTTCTATAAACCAATGTTTGTTTAGCCAGTTTGCAGTTATATGCAGTTCTATTGTTCTGTGCATCCCTGTACCATTAATGTGCTATTTTAATTACTATCAGTTCACGATCTGTCTTATGATAGTGAGAATAAGTTCTCCCTCATTGTACCTCATGTTCAAAATTTTTCAGTTTTGCACTTTATCCTTTTAAACACTTTCTATTCATTTCTGTCAATATATATATATATATTTTTTGCTGAGGTAGATTCACCGTAAGTGAACATCCATGCCAATCTTCCTCTATTTTTTAGTATGTTGGCCACCAGCACAGCATGGCCTCTAACAGAGTGGTGTAGGTCCAAGCTGGGGAACCAAACCAAGGCCACTGAAGTGCAGTGCACTGAACTTAAGCACTAGGCCACTGGGGCTGGCCCCTCCATCAATTTTTTAAAATGGGAATTTTCATAGTAATTATGGTTATTGTCATAATTTGGAAGCTACAAATTCTGTAGCTCCTCAGAATCCTCAGAATTGAGTAGTTCCTCAATAAATTGTAAATAAGGATGCAATTCCCTTTGATGGTTATAATTCAAATCCCCCAAGATTTGCATCCATTTAAGTCAGTACAGAGACGTGCACAATAATTTTAAAGAAAATTTAGGACAGAATAACACCACAGTAACTTTATTAAATGTATTACCACTTTTAACGAAAGACTGGGTCCCTCACAAGAGGAATTGGTCCATATAGAACTAGGGAAAGAAATGATTCTCAGGAGTAAACACTAGTTTTTACATAGAAATTCTAGCCTGAGAAGACAGCTGTCCCAGCTAAAGAGACTTATTATTCCATTGTTAAAGCACCTTTTTTATGGTGACAGATCCATCACCTTCATGTCATTTAACTCCCTGAAATATCTGAAGAAGCTAACTCCCTTTCTTCTTGTTTTATGCTAAGTGTGTTTATGGTTTGGGTGCCCTTCTAGCTTCTGCCTACAGGGAAATACAACGCTTGTCAGGCCTATGTCTTTCAGTACTCATAATAGTAGGTATCTCATTGTTAATGAACTGAATCTTTGTTTACTAATAAATTTCATTCTCCTGTCCAAGAGAGATTTAATCTCTTCTCAGTATGATAATATCAGTTTTTCTGAGCCTATACAGTGAGGGTCAACTCTTGGACTGTTAACGAATCCCCCAGGAAGTCCAACATCCTTCCTGGCAACACCCTCCCTTATTACCAGCCATGGATCCAATACTAGATTATACTAGAGTAAACCTGTAAGTCAATTTGGAAGGAGTTGACATACATATAGTATCTAGTTTTCCCAACTTGTGTCCTGGCACATCTCAATTTATTGCCTACACATAGTTCTTCTTCCTTTGGGAGTTGGTTATTTAATTGCATACCTGCTAGTGCTCCCAGGTATACTGTATCCAACACACAGTAAGGATCCACTAAATGGTAGTTCTCATAATCTCATCATCATCATTATTACTACCATTATTTGTAGCTACAGTGTATAAGAAGCAGCAAACTGGAAAAACTACTGAGTTTATTCATTCTGGACCGAATTTCAGTAGTAAGATGTCATAACTGTCAGTGGAGGACAAGGCAGAAAATCCTCTGATGAAATAGAATTTTAGGGTCCATCTTAAGACTCATTGGTTCATAATTTTGTCCTTTCATCAACAAGGCAAAAGTAAATTGTGTTTCAATGGAATACTACTCAGCCATAAAAAAAGACAAAATTGGCCCATTCGCAGCAACGTGGATGGACCTCGAGGGTATTATGTTAAGTGAAATAAGCCAGTCAGAGAAAGACGAACTCTATATGACTCCACTCATAGGTGGAAGTTAATATATTGACAAGGAGATCTGATCGGTGGTTACTAGGGAAAAGGGGGATGGGGGAAGGGCACAAAGGGGGAAGTGGTGTACCCACAGCATAACTAACAATAATGTACAACTGAAATCTCACAAGGTTGTAATCTATCATAACATTAATAAAAAAAAAAAGTAAATTGTGTTTAACAAAGCAGGGGAATTACATAGCATTTGCTTTTTAAGAAATCCATGCAAATTGGCCCCAGTTAAAAAAATCATTACCATTTGAAGCTATAAACTTCAGTGACTTGGAAAATTGGCTTCTGGCATAAAAGTCTTTTTCCCAGTTGAAAGGAATAAAACAACATATTTGTTTCTGTATCTATATCTCTGTGCATCTGAATATGTGGATATGTATTTATATTAATTATGAATCAAGTTTTAGTTCTAGATCTTCACAGAAAAGAGAATAAATCAGAGAGCAAGAGAAATGAATCACCGAAGGCACCATGCCTTCCAGAACTTACCCACACACCGGGGTTCTAGACCATCCCACTGGGCATTTCCTTGACAAGTAAGCTTAGCACTTCCTTCTAGTCTGTACCCTTCATCACAGGTAACCAAACATGTGGTCTTGTAGGACATTTCCCCTGCAGAACAGCTTATGCGACCATGTTTGGGTTGGCGGAGACGAGGGCATGTTCTTACTATATAAAACGAAAACAGATCACATTTTACTAAATAAGGACAAAAAATGATAAGTTTAATAAGACCTACACATAACAAGCAAGAAGAGGTCCTTTTCTTAAAATGGCAAATAGCAAATAACACACCATTATTTTTTGAGTTAGTATGGGACAATCCAAAGACTGTGTTTTATCAAATGCATTGCCCAAGCAGTATCACTGTGTTCAGCCGTCTGCCCATAGGTGGGAAGCTGAAACTGTCTAAGGAGTCTGGCCATAAATGGATGATGATGCTTGTAGAGGGGGTGCTTGACAAAGGGAGGTATCTGCAGTCCTCAGCTGGGCCTTTGCTGTCATTTTCCAGGCTACGTTCCAAGAAAAGGAAGGGATCTTTTCCAGAATAGAGATTTCAGGTTCATGATCAACTCAGTTCTCAGATTCCATGGGCATATCCTGGGCCTTTTAATGATCCCAACCTTTGCCAAGCTGCCCCACATCTGCCATCTTAAATTCCAATATCCTACTTTCTGACCATAACTCTGGTTCTTTTAGCTTTACACTCCTTTGTTCCCAGACACTTCCTGTAAATCCTAGCTCATAATGCTCATCTTGACTTATGCATTAACATCGTTTTGTTTGTTTTTTGCTGCTGTGGCAGACTGATGGTTGCACACCCATTAACACCCTTCCCAGTTTTGGTCAGCCTAGTAATATGAACAACTAGAAGAAAACAACTCCCCATCTCCATTGCAATGAATGACAGTCAAGGAGATATAAGCTGCAGCTGTTTGGGACTCCTAGAAAGATTTTTAATGGGGACTATTTCAACTGAGAGAGTACTTTTTGCCTTCCCCTCTTCCTCCTTTGTTTGTCCTAAAATACAAACATGAGGGATGGCACCCCAGTATATTATAGTATAAGTATAGGATACCATAGGATAAATATCATGCAATAAGATGGTAGAGCAAAAAAACAAAAAAGTTTGAGTCTCTGATGACAATGGAGCTATCACACCAGCTTTGGGTTACCAACTTCTGTCCTTTTAGATGGGAGAAAAAGAAGATAAGCACTTAATTATAAGTGCTTAAGACACTGCTAGTATTTGGGCCTTTGATACCACTTGCTATACGCAATTCTTAACTCTCTGTCCAGCCTCTATTCACTTTTCCTTTGCTAATTTTCTAGAGAAAGATCTTTTCCCTCTTTTGGCTCATGGCATTTGTGTATGCTCCAACCCTGCTCAGGGGCAGAGCATTTAACTTAGGATCACATTCCCCTAGTCTGACAAGTGACTGAGAAGTCATCAGGTACAACTGATGACACAGTTCCTTTCTCTATCAGCTCTGAAATCACCATGAGAGCATCCAGGGGGATATTTACTAAGCTTTGGATGCTAGAAATGCCCCTGCACCTCAGCTAGCCTCAACATCACCAGCAGTGGAAGTGCCATGGGTGCCCAGAGAGTCCTGCATTTCCCCAGTGCTTCCACTTCTGATTTTCCAGGCTCAACACTATATCAGAGAGCTACAAGAGGCATTCAGACTTCTCCTGCTTCTGTAGGTTCCTAAACAATGTCTGTGCTCTGAGTTCTCCTAGGAGGAGTCTCTCACCACCCAGCCCACCAAAATCCCGTAATGTGTCTTAGAGTTCATCTCAATCAATCCCATAATGCCCTATATTCCTGTTCGTGACAATCTCTTGGAAAGCCCAATGCTCCAAAGTCATCCATCGCCTACCAGGGTCATCCCCATAGAGCTCTGATCCAAATTTAACTCAAACTCTTGCACCTGCCCTCTGGAATACATGATCAGTATTAAATAAATCCCCTCATATCCTAAACTTCCCTTTGGAACTTTGCCTTTGCTTTCTTATCCTAATCAAAATCTTATTGTCTCTCAAAGACATGGCCTGGAAGTGAAAGGGGTATCTTCTTTGCTCCTTATTGCCTTCCCAGATGTCATTCTCTTTCCCTTCTTCCTAAAAACCCCCTCAAAATATCATATTATACACCCAACATCCTTTTTCCCCTTAATTGTCGGCTGACCTCCGGGCCACTGCTCATTCTCTGAAGATTTTATTCTCTCTCTCTCAAACACACACACACACACACACACGTCGGTGATTTCATTATCAGTGAAGATGATCATTTCAATTTCCTGGCGTCATATTCTTCACCTCCTCTTCTCCAATGACCATTCCTTCAGGCTACCTCAGCCTCCCCTCCATTGCTTTATCTTCTAGACCTCGCCATCACCAATCCAAACATTCCACTGTCTGACAACAACCTCTTATCTTCCCGAATCACTCCCTCAAGTGCCTCAAACTCCATCAAAGTCTTTACCTTACTGGGGCCTCCAATCTGTTGTGTGTCCTTCTTTAGGGAAAATCACCTCTAAAGAGATTATACAACACTTCTTTTCTTCCAGTTCTAGTTTAGATCTGCTCCAATTAGGATTTCTAATTGGAGGAGAGTAAAGGAGAAAGGAAAGAGAAAGAACAAGGAGAGGGGAGAAGAAAGGGAGAGGAAGGGAGGGGGAAGAGAGGTAGAAGAGAAGATGAGGAGGGGAGAGAAACGGGAAACTCAAAGGGCAGGGGAGGGGAAGGGCAAGGCAGAGGCAGTTGTGGGGGCTGCACAGATGAACGGAAGTGCACCCTTTCAGTCAGATGGTACATATATCCCTGTTGGAAACAGAGATACAGAGAGGAAAAGAGAGTGGATTCCTGTTGAATATGCCAAAGGATGGACATATATACTCATTTTAGTAGCTTACAGATATAATCCTACAAGCATAAAGCATTGTACAAAAAACCAAAAACAACTCTACAAAAAAACAAAGTTCAGTTTGCTCTCAGAAAGCACTTCTACAATCCTAAAGACCAGAAGACAACACGGCAATCTCTAAAGAGTTTTGAACAAAATCATTTGGGACTCAAGAATTTTCTTGGGACTCTGGGTAAGATGTATTTTTCTTTCCTCTACTTTTCTGCATTTGCCAAGGTTTCCCATCAAGCTTTTATTTATGATAAAAGCTTAACTTTAAAATAATAGGAAAGGAAATTGGGGCAAAATATTCAGCACATATTCTACTGAAGTCACTGTTTGATAGAATCTATTCTGAGGAACACATTTAAATTATATTAGTTGGCAAAGCATAAATATTGGGTGCTTTAAATATATGTTTAGGATTGATTACTCCTTAAAGAAAATTCAAGAATTAGATGAGAGATTAAACCACAAGCCCTAGCATTTCAATTCCTGGGATGTTTTGGATCAAAGTCCAATATAAATGATAAATGAGTGGGAATACTTTGCTTTCCACATTTTTATTTTTATTGAGTGTGTCCATCATGTAAACAGAATTTTTATTGAGTGTGTCCATCATGCATAACACAATGCCAAGTGCCAGGAGGGATTAAAAGGTGAATAAGATAAATTCCTATGATCAAGATGTATGAGGTCTGGAAAACCATATTAAACAACTGCTTTTAGATTCAATAAACTGCTGAAATCATTCCAGCTTTCCAACCCAAGACGAAATAGATTTGCAACATCTCTCAAGAGTACTGATAGCAAATTAGAGTTGATGTTTCATACACATGCAAATTATTCTGCTTCTCAAATGTTGGTCTTAATAAACTTTCATTGCTCCTCTGGGAAAACAAAGCAAATGCAATAATTCCTATTTAGTCCTTAAACATTTTACACTCCTTTTCAATCAGGAATGACCATTTATTATCATTTTTAATAGGAAGGTGCTTATCTATTAGTTTCACCTTAAAATTTCTTTTTTATCTCAACAAGATGAAAAATTCTGCAGGAAAAGCTTCTTGACTTACATTCACGTTAAAGCAATCCCTAAATATTTATCTAGTCTTTTTAGAAAACAGCAACGTAGTCTTTTAAGAGAGCAGTCTACTGTGTAGAAGACAATGTGGTAAGATACTCTGGTTCTCATTTTAAAGACTAATTAGATTTTCCCCTAGATGCACACTTCTTGTCAATCTCCAAATTGTGATAGCATCTATACTGAAAATAAAATAAATTTAATGTTTTCTCTCCAGGGTAATTTTTCCAAAAATAGTCATAATCTGGTTGTATTTGTGGGGGGAGATGAGTTCAGAGTCTGCTTATGCCGCCATCTTGATGAGATCTCCCCCAAATAAATCTGATGTTAAATGTAGGGTTCTTGTTGTTTGAACCATTTTCTCAGGAAAAATACTATCGTAAAATTTAACTTACTCTGATGCTGGAGTTTAGCTAGTTATCATTGAGAAACCACAAAAGAATCCTTACTAGTTTAGAAAGAAATGCAAAATTCAGATAAAATTGAAAATAAGTATAAGTGCTTTATGAAAAGTACAATATGACGACTAAGAATCAAGACTACTAATTATTCAACATTACAAAACATTAGTGATAACATGAAATTTGTAAAAGGCTTTATTTACATTTTACACTGATCTTTCATTTCTCTCTCAACTTTAGAAAGATTTTCCAGACAAAAATAACTAAAATTATTCTCTGCCCCTATAATTAGATTTAAATTAGATCTGTTAAATACTACTTTCTTCATACTACCCCACCGAAAACAGAAGCGAATCCTTATGAAATTGCCATATTCCATTGAATCCCAGAATGCCCAATTGTAAGGCACATCATTATTTCATGTGCCACTAATAAAGAAACAATAGTATCTATGGAAAGGTTTAATGCCACTGATTTTAAGGTGCACCTCAGTTTTAGAGATTTTAACATGTGGGGAAAAAGTGTTTTAGAATTAATGAAATACAGTATACGTTTCACGGCCAGCCCTTGTGGTCTAGTGGTTAAGATTTGGTGCTCTTACCACTACAGCCGGAGTTCATTTCCCGGTCAGGGAACCACATCACCCATCTGTCAGTTGTCATACTGTGGTGTCTGCATGTTGCTGTGATGTTGAAAGCTATGCCACTGGTATTTCAAACACTGGCAGGGTCATCCATGGTGGACAGGTTTCAGCAGAGCTTCTAGAATAAGACTTCCTAGGAAGAAGGACCTGGCTACCCACTTCTGAAAAAAATTGGCCATGAAAACCCTATGAATGGCAGCAGAGCACTGTGGGATATAGCGCTGGAAGGTGAGAGGATGGCGCAAAAAGACCAGGCAGGGTTCCGCTCTGCTGTCCACAGGGTCACTAGGAGTCAGAATCGACTCCATAGCACTAACAAAAATATGTTTCACAGAACAATATCTCAACTAACTAAATCCATTAATGATAAGCTAGAGGACGGGGCCTGAGAAAGTGTCTTCATTTAGGACAAGTTTGCACGCTAGTAAATTAGGTAGTAGCTTTGGGGATGAAATTGAAGGAATCTTAGGAAGATCCACAGTCCTGTAACATCTCTTACTTTGATTAAAATTATTTTATTTATATTGGACTATCAACTGAAAGTACATAAAAGAGAACAAGCCTGCTTTTTAAAAATGTGAATGCATAATGGGAAGTGACACAAGCAGACTATCGATATACCTATTTATTAATGCACTTATCAATATATGTATTTGTTAAATTCAAGTTCTCAATCACTCATGAGAGCTATAACCAAGGATTGAGGGGGAAAATACATTATGTGCTCATAATGAACTCACAGGCTAGCAGAGGTGACAGAAAAGACAACTTTAAAAAGTGAGTGTGGTGGTTTATATTGTAACAAGTTCATTAAGTTGGGAAGCATGTTGACAGAATCTCTTTTTATGGGCGAGGTTACAGTTGGTCAAAAGAAGAACTTGCATTAGATTTTGGAAGGCGGAAGTGAAGCAGTGATCATTGTAGTCAGACTCAGCAATGGACAAATACAGACATGCCCAGTGGGTTCCAGCTTGTCTTTGCTCGCCTTCCTTGCACGTACCCACTGCTGACCCTGTTGACAACAGGTGGCTTCAAGCTCACTGCCAGGTTTTTGGCTGTAGAGCCATGGGGTGTGGTTACACAGAGGGGATGCTCCTCTTAGACCTATCAACATGTTTCTCCTTTGTGGTTCCACTTCAGCGGCTGAGTGGGCTTGGTTTCTCAGATGGAGTCTGTAGTAACTCTTCTGATGTTCCATCTTCTTTCTGGACTTTCCATTCGCAGCTCATTCCAAGATTGTGTAAAGTCCAATTCCAAAGTCTCTTATCCCATAACACGCATGGTAACCATGCTTCCCCGACTGACCCTGACCCTGACACAGCGTAGGATGCGAAGGTTGGGATGTAGATTATGAAATTGGGGAGAGGCTGGGGCCGGACCTTATCCTAAAGGGGCTGTCCACCTGCTTTTCTCACTATTCTTTGGAAGGCCAATAAGTCGAAGGGTACAATGTAATGTTTTCTACCCTCTGCCATGAGGTGGAAGAAGGGGCAGAAAGTTTACACAGAGTTTATAACTATTGACTTTACAGGAATAGATCTAAGAAGTTTTCTATGAGTAACTTCTTTAGTAATAGGCTTTTTACCACTGAGATTACATTACTGCAAATGTCTGTCCTTTGTCTTCCCACGTAAACAGTAGCTTATCTGAGTTTAGAAATCCAGAGTCTAAGTCTTTTTTTTCGGAATCCTGGAAACAATTCTTATCTTCTAATAGTTAGAATGGCTAACAAAGGGCTCAAGGCTAGACTGATTCTCTTTCCTTTGTAGGTAATGTTATTTATTTCTAACCGTGAAACAGGCACAATTTCCTACTTTTCCAGGGCATTTAGAAATTTCACTAAGATTATTTCCAGACACAGATGTGTTTTTAATATTTTTTTTCTGGCACTCAGTAAGTGATTTCAAACTGAATATCAAAGATTTGAGTTGTGTATATTTTCAGGATTTCAGCTTGGGGATATATTCTTTGATCTTCTATTAGTGCTTGTCCTCCACTCCATTCTCTCTTGGGATTCCTAATATTGAAAAAAGACTATTTCCTATGACTATTCTCATGTCACTTTATTCTCTCATAATTTGTTTTAATCTTTGAAAGTTTGCTCTATTTTCAGAAAAAATTTCTTGAGTTTTCTAATCTATTAATTTGGCTTTTAACCATGTCTAGTCATTGTGTCAGCAATCGTTCTTTTCCCTAAGAAATCTTTTTGCGCTCAGATTTCTCTCATTTCTTGGATCCTGGTCTTATTTTAGCAATGTAATTGCCCTTGAATCTCAGTGATTTTGTTTTTTTCCGTTTTCTTTCTGATCTCCTTTGTTCAATTTACTTATTCTTTCTCTTTTTGTAAATAAGCAAATTCATATTTATAGACAGGTTCAGTATTGGTAGCTGATAAATACAAACAGTGGATGTCACTTGGGGTTCACCATGGACCTTGGAGTGGTGAGTAGGTGGGCTTCCCTAGGTGTGTGGGAGCCAAGAGAATTCTAAAAGACTGAGCTGAGTGACTTGGGGTCTTGAGGAAGTCAAATCCTCAGCAAAGCATATTGCCAAAGGATGCCTAGGGGACGTGGTCAGGGCAAGGTTGCCAGATTTAGCAAAAAAAAAAAAGAAAAAAGCAAATTAGGATAGCTAGTTAAATTTGAATTTCAGAAAATCAACAAATAATTTTTATTATAAGTAGGTCCCAAATCTTATATGGGACTTATACTAAAAAATTATTTGTTGCTTATCTAAACTTCCTATTTAACTGGGCATCCTGTATTTCATCTGGCTGCCCTAGGTAGGCAGTAAACACTGTATTCAGAAGCTTCGTGGGCAGGCATTCTCAAGTCCTTTTCCTTGTTCCCTTCTTCCTTTTTCTTAGTAACCTTCCCTTCCAACCCTACTTGTGAAACCTTAGGAAGTTGCTGTGCAACAGTTGTAAGCAGGAGGAAAGTAAGTCTTAGAGATGGCAAGAGAGGAGGTAAACTGAGGTATCATTCTGTTTGTTGTTTCTCTGTATTTGATGGGGGTGCCTGAGGTTCTACCTGAGGTACTGTCTCCTTTTTTATTGGCCTGACCAGGCTCCTTGAGATCTCACTTTAGCACACTGCCACTTTCTATAGCACGTTGTCTCTTCCAAGTGAAGGCTGAAGACGTACCAGTTGGTTAACTGCTCTTATAGCAGAATACTGGTGTGGTTCCCTAAGTTCTGCAGTCCCAGTCAGCATCAAAGCCCCCACTCTGACCATTCTCACACTCTCCCTGGCACCCTGCCTCTGGCTGCTGGAAATCTGAGGATTGGGGTCACCTGTCCACTCATTTCCCAGGCAGGCCCTTCCTTTGCTTGGTCATAAAAGGCGCATAAAGGGCATCGTTTATGATGATGTGGTCAATTGAACTTAGTAGTTCTGACTTCAAACTTCCTATAATTTTTTCTCTTTCTGTGGTCTGTGGTCTATGAAATGAAAAGAAACTAAGAATTTACTGCTCCATTAGAATTTAAATCAAGGAAATCAAGCAAGACAATCAATAAACAACGTGAACTGGCAGTTTGCATACCTCTGCAGGAGCTCTCTGAACCAGACCACAAACCATTGGGTAGACACAAGAGGATGCTGCTTCCCACGAGGTCAAATCCAGGGTGACATCGGACTCCACAGGCTGCATTAAAGTGGTTGTTGCAAGTGTTTTGGATAAAATAACCGTTTTCAGGAGGCTTCAGGGCAGGGCAGTGAACAACTAACATTTACAGAAATAAGATAAAAAAGTAAAGTTAGCCTTTGTCTATAAAGCATCTTCCATTTTTCTCTTTTTTAAGAGGACATTTTATACATAGAGCTAAATTACTCACAGTATCCCTATTTACTGCATTTGAAATTCTAAGAGCATATCTGGAAGAAGAAGCCTTACATCTCACTCCTATTAGGTATTTATTCCCAATTAAATTTTAAATACAGACTAAATATCATTTTTTAAGCCCTAAATTCTTCTAATTTTGATATCTTTGTGGATACATTTTCTAGCTCTTGACCTCCACATGTTATTAGCTATTTTCATTCTTAATTAAGGTGGCATGAGATAAAGAACCATTAAGGCCAGCATATTGTGCTACAAATCCCAGCAGCCACAGCTTTTTATACACGTTATGGGCTAATTAAACATTTTTAGTTTTGTGGTGGGGAAGATTGGCCCTGAGCTAACATCTGTGGCAATCTTCCTCTATTTTGTATGTGGGATGCCACCACAGCATGGCTTGGTGAGTCTTTTGTGGGTCTGTGCTGGGGATCTCAACCAGCAAACCCTAGGCCACTAAAGCAGAGCATGAGAACTTAACCACTACATCACTGGGCTGGCCCATAAACATTTTCAGTTTTTGATATGAATAATATTGAGACACTTTACTCATAAACAATTTTCTTTAAATGGATTTAACTATCACCAGGGCCCAAACTAGCTTATTTGTTATTCAAATTTGTTGTTAAATTTGTGCCTTTTTTTCTTTTAGATTCTTTTCAGATCTTTTCCAAGTACTAAATCTTTCTGGTTTCATAGTTAAACTACTCCTGGGGTCTCAGATCTTCTTTCTCCAGAGCAAGATATGAAGAAATGTTATGTAATAAAAGCAAAGGATTCCCCCCAAAGATGATTAGGGAAAGGAATCTTAAAGATCATTCTAAATGAACTGGATGAAAACACTGGCGTTATTTCCCTAACAGAGATCAGCTTTTATATTTCCTATCTGCCAGCGGTGGGAGACTTACCTTCACACGTCTGGCCGGATGCTCGATATCCCTGCTTGCAGACACAGTCTTCAGGGGACGTACTTCCAGGTCGAGAGGTGTGATTTTCATCAGGACATGGAAGACAAGTGCTGATTCCTCCTGGCGAACCTTCTGATTTGTATGTCCCTGATGGGCAAGCTGTGGGCAGAGAGTGACTCAGGGAAGTCCATCTTATGTGGTACATCAATTGAGAGTTAACATTTTTGAAACTAATTAGGGGGAAAATCCAAACAACAGCTTTTTAAAGAAATAATAGTAAAATTCAAGCAAAGAGAGAAACCAAGATTTTTTTCTTCAAAAGAGTGATGCAGTTTGTTATTTGCAGGTTGTACAATGGCCTATTATGTCCCACAATTAGTTACAATCACAACACAATGCAGCATGATATGTCTGGGCTTATTTGTGGCAAAATTCAAAGTAGCAATGTATGCTATGGGACTAAAAGGAATCAATGATACTTGACACAAAAAAAATCTTGATAAACATGCTATACGCCATACTCCACCGCCCCCGACCTGGCCAGCTCCCCTCCCCCACGGCACCCCCAGCAACCTCTCCCAGCAGAAGAGAGGAACTGTAGATACTCAAAAAGCACTTAGCCCATTGTTTCTGTTCAAAGCACTCGACAAAGGGTAGGAAAAGTGAAGGGCTTAAGGGAAATAATCCAACTGATGGGAAATAGGCCCTTTGAAGAAAAAAGAATTAAAGACCCTGCTTTTCTCAGGCTCAAGAAAAAAAAGATTAAAAGCAGGATTTAATTGACCTTGCTTCCTATCTTCCCTCTGCACTGACAGTGTGGCTTTGAGTTTGTACTTACTGTCTCTGCAGTTACACATCTGTAAAGTAACCCCAAATTAAAAATTCAATATTAGAGAAATTGTGGCAGAAAGGGATTTGCAGTCTGAGTTAAGCCAATTAAATGTCGTAGAGTCCCAGCCTGCATGTAGAAACCAAATAATGTACACTTATGTGATGATATTTTATACAAATTATCTCCTTTAATCCTCATAGTATTAATAAGTACTAATAAGTATTATCAATAAATGCATTAATTATACTCATATTATTATATCCATTGTAAAATGAGAAAATGGAGACAGATTCAACTACTTGACTAAAATTACTAAGCTAGCAGGTGACAGAACTAGAATTTTTTTAGTACTTAACATTGGTTTATTACCTCTTTATGTCGAAAATTCAAATTACAATTATCTTGTTGTAAGTTAGTAAGTCAAATATTTTTAAATGGTAGCACATTCCTTTCTTCTTCCTGTTGTCATTGTCTATACCTATTTCTGGGTAGATAAGCTCTGGCTTATTCATTTATTTTTCAAAAAGACTTCATTCTTTTTTTTAGATCAGTTTGAGGTTTGCAACAAAGTTGAGAGGGAGGTTAGAGCTAGAATTTTAAAGCAAATTTATATATATAGCATTCACTATGCCCCAGGGACTGTTCTGTGTATTTTATAAATATTAGCTTTTCAATTTCCTTAAAAACCTATGAAGTAAATAATTTTATTAATCCTATTTTATAGGTGAGAAAACTAAGGCACTAAGAGGTTAAATAACTTGGTAAAGTTACACAGTGAGTAAGTGGCAGAGCTGGGAGTCGAACCAAGATAATTTGGATCCAGAAGCCAAGTTCTTTACCACCACATGTGCTGTGTCTCAAATCCAGGTCTCTTGGATGCTAAAGTCCTTGTTTTCATCATTATAATATGCTAAAAATGTAAACAATCATTATTAAGAGACAAGATGCATAATATAATGTAATTGTTAGAAAAAACAACGTCTTCTAAAATTCTTGATTATATTTAAAAACATTTTCCCATGCTATGTGGTAGAAAGTTCTAGATCTGGATAGATCTGTGACAATTTAAGAATGAGAGAAACATTTTAAAAATAGTTATAATGATATGTGACTTATAAAAAATACTTCAGGATAAAGAAAGGGAACATTGCTTCAAAGCATCGTATTACTAAATAGTGAATCATTATTGAATTATTCATATTACTGAATATTTCTGTCTACAAAAATTTCAGTAAATATTTGCACAGATCCTCAAGAACATGCAAAACAACATGATGTCCTTTAAACAGAAGTCAGCAGCTGGGTAAGGGAAAATGATTAAGATAAACAGAGATGGAAAAGAAAATATAAATTATAACGGTAAAATTAAAATTGTTACTGGAGGCAGTAAAAAGAAAACTCCAGAACAGAACTGAGTAGACACAGGAGAAGTAATAGTTGTGCTATTCATGCAAGAATATATTCTTTACTTAAAGCTTTAGCACAAAAAACTCATCAAGTTTCAGGCAAAATTAATAAAAATTGATTCACATCCAGGATGAAGGAAAAGCATTACAAGCATCTGGGAAAGAAAAACAAGATACTTATAAATGGGAAAATTGAACTGATATTTCATTTCTCTTGTGCAAAATCAAATGCCAGGAGAAAGAATGGAGTAAGATATACAGCTATATGGAAAAAATATTATGAACCCAAAATTCTATATCTCAGCAAGCTATGGGTAAATATGAGGGAAGAGAAAGACCTTCAAGGATGTGTGTGGCTTCCGGAAATAAAGATATATTTCATTGACTGAGGAAGAAATCTAAATAAAGAACTCAAGAATGGGAAAAAATTGCATCCAATAAATTGCTTGGGATTAGGAAAGAGGTGGAACATATAGTATGCTGCTAAATATCTTGCTAAAATAATTGTGAAAATGAAAACAAATATCAACTAAAGTCCCTTCTTATAAAGAAAAAATATATGCTCTATGGAAGAAAATAATCATCTTTGCACAATATGAAGAAGAAAAGTTTAAAATATGAGAGAAACCAGGAGATGGGTGGAAAGAGGAAGAAGGTGCATTTCTCATTTCTTTTCATTTACCCCAATATGATAAAACTAAAAGAAAAATACAGGTTCAAATTTGCATATAAAAAATACACCTAACTATACACAGAAAAAAATGTATAACCTCCAAATCAGTAGATTGGGAAAAAAAGATAGAAAAATATAGGAAATAAAAGAAACAGCAAGAAAGAATTTAAAACAGAACAGCACAAACTAAAGTTATGGAAGTAAAACCAAACATATCAGCCATTATAAATAGTAATAATGGGTTAATTTAACCCCGTTGATAAGATATAAACCACAAATAAGTTAGATATACAGGTTAAAATAACTGGATGTACAAAATATGTTAAATATTTCAAAAATCTTCACAAAGCAAACAAATTCCTATCTTAAGGAGAAACAGAAGTTTAATATGTAAAGAGCTTTTTCTAATACATGAAAAGATATGAATACTCCAGTAGAAAAGCTGACAAAGAACAAGAACTACAAATTTACTGAAGAAGAAATGTAAACGACCAAAAATCAAAGGATAAACTGTTTAGCCTCATTCATAATAAAGAAATGCGAATTAGTGGCTACCTTTTAACTTGGCAAATTTTTAAAAGGATGTTAATACCCATTGCCAGCAGGCACGTGGGGAAACAGGTTCTCTCCTACTCTGCAGGGCAATCTGAGGGTAGACATCAAAAGCCCCAAAGGGAGTTTTCCCTTTGATAGAGCGTTTCATTTCTAAGAATTTGTCCCAAATAAAAGCAAGCAAAAATGTATGTATAATTGTTATGCATCATTACACAGCATTGGAGACAACACAATCATCTAGAGATGGGGAGTTAGTTAAATTCTTATGATACATCCATCCAATGGAATATTAACCATAAAAATATAATTTTTGATATGGAAAGTCACTCAAATTATGTAGCTGGCGTACAAAAAGCATGTTTCAAAGACTATACGTGTTGTCTGATCCTCTTTGGCTAATAAATACATATATGAGACAAAGGAAATGATCTTTAAGGATATGCATACATGGTACACATTCATGGCAGAATTACGAGGTTTGAAGGTTTATTTTTGCTGATCTACATTTTCTAGTTTTGCTACACTGAATAGGTATTACTTGTGTAAAAACAATTAAAAGTATATAAAAATTACATATAAAAGAGTCATCGTCTCAAATCCTCTATTTCATCTCACTCTTATTGGTTCTCTACTCTCAGACATCATTTTGATTCCTACTTCTCTCTCTATCTCCTTCAATATCCAAATGAAAATCATGTTGTTTGGATTTTAAACAACTCCTTAAAAATCCTCTGCATTTCCTCCCCTCCCCTCCATCAGCTCCTATCTTAGATATGAACGTGACATCTCTCATCCAGGTTTTTAGCAAAGTCCTCTTTCTACTCCCTCAACCTTCATCTCTACCCTTCAGTCCATTTTAGATGTTGCTGCCTGAACATTTTCCTAAAATATAAATTTGATCAAATCGCTTTCTACCTAAAAACTGCACCAACAGGATGAGGCTCTCTCTCTTCACTCTGACATAGAAAGACATCTTTGATCTGTCTGTAACCTTCCCGCCTGTCAGCTAATGAACCTGTGAATTTCACTTCCTTGTTAGAACCTGCTTCAGAATCAAGTAGAGCCTGGTTTTGCACTGCACCTCCCTATCTCAATCTACTGGATTTAGGAGTTTGAGAAATTTACTTAATTTCTCTGAGACTTGGTTTCTTTGTGTGTAATATTAGTGGTACATCCCTTATAAATTTGTTATGATTAATTGAAATAATGTAAATAGAGCGACAATGACTGGCATGTAGTTGGCGTTCAGTAAATGTTAGAATAATGTCCCCAACTCTTAATTTTCTTGCCAATCAAAGAGAGAATTTCTTTTATAAGTTTGTTGTGCCCAGTAGATGCTCTGGTGCTTGGTAAATATTACTTCCCTTTCTTTCCCTTTCCAACTTCCACTCAGCTTCTGCCTTTGCATAGCCTTTCCTTTCTCTGAGTGAACCTCCAGCATCCTTCAAGACTAGATCGTTTTTCAAAGCTTCTCCAACTTTTTCAGACAGTTTTCATCGCCTTCATTTCTGTGCCCCCAGACTACATTACCCTTCCCTCTGCTCTGGCACATATTACACTGTGTGTGATATATGCACTTGTCTCTTTCTCTCAGTGGGTAACAGGTTTTTGTGAATTCAGTCTCCCAGTTATCTGACTCTGCCACTGCCCATCCCATTGCCTGACCCAGTAGTCACTCAACCAAAGAAAGGCA